AAATAAAAAAATAAAAAAAAAACATATTAAACGACTCTTAAATAAAAAATGACTATTTCATAAATAAAATAAACAAACATGCACCACATCCAAATCAACAACTTACATGCAAACTCATACAAAATTTACAGAGAACTCAAGTAAAAACATAAATAATTTCAAACTGAAACCACAAAACTAATAACAACAATGCAAGAGGGATATAGTTTGATGCTAGGCTGCTAGTTTGATCAGGTTGAGCAAGTTCAAGTTCAACTTTAACTTTAACTTGACAATAGAGCCCCTCACACCCTAAACTTATTTGCTGAACACCACACCTTATAGACCTAAGTAGTCATTAACCACTTTTTCTGGCTTGTTTCAACGTCTTCTGGCAGCTGTTTCCCTTTGAGCATTGAAAAACACAGCAGCCACAGGAAGACCTAAGTCATTCTCATCTGCAAAGTTCCTTGCGTTAAATAGGTCCCTTGAAGTTGGTATTTTCATCACTCCCTGCCTGCGTTTCTGCTTGAAAAGAAGGAATACAAACCTATGGATGCCTATGTTCGGCCTTGGAATTTCATAGTTCACCACTTCATTTCCTGATCAATTAATATACATATATAGCTTCACGGGAATGAAGATGTATGAATATTAAAAAAAATTAATAAAGTAAAAGTCACTTTCCCTGTCTGTATATGTATAATCTCGCATACATTATTAACCGTATATTTTTTAACATATACTCTTTTAAATAATTTTTTATTAATTAAAAATTATAAAAATTACGCTAGTCTCTCTTAATTTTTTACTCATATTTTTACATTTTATAACAAAATTTAATTAATAAATAAAAATACATTAATTAAAAAGAGTGAGTTAGCGAAACTACCCACTTGCAAATACATGAATGTCTATAATATGATCAAAGAACTTACCAAATGTGGCATCCGTTGTGCCTGGGATATCTGTGACTATCCTGTGAGTTAATAGAAGTTCAGTCAAGCTATATATAACTAAATGACTATACATATCTGATATTGAAACTCTTCTATCTGCATGCATGCATTTAATTTTCATATCTATGAACAAAATTTAATTTTTTTTTCTGTTTTTCTATCCATATTCGGATATTCCTGTATAGGTACTTTACTTTTTTCTTACCATAACGGCTCAAAAAATTTACCAAAGAATGGAGACTTAATTCTGCATGCGATGATTGATTAGTTATTTTAACCATATCATATATATTATATTGTATAATAAATACCAGTGTAAGTGTTCCCTCAGGTAGGGATCACTAGGGCCAGGGACGTCTGGATCTGTCATGACCTGAGAAAATTTCATGGAAATAAAATATATATTATAACAATAAGATGAAAAGAGATATAGAAGCGTGGATATTTGGTTAAAGAAGTAGGTACCAGAGTGAAGAAGGATCTCATATCGCCTCCATGAATCTGAACCTTAGGCTTAGTGGTTACTGAGGAAGGAAAAAATTCATGACCGTTGTAGACTTGCTTATTGTTGTAAGTGATAGTCGCTTTCACAGATGGAGTGAAATAATCAACTACATCTCCGATCACCCTCCCAATAACAAGAGGATCTGATGATATCATATTCACGGCCATGGAAGATTAATTGAAGTACGAGCCTCTGAAAGTGGTTGTGAAACCGGGAACAACAAAAAAGTTGTTAATGTTGCCTTGAGGGTGGTTGTGTGAGAATGTGAAGTAAAAACCCTATATTTATAATGTTCTTCCCTTCAATACACAGGAGACCAATTGACGAGGTAACAAGGGATGGGAGAATTGAAGAATATGGAATTTTATTTTTTGAAAAGAAGGATCTTATGATCAAAAGCCTGGAGTTGCACGAAAAATTATGATAACAGGACACTAGAAAATCATATATTTAATTTTAATATTAGTAATTTTTTTAATTATCTGTATTTACCACAACATATAATTCTTTAAATGTATTAAGAGCTTGAGTATTATATATTTAGTGAGAGTTTATAATTTTTTTTTGTCTAAAAATAATAGATGAGAGAGAGAAATTATAATTTTTTAATTACAAATTATAAAATAGTAAAAATTATAATAAGAGTTTACTAAAAAAAATGTCGAATCACGTGAATGTTTATATATTTTTTTCTTCATCTTTTGTTTTCTTGTTTTTAGTTGAGTATTTTAAGGATGAAGAGAATGCAAAATTTAACTATATCTTTTCAACAAAAAGTAAATCTTGATTATATATAAATCTTTTTTTTTTTTGGAAAAAAGAAAAGAAAAGAGGAAAGATTTTTGTTAATGCAAAGAGTAACAGCAATGCTAAATGAATTAGAAAAACTAGCATTTACCGTTTACTTCTAATGTATTCCATTGTTTTCTCCTATTAGCAGCTTCAAATATCTTGGATTTTGTTCTTTTGGGAGTGCAAAAATCCTGTATTATGAGTTGTTTATTATATATAATAATTTTATCTTTTTATGCATACTTTCTCTGATTTTATATTACATCATCTATCATATTTTATTATTAATATTATTACTATTTTTATTTTCTTTCTATCTCTCTTCTTATAGACTCTCTTAACACTCACAAAATATATAGGTTGTCAAAGAATAATTTTTGTTACGATAATATATATATATATATATATATATATATATATGTGTGTGTGTGTGTGTGTGTGTGTGTGTGCGTGCGAGTACTTTGGTTACGTTTCTTTTGTCTGTCAAAACATAAAAAAATAAAATTGCTTTCCTATTATAATGTCAGTACTATGCACGCGGTTCACTATGTGACTGTCTGGAATGATTGAGCAACCTTAAGCAAGAAAGGTAGAGATTAACTATGGCTTGGCACAAAAAATAAATGTTATCAATGTGAAGCTAGCACCTGGCGACGATTCTCAATTTCTATATCATTTCTCTTTATATATATTCAAAGGGGGAGGCAGGGAGAATTTGAGGTGCAAACTACAAAGGCATCGTTAAAACTAAAGGTATACATGGTGAAGACCATTTACACTAATGGTATAAAAAGGTGAAATTCCTTCCGTGGGTGTTATTAGAACCTTCCTTAACTGAACATTCATGGTAATGTTTGCCGACTATAAGGATAATTTAAGGGAGAGTTTGGAGTATAAAGGTATTCCACCCACAAATTATAGGCCACAAACAAAAAATTGTGTGGTGGTGGTTTGATGTCATTTCACGTAAAAGAAGATTCAGATGGAATGGATTACTTTTCATATTGAAATTGGGGCAGTGGGGGAGAGTGGATGGCTATATCTGGGAAACCCAGAACCATGAAATTTTTGTTCTCTTAATTACAGTATTCCTATTCCTCTTGTGATCACTTATAATTATACTGTTATCATTTACCAAGTAGTCTTATTAATTATTATTGTTTGCTTTCTATATTTGTAGCATATCTTCTTCTATTCAGTATAACCTTATCTTTTGTTATTGTTCTTTCGTGTGTGCATAGAATAAAATTCTGTATTCATAGCTAGGGAATAACTTAGCTTGATGCTTGGCTATAATTATCGTTTAATAACTAGATTAAACGGATTCGTAGAATCTCACCCGATAACTTCCATCACATCCTCGTTATGTTTATTTATTTTTTAAATAATAAGGAATAACAAAGTCTTTTCTTAGAGCTTTTTTTATTTTTTTATGTTTTTTGGCGAATAAGTCTTTTCTTAGAACTGTTCATTTCATTATGGGTTCCTCTAACTTTTAAGTTTGGTAGCTAGAAGGGGCCACCCAAACGGGCATCATATCTAGTGTTTGGTTTGCCTTGGCTGCAAGCTTGCAAATTTAACTTTTCGTTTAGAAGTCATTATTATTCAGTATGTGAACTAAATTAAACTCTTCAATGAAAAAGTTGTTTAGGTTCAATTCATAATAATTAAACAACATTATCAAGAAGGCATACCATTTTTTTAGTAGTCTCATTTAATATTAGAGATCGAGGAAGCATTCATTCATTATTATGCTCTATTAGTCGCCATATTCACTCCACAATTAGACTGAAATTTATTCACTCAAAATATAACATGTCAATTTCTTTTATATTTACCTTTTTAATATAGTATTCCAAGCCTAACAAAAATATAATATGTTTAATTTAATGGCACTCATCATTTTAATGACCTGACCTATTTTCACGACAAATTTAACAAAATAACAAGTATTTCTCTTCTTGCTACCTTTGCCTCCTCGTTTACTAGTTCACGAGGCCCTTGGAGTCAAACTTTTACATGGTGCTTAGTTTTCTCATAGTTAACCCCAAACCCAAATTCATAATAGAGGAAAACTGGGTCAACCTAGCTACATTGCTCCGTTGCTGTCAACCCCTTAGAAAAGAGATAAATAGGTTTCTATTTTTTTAATAAAAGTGAATTGAAAAAGTCTATTAGAAAATAAATAAAATTTTATTAATTAGTGTATGAATAAAGTTTCAATTACATAAATGCTTTTAGTAATAATTTGTTATTAAAAAATAATGTTTATTAAATAAAAAGTTATACATATATGTAGTATTTACAAAAAAATTAAAAACTTTACAATTCATCATAATGGTAATTTAATTTAAATTAAAAACCATAAATTTAAATATTAGAAAGTTTTTCTTTAAAGAACATAAATAAATTGAATAAAATATGCTTAAGATTTCTATTTGATAAGAATAGAATAAATAAATTAATGTATTTGTGGTTTGTTTTGGCTTTAAGGATAGAAACTGAAAATGGAACCAAATTTTGACATTCTTTTTTATAATTTATTTATTGATTGATTTTTTATCAGTTTTTCTGTTTAGAACGATTTTGATCAGTTTTAAACACTTTGCCTGAGTTTTTTGGGCTGGCCGAACAATCATAACAACATTTTGTACGGTGGGCCTGAAAACAATTTGTGTAAGTTAAGGGGCCCATAGAGGCCCTTTTAAGCGTAAAGTAATGAACGACGGTTGAAGCAGCAGCGGCAAAGGGTGTTCCTTGTTAGCATGAGATCAAGCTGTGTTTCAGTTATTACAGTTGGGGCAAACCCAACTAACACAACCACCTTAATAGACAAATGCACAACATTGTCCCAAGTGCGCCAAATTCATGCCCACATCATCAAAACAAACCTCGTCACTCACGCACTCTGTGTCGCTAAACTCATCAACGTTCTTTCCCATAGTTGCAATCCCTACGACGCCGTTTCCGTTTTTGCCCACGTGCTCTCTTGCTTCCAAGACATGCGAGGAATCGATTTTTCTGTTCCCTCTGTTCTTAGAGCTTGTGGAAGGTCACGTGCATTCGAGGAAGGGAAGCAAATTATGGGTTTCGTTTTGAAAACCCATTTGTGGGGTGACCCGTTTGTAACGAACTCTTTGGTTCGCATGTGCTTGGAGGTTGGTATGATTGAACTTGCAAGATCAGTGTTTGATAAAATGCCTGTAAGAGATTTGATCTCTTGGAACTCATTACTTTCGGGGTATTTGAAAGCTGGTGAGATTGAAATGGCACGTGAGGTTTTTGAGAAAATGCCTCAAAGGGATGTGATTACTTGTAATGCCATGATTGATGGGTATGGGAAGCATGGGATGTGTGAGCTTGCTGAGGAGGTTTTTATGGGCATGAGTGTAAGGGATGTGGTTACTTGGACAAGTATAATTTCGGGTTTTGTGATTAATCATCAACCAAGGAAAGGACTATGTTTGTTCAGAGAAATGTTGAGTTTAGGGGTTCGACCTGATGCTCCTGCTATTGTTAGTGTCCTTTCAGCCATTGCTGATCTGGGTTTTGTTGAGGAAGGAAAATGGATACACACTTACATATATACTAATAAGATACATCACAATTATAGTTTCATTGGATCAGCACTCATAAACATGTATGCTAAATGTGGCCAAATAGAAAATGCTTACTTTATATTTAGAAGCATTTGTCACCGGCGAAATGTTGGTGACTGGAATTCTATGATCTCTGGTTTGGCTTTACATGGATTGGGTCATGAAGCTATTGAGGTTTTCCAGGACATGGAAAGGGCAGAACTTGAGCCTGATGATATCACTTTCTTAGGGCTTTTAAGCGCTTGCAACCATGGAGGCCTCATGGAGGAGGGCCAATTTTATTTTGAAACCATGCAGGTGAAGTACAAGATAGTTGCTAAAATTCAACACTATGGATGCATTGTTGACCTTCTTGGTAGAGCAGGTCGCTTAGAAGAGGCACTTGGGGTTATACATGATATGCCTTTGGAGCCTGATGTTTTAATTTGGAAGGCCATTCTCAGTGCCAGCATGAAGCATAATGACATTGTAATGGGGCACACTGCTGCATTTCGAGCTATTGAATTGGCTCCAGAAGATTCAAGTTGTTATGTTCTTCTCTCAAATATCTATGCCAAAGCAGGAAGGTGGGATGATGTGAGTAAAGTTAGATCAATGATGAAAAGAAGGGGAGTGAGGAAAATTCCTGGATGTAGCTCCATTCTTGTTAATGGTGAAGTCCATGAGTTCCTTGTGGGTAAGGCCATGGATGTAGGGTACAACCAAAGTGTTATCTCAAAGTTAGAGGAGGTTGTGTGTAAGTTGAAGTTGAATGGATATGAACCTGATCTCAATCAAATTTTTCTTGATATTGAAGAGGATGAAAAAGAGTGCCAACTAACTCTTCACAGTGAGAAAATGGCTCTTGCCTTTGGATTGTTGAGTGTGCCAAAAGGTATTCCCATTCACATAGTGAAGAATTTAAGAATTTGTTGTGATTGTCACACGTTCATGCAGCTGGCTTCAAAAACCTACGAACGTCGAATTATTGTCAGAGATCAAAACCGTTTTCATCATTTTGATAAGGGCTTCTGTTCCTGCAGAAATCATTGGTGACTGCTGTATTATGGTATCATGACGAGTTCATAGTTTGGGCAAGGTATAGTATATAACGCTTTCATCATTTACATGGGTTTTGTTAACATCTTTTAAATAAAAGTGTAAACAGAACTATTTTTATAAATTGTGTATAATTAACCATCTACTACCATGTTATCTGAAACCACGCGGTATAGTGCATGTTCAGTTTGTTTCTAATTGGAATATAACTTTATGGACATTTGAATTAAAGCAAATTTTTTTCTCATAACGTGCGCAGTAAATTTCTAATAAGCAACCAGCTAAACCCTTATTATATTAGAGCTTTAAAGTTAGCATTCATTAGTAAAAGTGTCAATAAATTATTATTGGCAAAGCATATTATAGGCAGAGAAAGAAAATGAAAAATAAATAATAGAATTAACAAATTTAGGTTAAAAAAAAGAGAAGATTTTGAATGTTATTTAGGATGTCATAGGCTTTTGTTTCTGTTTTGGTTTTTAATTTTTAAAAATTATATTTTAAAACAATTTTAAAAACTGTTTTTACAAACAGAAAATAAACAAGTTCTTACTTATGCTACTTTTTAATTTCTCAAACGAGCAAACAAAATTCTATTTATGTTTTATTTATTTCCTTGTTATTCTTTCTTCACTTTTTTTTTTTTAACTAAACAAAGCATAAATGTTATATATCTCTTCCTCTCACCCTCAAACAAAGATAAAACTTTTCCCTTTATTCTTTATTTTTTAAATTTCTGTTTAATTTCTATCCATATCATATTACTTAAGGGGTGAGAAAAATATTATTATTGTAGTATATTATTTCACTTTCTCTCTTTTTGAGGAAAAAAAAAAAGGAATGAACATAGGAACTCTACGGCAAATTGGAGTAATGCCGATCAAATTATTGGTAGTTTGTAAAATTAATGCATAATGATAAGATATCTTGTTCTAGAAAATTATTGAATGGACCACTCTCATTTGGCTAGCTTACCTTCCTACTATGCCTTTTTTTTTTGCTACGTGACAAATTAAGTTACTGTTCCCTGGTTCAATTGATTACTCAATGAAAGGCTACGATTACAACAGTAATCAGTAACGATGGAATGGCTATAAGTACAGTCACTTCAAAGTTTAAAATAACATTAAAATAGAAATACATCATAAAATAATAATAGAATTAAATTTTTTTATATAATTTTTTTGGGAGGACAAATTATTTTTTTATTTTTGTTGTTCTCAGAGACAAATTCTATATTGTATCTTTGCGGCTTTAGAGGCTACAAATCACAAGCACAATTATCGAGTAGATAACTATGTTAAATATTTAGCAAAAGAATTTTATGACTTGTAATGAATCACTAATATGAATTTTTTAAAGATGTGTGTAATCTAAACATAAAATAATAAAACATGGGAAAATTTTAACTAATAAAAATAAAATATTTTACACCCAATCCCATTCCTTAAAAATTATTTTATAGCTAAAAATCAAATGCGGCTGTGGCGATCCAAATTTCATTCTTTTTTTGGTTTTATTTGAGCAGTGGTAAATGGCATATTATTCAAAACCAACGCAATAATAAGTTGGATGTCATTTTAATGAAAATGCTTTGGTGATATTTACCATTATCAAATTTGTTTTATTGATCAATTGAGTTAGATAGTGACTAGTATTCGTCGAATGAGTTATTAGCTTGCAATTTATTGCGTGCATGTAGGTTCCCAAGATAGTAGAATTTGTCAGTGTTCACTACACTAGCTCACATGTCATTGGCAGCTATCATCTTGTCTGTGTGGGAAAAAGTAAGTTTACTTTAAGTTATTAAATATGTTTTGGCTCTTTTTTGAGAATTAATAAAAAAATTTAAAAATATTATTAATATATTTTTTTACCTTATATACCAAAAATAAAATGCACAATTAACATTATTCTAATTATAATTTTATTTATATATTCTTTAATTTTTGGCACTAGTTAACATAGCATGACCGAAGCATGATTGGATGAACGTTTCTAAATTTAATTTTATAAAATTAATTTTATTTAAAAATAAATTTAAAACCACATAATTTATGGTTTATTTTAAAAAATGTAAATTTATAACAAAATTTAGTATATTCTTTTTACTTAACGCAAAATTTATAATTTATTATGTTGAATTTAAAGAGTTTTAATGCTACTCCAATGACGTCATGGTCAAATATGGTTGTTTATCTCTTTATAACTTTTTAAATGGAGGGATTTTTCTAGAGTCTCATATGCATTTTTATTTTTTCAAGAAATAAACACATATCGAGACATGAGTGGTCGCACCCTTTAAGTGAGTGACCCTTGGAAGGACATAAGGTATTTGAGAGAGAAGAAAAATCGATGGTTTGTTTGGGACTCAGATTCATACAATAAACGCCAAGTTACTGAGAGTTCCTTACTTGCTGGAGGTGGGTCTTCTTTGAATTTACTTCTTCTTTCTTCCATGCCACTTTATTTTACTCTTCTGATTTGATATTATCGAGTTTGGTTCGTATATTTTATGTTGAGTTTCATTTTTCGTTTAAAATATGAGATGAGGTTCGTTGGTTGCCACGTGGGACTCTCGTTGCCATTTAAATGTTAAGACTATTCCTCTCCTTCTTCTGCTCTTGCTTTTGGTGAAATGAATGTTCAGAACAGATAATGTGTTTATGAACGGAGTTCAGGGAATGATTGGATCTGAACAGAGTTCTGGGAAGTATTGTTTTAAAGTGCTTTATATTTTTACAAATTGAAAATATTTAATAATCGATATCTAATGTCAATATGATGATTAAATGGAAAAAATTAATATTTTTATTTTTGAAAATAAATTAAAACAAAAAAATTTGGATGTTGGTGACCGTATTACAGAACAGAGTGTTCTGTCATGAACATCACACCGCTTTTTTCTTCTGTTTTGGTTTTCTGGGATTTGACGAAAAGGTTGTGGATTGAATTATATTATATTATATATAGGGTCTAGAAACTGATAAAGGCAACGGATGTTTTTTCCATGTAAGAATCGAGAAAAAAATTGTCGTTTACTCTGAGCTATGGCATCGAGTTTTTTTGTTAAAATAGTAAGAAGCGTGGTTACCCCGAGAGAGTTCCACGTTTCGTGCCTCCCCTGTCATTCACACCTCATTCCTTTCTGTCTTGTCCCTTTAACGTCATCCTCTTTTCTTATTCTTCTCTCTCTCACACTCACTCAGACAGACACAAACTGGAGCTTTTGTTTGCAGTTGTTGTTTCATAGCTTCGGGGATAAGGTATACTCCCTTTACATTTTGATTAATGGATAATGATTGAAATGGTATACAAACTGAGTTTGTGTTTCTGTTTAGCTAGAAGTTCAGTAGGTGAAGCAATCAACGGTTTAATCTCTGTCAACTGTAAATAAACTGTCAGTTCTGTTTTTTTAAAGTATTTGTTAAGACGTTCTGCGTTGGTCAACTCTCTTCTTATGAGTAAATTTTTTGGAGTGAGTTAGTCTAGAAATTTTAACATGATATCAGAATTTATTAAATATAAATGTTGGGTTACTCACAGATTTCTAGTTTTGCAATTCGTTCTTGTATTAAAATGTTGAAGTGGCAAATGTTATTGAGCTTCACAAATTGATGGGGCAGTCTTTTTTTTCCTTCTTTTTTCAAGCAATGGTTACTGGAATAGCAGTGGCATTGATGATGATTCTCATAGGGTGGGCTTATATGGCCTTAAAGCCCCCTCCTCCAAAACTATGCGGATCCAAAGGTGGTCCTCCAGTCACTTCAGCTAGAGTGAAGCTCAGTGATGGGAGGCATTTGGCCTACCGGGAATTTGGTGTTCCTAAGGATGAAGCTAAGTACAAGATCATTGTCATTCATGGATATGGCAGTTCAAAAGATGCAAATTTGCCAGTTTCTCAAGTATGAACTACTTGCTCTTCTTTTATTTATTTACGCTTTTGCCTGATTTGATTGTACAGCATTAATAATGCTTGCTAAGAATTGAAATATTATTTTTCTGTGGAGAGAGCTGATGAGTAGCACCATGTTAAGCTCAAGATGTTACAGATTTTGAAAGAGACAAGCAAATCATGTTGTTCATTGTGTACCGAGTAATTTTACATATTTCTTATTGATATGTTTCTGTAATATGTTTATAATATTTTAAATTTGAAGAACTAGTATCGCAAAGCCTATTCAATTACTGTTTTAAAAAAACTTGAGCAAAAGTGGTATTATTGAATTGAAGACGGTAGCACATTCAAAACATAATGCGAAGAACCCCTTATTCACTTATCATGTTTCATTCTTAATTTTGTTCATCGGACATCATTCTAAATTTACTTCCATTTGTTGTATTTTTCACCATTACGAAAACTATCAATATTTTTATTTTATTTGGCAAAAAATTAATTTTACTTTTTAAATGAATAACTTTTTTATAATTATTTTATTTGTCTTTAATCATATATAATGTATCAAAGTTTAAGTATGTTCTCTCACAGAATTAATTAACCCGAACATTTAAGTTTCCATGTGTGGCATGAGTCTACATATGTTAAATTTGAGTTTGCTTGTATGTAGGAATTTATTGGAGATCTTGGGATATATTTCCTCTACTATGACAGAGCAGGTTATGGTGAAAGTGATCCACATCCATCACGCTCTGTGAAGAGTGAAGCATATGACATTCAAGAACTAGCTGATAAATTGCAACTTGGTTATAAATTTTATATAATTGGAATGTCAATGGGAGGTTACCCTGTTTGGAGCAGCCTAAAATACATTCCACATAGGCACGTTAATTTCTAACTTAGAGCTTCATGATATTTTTCATTCATGCTCATGAAAATATATATAATAAAACATCTTTAACAGATTATCAGGAGCAGCTTTGGTGGTTCCATTTGTAAGCTATTGGTGGCCTTCTATTCCTGATAATCTATTAAGAGAAGCACTTCTAATGCTACCTAAGTCAGACCAATGGACATTTCGAGTTGCTCATTACACCCCTTGGTTATTCTATTGGTGGATGACTCAAAAATGGTTCCCTTCATTGACTTTGACAACTTTGTTTTCTCCAGATGACAGAGAAATCCTGAAGAGCTTCCAAAACACTAGTCAGGTAATTGTACAATAAAATATTATTAAAAATCATAAAATATAATACATTAATAATGATACATATAGAGCTGTGTGATCAAACTCCAAGCAAAAGCATTCCATATTTTGGGAGATGAAATGCAATGTAAAATGGGATATGCTTTGTTTGGCACTAATTAACTATTGCTATTTGCCAACTACAAATAATATGTGTCTGAACATTCAGGAGAAGATAACTCAACAAGGTGAATATGAATCATTACACAGAGACGTGATGACAGCTTTTGGAAAGTGGGAATTTGGGCCAACGGAAATAGCAAATCCATTCCATGAAAACAATGGTTCAGTCCATTTATGGCAAGGCTTTGAAGATAGGATAATTCCCTATACCCTAAACCGTTACATCTCACACAAATTACCGTGGATTCGTTATCATGAGATTCCTGGTGCAGGGCATCTTTTTATTTTCAAGAAAATTCAATGCGAGTCTATTATTAGAGAACTTTTGCTCTCACCACATATTTCTTAATAAGATCTATTGTGCCCAGTAAACCATTCGTTTATTTTAATGCGATAGCGAGTTTTGTAGGGACTTGTCATATCTTTTATTGTTTATAAATTTTTAATTTTTATCACATTGTATCATTTAATATATTTTATTTTTCTTTTATTTGTTTTGATCTCTCTCGTATCCAAAAAGTGTATAGAAAAATATTTTTTTCAACTTTTTAAAATATTTAACTTTACAAAAAAGTGTGCAGATCATAATTTGTACAACAAGTGGTGTTTTGCACACTTAGATAGTGTTTAGTTTAGAGACGGATATGAAAATATGCTTTATTATGTTTGGTTAGTATTTTGTTAAAAACAGAAATATGAAAAGACACGGGAGACATAAATTTGAAAAACAGCAGTATATTTTCTAAAAGAAAAAAAAGGAAGAGACATAAATCAAATGTTATTTTACAGTATTTTATACTTTTTTTTACATCAAAATATTTGGATTACATGAGAAATAAGATAATGTTAAAAGAAAAAAAAATATAAAGTGAAATGAAGTCAGAGTTATACTAAGATTAAATATTAAGATATTTATATTTTTTTGGATGAACTTACGGATAAGTAATAACTATTAAAAGATAAAATATTATAAATTAATTTTAATTTATGAATTTTATTTTCTATTTTTTTGTTTTATAGATCTTATGAGGTTTAAAGAGAATATATATAATCAAGATTTACCCAACGATCAACTCCCATTCAAAAGTGTCACGATATGTCAAATAAATGTCCAACGATCTCGACAGCTGATATTTGATGACTAGTAGGTGAATAATGTTAAGAAATCAAAACTAAAAATATTTCATGACAAATTATTAATAATATATTTATCGTATTTTTTATATATTTCTAGTGTTACTCTTAATAAAATATTATTTATTATTATTTTGATTAATATATGCAGGACGCTAATTTTTAAGACCTGATAATAAAAGATACACTATAACTTGACTCTGCATTATAGAAGGGACCTTAAGGTCATACCACTGAAATTGAGTGTGAAGATAAACAACTTCCTTAGCTTTTCTTTGTCCCAATATGCTCACAGCAGCAGTGGTATTAGTGTTTATAGTGAGCATTGTTATTTACGCCTATGAAAGAATGAAACCTTCTCCACCAAAAGTTAGTGGAACACCAATAGGTCCTCCAGTTCACCAAGAATTAGGCTGAGTGATAGTAGACATTTGGCTTACAGGGAGAGAGAGGCGTGCTTAAAGAAAATGCCACTTACAACGTCATCCTTGTCCATGGTTTTGACAGCTCCAAGGATTTATATTTGCCCCTTTCTCAGGTAACAAACTCTACATCACAAAGTACATTGCTTTATCCACCTCCCTCTTCCTTTTACCATCACTATGGTTTAGTTAAGAGAAATTTATCTGTAAATATTTATAGGCATACAAAATAGTAAAATAATCAAAATTTTGTCATAAATTAAAGATAATTTATGCTTCTTTTTTTTTTTTTTAAGAAGCTCTCTTATTTAATCTTTTCAAAACTTGAGAAATATAAGTTGCTTTGAACATATGAAATTTTTTTAATCATTTTTCATATAAGTTTTTCATACAGATATTTGAAAATTTTTAGAAGGCTAGTATAACATTAAAAGTATTTAAAGAATTAATGTGATAATATCATTTTTTTTAAGGACTGGGTTAGAAAATTTTCCTAAATAATAATATCCAGATTTAATGAGATGGAGTTAGGGGTAACTACAGGACAGTTTGGTTTTATTTTATACGTTTTTTTAATCTTAAATTCAATAACAATTAGAGCAATTAGCAATAACAATTGTATGATATGGTCTTACAGGACATAATGGATGAGCTGGGTTTGTACATTGTGACATTTGACAGAGCTGGGTACGGAGAAAGTGATCCTTACCCAAATCGCAACGTGAAAAGTGAAGCATTTGATATCCAAGAAATGGCTGATCAGTTGCAATTAGGCCCAAAATTTCATATCATTGGACTCTCTATTGGCACTTATGCACTGTGGGCCTGTCTCAAGTACATACCCCATAGGCAATCTTTATTCACTTATTGTTCTTTTTTTTTTTACTTGGGATTGTAGTATAAGATACGGCAGCATGGTGAATATGAATCCCTTCATCGAGATCTAATAGTGCATTTTGGCAAATGGGAATGGAGCTAAGAAGTCCATTCCCCCAAAATGAGGGGTGTGTCTACCTTTGGCCACATGATGACAAGCTTGTACCATTTGAACTACAACGTTACCTTGCCAAACAACTACCTTGGATACGGTACCATGAAGTCGCTGATGGTGGCCATTTGATGATCCATGAAAAATGTTTATGTGAAACTATTTTCAAACAACATTTGCTTGGAGAAGAACCAACATTCAATTAGGCCTTTTTATGCCAAGGACAGTTTTTTCTCAAGACATTATCAGAATGTGCCAACGGGGCATCTTGTTTGTTGTAAAATGTAATAAGAGTCATTGGGCTTATTAATAATCAGCTATATTCTGGCCAGTGCTTGTTAGGTATGCCTCTTTGAGAAGTTTGACTTGTGGGCTTATATTGGCTTTGCTAACAAAATGACTTGTTTCTTTTGTGTGATCATCACCAACAGCATGATAACATAGGCATTCTGTGAATATTAATATACCACTTATTTTCTGCTCACAGATTTTTACTTTCATTGTTAGTACAGTTTTTGTCCCCAAACTTTGACATGGCTATCTTTGCACGGTTTTCATTGGGTCAGCCCGTCGAGCCGAACAGAGATTCTTTTAGTAACGAATCAATAGTGACTTCCATTAATTACAATGAATGAGTATGGTCAAGTTATGGTTATATATAATTCGGTTTTGTTAATTATTATCTTAAAATATTAGTTATAAAATACACATTTAATGCTATTAATATATCTTGTCAGACAATATAGTTAACAAAATGATATATTATACACTGCAATACAATATTATCCTTACACAAAAGAATGGCCTTAAAAAAATGAGTCGATTTTTTTTTTAACGTTTTCTTACTAATTTTTCTTATAATGTAATATTGTTCGAAGAATAGTTAAAGACTAACATTTTCTATTGGATCGAACTTCGTTACTTGAAAAAACGTGGCTTTATCGAGATTTCTTGTACCAAAAGTAGTTTTTTAGGGAGTCATAAGATATAACTTGCTGGAATTGTTATCCTTGTTCAAGAAGAAAAGAAAAATAAATAAATTGTTTTGCGTGTATATATGGAGCCCATTAGTAAGTCATATACGTAAATGATGTCTAAATTTAAATATTAATCTAGCAGTAGCCAATTTAAATAGTAATTTCTCCTTTTAAAATCATGATACATAAATACGGTTCTCTAGTTCTCTATTTATATTAATAGTAGATTGACTCTTAACCTATTTTAAATAATTGTCTTATTAAATGCCAAGTGATAACAAACTGTAAATTATACGTTTAACACGGATTCAAAATTTTTCATTTTTACGACTAAAGCATCTTTTTATTTTTTAATTATCATTTCTAACAAGAATAAAATCTTATGAAGAAGGCAGAATATAAGGGCAAACATAATTATACAAATAACGTATGTTCTCAAACAAAATTGACAGTGAAATCCGGCAAGAAATTCCGAAGAATATTCTTCATGTAATTGGGTATAAACCTAGAATCTGTTATGTCATTGTGGGCCTGAGAGCAATTACGGACCGCAAGAGTATTCATGTTATTATGCTTATACAAACCTACCAACCAAAGTATCTGTTAATCTCCGAACCGAAAAATGATATGTCAATCTAAAAAGGGAAATGGCTTTGAACCATGAATAATTACTATACCTGTCTTTATCTAATCATCTAATTTAGTAAGCGTGTGCAATTCACTAGTATTCCTACATTACAATGTCACTCTAAGTATATTTACACGGCTAGTCTTAAAAACAAAATTTGGAGAAATTAGGGAGCTAGCAACCCTTTCAAATTCTAACTTACAATAATATTATAAAAAATATTATACTGATTTAGAGGAATTTTTTAAGAGATATAATTATATTATATTATATATACAGGAAAAAAGATCTTTTTACACACCGAGTCTAAAAATTTAAATTTTTTATTCAATTTATATCTAATTATTAGTAAAATAATAAATTATAATTCGTTAAATATTTAAATTTATAATAATGGAAAAAGATTATATATATATAACATGAGAGTAAAATACACTTGCTGAACAATATGTAGTAACTTGTAATGGAAAGCAACTTAGGCACTTGTCTGTCAGACCATATGAAATGTTATCAATTGGTAACGGATAGACAGAAAAGATGCTCCCTAATGGAACCTTTCAAGGGATATCCCCAACGGAAATCACTTCAAAAAGTCAAAGAAAACGCACAACCCTCTCTGTTTTTTATTTTTAAGAAGGAAGTAATCAAATTCAGCTCCATTCCATTGATGTGCATGAAGAGTTTATAAGATCCTTTAAGTCAAGAGCAAATGAAAAGAATAAGACATCATCTTAAACTATTGACTCAAATCCCACAAGCTCAGACACAGAAAATCTGCAGATGTTTCTGTCAGGTTAGCACCTCACTACTACAGTTTTCTGCCTTTTGTTTATATATGTGATCATTGTGCCAGAAAATTGCATGCTATACCTACCCTCTATCGTTTATAGAGCAGCAATAATGTTACTCATGAGTTTTCTGACAATGGTTCAGCAGGGAACTCAAGTAACTCAACTTTCTCCGAACCATAATGATTCATCAGATGATTTTGCTGTGGTTTCACCAAGAATCAGACTCAGAGATGGGAGGCACCTTGCCTATGTTGAGAGAGGTGTCTCCAAGGACATAGCAAAATACAAGATCATCATTGTTCACGGCTTTGGAAGTTCCAAAGAGATGAATTTTCTGGCACCCCAGGTAATTAATAGCCTTAATCTCTCTTTGCAAAACACTGGGCATGATCTAATTAGCAGGGTACCATAGAAACAAAAACTGTATTAAGGTGTCCTATCAATATCGAGAAAAATTGAAAATTTGACCGTTAAGAAAGGAAACAAGTGAAAAAGGTTCAAAATGCTTAGGATGCGTTGCACAAATCAAAAGACTTGGCTGATCAAATACTTGCACACAAACAAGATGTGTCTATTGGCTATTAGTATTCATGTTTAGCATGATTTTCTTGTGTTTTTCAAGTAAGTTGTAGAGGGCTATGAGTATTGAATTTGACATATAGTTTGAATACATCTCACTTAAACATGCTTTTGGAAGTAGGTACTATTACTGTACAATTAAATTATTCTAATTTCTAAATAAAATACGATTGCTCTGAATCTATAGGAATTAATAGATGAATTGGGGATATATCTTCTGCAATATGACCGGGCTGGATATGGAGAAAGTGATCCAAACCCCAAACGCTCACTAAAAAGTGAAGCACTTGACATTCAAGAGCTGGCTGATCAGCTACAATTAGGACCACAATTTTATGTGATTGGAGTCTCAATGGGTTCATATGCTACCTGGAGTTGTCTAAAGTATTTGCCTCACAGGTAAATTACAATATTCAATAAATGTATTCTAAATTCTCCCTTTTGGCTAAGTATGTGAAAAGTGAAAGACTATTTGTGCAGGCTTGCAGGGTTGGCACTGATAGCCCCAGTCATCAATTACAGGTGGCCTTCATTCCCTGGGAGTTTGATAAGGGAGGACTATAGGAGGAAACTTGTTCAGTGGGCACTGTGGCTTGCAAATCACTGTCCTAAACTATTGCATTGGTGGGTCACTCAAAAGTGGCTCCCTTCAGCTGCTGTTATAGAAAAGAACCCAGCATTCTTCAACAAAAGTGATATAGATATTCTAAAGACAATACCCGGGTTCCCAATGCTTACCAAGGTTAATTTATAGTGTTAAGTAGGAGAAAAGAAATTTTCATAAAATTTCCCTTATTTGGTTCAACAAAGGAAAGAGGGAGGAGGCAAGGGAAAATATTATGACCAAAATCTCTATCTTATAGTATTAGTTTATGAATTATGTTGACCAAATTATCTTTAGTTTGAATACTTGAGTTTATTGGTTTTATTTGTCTACCAGAAGGATATAATAATTAATTATTTTATTTTTTTCTTCTTCCCTTCTCTCCGTTGAATAAAAAAAAAGGGTATAATGTTTTATGTTAATATAATTATGCTATGGAAGTAATTGTGATCGTGGTAAGTTCCTATTTGCAGGACAGTTTAAAGGAACAGGATGTTTTTGACACTCTTCGCCATGACTGGAGGGTGGCTTTTGGCAAATGGGAATTTGACCCAATGAAGCTAAGTAATCCATTCCCAAAGTGTAGAAGTTCGTTTCACATTTGGCACGGCTTTGAAGATAAGGTTGTGCCCTCCGAACTCCAGAGATTTGTTTCAGGGAAGCTGCCTTGGATACATTACCATGAAGTTCCGGATGGTGGTCATTTAATTATATACTATAGGGGCTTGTGTGAGGCCATTTTGAAAGCACTTTTACTTGGACAAGAAAATCTTGCATATAGACCTACAGCCACCCTTATTTGAATCTTAATGTGCCATGTTTTCATAATCTAATTTGTTTCTTTGTTAACATTTTTTTAGTAAGATGTCAATTGTATAAAATACATTTGTTATGTGAAAAAAAAAGGAAAATGAAACATATGTATATTACATTCAGTCGCTTTGTTTGTGAAGTTGCAGTCCTAATAAAGTTTTCTATTTTGATAATCGTAACATTGTAAAGATAAAATGGTTATGAAGGAGACATATTACTGTGACTTTACGAAAGGTCTATCATAATGCCAAGAAAGAGGTGAAGATGAATGTCATGTTGAGCTTGAGTCCCACATTGATGGCTACATTTATCTGAAGCCTTTATAAATCCGGAATGAGATAACCTATTGGCAACCGGACCATGAGGCGATGTGAATGGGCTCAAGCTAGTCACTGGGCTCAGGAAAGTCCCCGGGCCCAACATCTGCGGAGACGCAGGCTCGGTAACGGGTAAACTTCAAGTGGAGTTTGTTACACCCTTCGAGGTGTGGGCTGAGACGCGTGCGGAGCCCAATTCAAATTCCGCTGAAGCAATTGGCCGTCATCACAGTCATTCACATGGTCTTTCACGACCAACAGAACGGGGCTTACGACCTTGTGGTCCTTTTTTTTTTTTCATTACGTATATGAAAGAAGAGTCCAAAGAAAGTAAATACTATAACCATCCCTCGCATTGAATTTTCCTTCTGTATTCCACCAATCTACTTTCAATAAATTTTCTGTTTTAAATAATGTTTTTTTCCCCCTTACTATTAACTTCATATTAAAATGTTATTTTTTAATTAGAGAACTGGACAACAAACATAAAGAGCAAGGATGCTTTTACTTGAAAGGTAAAAATGGTGTTACGCTTCAGGGAAATAAGGTTGATAGCACAAAACGTGTCAATATATAAAGAAATAAAAAGTCGAAACTGTGTGAAAGAAAGACTAAAACCTGCGATTAAAACAAATGGTGCCAATGGCAGTTAAAGTTTGTGTCTCTATGCAGTGTATACCATTCCTCCTATTCTCTTTCTCTTCTCCTATCATTTCCACCCCCTTTCTTTCATAGAGTTGGTTTTGGTGTTGCTTTTCTCTCTCAAATTTTTAATTTCAAATCTTTCCCTATTTCAGAATCCAGATTCTCCCTTGCTGTTTGTTTTCAGGTACACATGGATATCTATTCTTTGTATTTCTCTCCTTCTAATTTTTTCCTTTCTTTCTTCAAGTTTATTTTATAATTTTGCTTCTGTTTCTTCCCTTAATCTGCTTTTATCTTGTGGATCAAATTCAGATGCATGTTTGCATGTTGCATGCAACTGGTTAATTTGGTGAAACGGTCCTAGAAGCATCATGTTATCATCTTAATTACATTGTCCACAGAGGGTTTTTTTTTTTTTTAATATTTAATTGTTTATTTTCAAACCTGTGTCTAATTTTATTTTTTTCTATCTTTCCTGCTATTTCTGGTCGGCGGGGGTTGGTTAAAAATTTTATGCATATGTATCTTAAATCAAGTTATTGATGCAGTTCAATTTCTCAAGAGAAAATTCATGCTGATTTTATTAAAAAAAGTTATTGATGCACTACAATTTCTCGAGCTTTAGATCTGACTCATCTGAGAATCCATCAGTAATAGCCAAGAAGTTTGCTGGGTTTTTTTTATTTTTATTTTTTTTGCAATAAATGATGGTAGTTTCTGAGACAAAAACTGTTCTTTATGACAAAATTTCCCAAGAATCAGCACCTTCATCCGCACACATGGCTTTCCAACAATCAGGGCAAAAGGTGCAATTGCAAAATCCAGAAGCTACATTTTCCCAACTTAGTAAACAAAACTCAATACTCACACTCACCCTTGATGAGTTCCAATGCAAGAGTGGAAAGAGCTTTGGATCCATGAACATGGATGAATTCCTTGCCAGCATTTGGAGCTCTGATGATAATCAAGTTAACCCACCACTACCCACTCATAATGAAGCTGCCAAGAGTAAAGGTGTTGCAAAAGAACCAACTCAACCTACCACTTCCAAGCAAGGTTCATTCTCTGTCCCTCCTCCAATTTGCAATAAAACTGTGGATGAAGTTTGGTCTCAAATCCATAAAGACAAACCACAACACAATGCAGCTAATGACAACCTTGGCAAGAATGAGACACTCAAAAAGCAACAAACGCTTGGTGAAATGACTTTGGAGGATTTCCTAATAAAAGCTGGGGTAGTACAAGAATCATCATCACATCAACCAAGAACTACTTGTAATAATATTGCAACAAATGGGCCATTGAATGCAAGTTATAGATTGAGGCCTGCAATGAGGATGGGATTTTCTACCCAACATGATACTGGGAACAATGTGTCTATTAATGGGCTTGAAGCACACCAAATGTTGCTGCAGAATAACAACTTAGTTGTAAAGGATCAAGCTACAAGTCGCACACTAGAGAAATGCCAAACCTTACCAGAGTCAGGTGGGAATGGTAATAGGAAGAGGATAATTGATGGTCCTCCTGAAGTGGTAGTAGAGAGAAGGCAGCGCAGAATGATGAAGAATCGCGAATCAGCAGCACGATCTCGAGCAAGAAGACAGGTTTTGTGCTCATCACAAGCTACTCTTTGTTATACATCAATTTGATATGCTTATTAGTTAGAATCATGTAACTTAATTACGTATGTTTCAGTACTCTTTGCTATACATTAATTTGATATGCTCATATAAACATGTAACTTAAACTTAATTAAGCTTCAGTACTTCACTGTCCATCTAATTTTTGTTAATTTTTATGCTATGTTATTTGCACGAGGGAAAGAAAAATGCACATTCTTTAGATATGATTTATCAATTATATACCTAATGTTTTGGAATGGTATCAGCTTGAATTTGAGGTAATTTCCCTTGTGTCAAAATCTTCTAATGCAGGCATACACGGTGGAGTTAGAAACAGAGTTGAATCTGCTTACAGAAGAGAACGAGAAGCTAAAACAAATTCTGGTATACAATATTGAAATTGAAGATTCCTATTCTTATTTTTCTTATTATATTATGGTTTATATGTGTTTTCAGACTTTTAACATACTTGTCTTAATTTAAATCTGCAATAGGCTGAAGCTGAGCGCAAGAGAAAACAAGAGGTCGTTGATTATGTTTCAAATATAAGTTAGTTTTGATATATAATATTGGAGGGTTATTAAATTAACATCACTTTGTATTTATGATGTATTGATTCAGATTTCCCAGAGAAAGCACTCAACAGTGGCTCAAAAGAGGACAGAAAAATGGAGGGCAATGAGGAGGCCTATAAGTGCTGCCTGGTGAATAGGATTAAAACATTAGCATACACATGATGTGGAGCAAATAATAATGTGTCTGTACCCTTAAGATATTCTTATTCACTCTTGCTGCACATTAGCAAATATGTATGATTGAAAGTGATATAAATGTTACTATTATTCAAATAAGGATAACTTTAATTTATTAAAAATTTAAAAAACATGTATATTATCTAAGATTTGGCCCCGACGTTGGCTTGCCTGCAAAAACTGCTTCTGAAGATGGCGGCTAAGTTAGTTAATCATTATTTTCACCATCGGTGATGATGAGACTAATTTCTTTGAAATTTATTTATTTTTAGTGTAAAATAGCTGAAAAGGAGAGAAATAAGGAATACATTTCAACGACTAATGAAATAAATAAATAAATAAAATAAAAAATAAGAGAACAAACAATACATAAAATTATTATAATATTTTTATCAATTTCTTAGCCACAACAATGAATGGTTTTGATCAGTAGTTGCAATATATATAAACATTAATAAAGTAATATCATTCTTCTTTCTTGAACCTGCCCGTGACTATAGCTTATGATGGATCAAATAGGTCACAAATAAGTTGTTTGACGAGTTCTGCATGAGATAAAGTTACTAATTTTGTTTCTCTGACATGTGCATGTGCGCCTATGGTCCTAATTCACAAACACATACTAACATGCACGTATTGCTTTATGTTAGTCATATCTCTTTAATTTCCATGCACACACAAACACGCCATCTCATTGACATCATATAGTCCTAAACTTTTATATATTAGAACATGCACCAATAGTGAAAGTATTTATTTTTTAGCAACTAATCATTTTCTCAGAAGCAAAGCAAATTAAGAAACACAAGGGCTAGACGCCTATACCTACAATTGTTAGAAAATATCATAGATTCAACCACGTGGGCTAGTAAGCCCTGTATGTCAGCACTACAAGTTTTTTCTTCTTTTCCTGCTGTTGTGTACTAGGGACTAACACATTGCTTGTTAAAAAAATGAAAGAAAATGTTTTATTTGACTACTTATTAAAGTATGATCTCAGTATCTATTACGATAAAAACTAAATTTTTAAATGAGGTTAAGTGTTAAGAACTTTGAATTATAGATTAATTTTAAAGATAAATATTTCAATCATATTTTTACGAAATATAGGTTAAACAAATAGATTATACAATGAAACTAAAATAATCATCAACCAATTAGAAAAAATATAACTATAGCCACTATTATCACATAAAGAAATATTAGTGAAAAAAGTTTTAATTCAAAAAATAAATTTAGTTTCTTCATATCTAAAATTACTTTTCAAATTTTAAAGAAGATAATTTTTTTAACTCTTTGCTTTACAATAAAAATTAATAAGAGTTAAGAATAAACATTTTTTAATATTAAAGTGTTTTCCTATGATTAATTATATGTTGTTGTTTTAATATTGAAAAAGAAAAAAATTAAAAATATTAATTTTAGATGAAAATAAGAAATTATCACAATTAACATTAAATTTAATATTTGAAAGATATTTTATAAAAAATATAACAAGATCTTTAAACATTACATATAATTATTTTTAAATTTTATTTATTAACTTTTTTATGTGTTTAGTTGTTTTATATGATAAATTTTATATTACACAAATATATAAATTTCATGCAAATTAATCAGTTTTCATTCAAATTTTAAAAATTCTTATAATATATAATTAATGTAAATAATTGTTTTTTTTTAAAAAAAATATATCATTGAAAATTATTTAATTAAATATCTTATATAATATTTAATCTTCATTTGATGTAAAATTATTTTTAACTTTGGTCGTACTAATGTCATTTTTAAATTTAATATGCTCAAAATAATTATTTTTTAAAATTAAATAACTTGAATTTATTTTATATTTTTGTTTAAATAATATTTTTTAAAAATTTTCTATTAAATATTATTTTGTGCATTGCACAAGAACAAAACACTAGCGCATTATTATTATTATTATTATTATTATTATTATTATTATTTACCGAAAAGGGTAAAAAAATCTCTCTTTCTGCTAAACTGTTGAGACTCGAAAGCAATGAGACCCACACTAATTATTGGCTTTCTTCAGTTTATTGGCTATATCGAATATGATTTGGTTTTAATTTTTTTTTCTTACTTTTGAATTCCTTATTCCCTTTTTTAGTGAAACAAATCTAAAAGTCTCAATCACCATAATATAAATTGCGTCTCTCGCACTTTAAATGAGATTTTAACAAAAATTTGCTAAATATGACATTCTGCAGATGGACTCTCTACCATACCATGTAAGAATCTATCATTTTTTGTCTGTGTTCTAAGCAGACTTTTAATTTATATTCTTTAGATTTTTGGATAAACGTTTGGGATGCAGTATATCTTTAACATGACATCATCTTATTCAATAATATTGGAAATTCAAATTCATAACATTTAAGTATTTCATAAGCTCAGACTTACTCCTGTTAAGAAACTCTTATTTTTCAAATACTTCCAACAGCATCACCATCACATGTACTGTATCCATTCGTTTTGCATATCTTTTTACCTTAGTTTGCGCCAATCTTGTAATTAGAAAACTGACATTTGTATTTAAAAAAAGAACATTCAGGATGTGGACACCTCTCTCCTTATTAAAGACGGATGAAGAACATTTCAATATTTTAACTATTTAATTACTATAGTTGTATTTAAAAGCTAAATACACCAAAAATAAAAATTTTAAAAAATAGGAAGAAACAAAAAAGCTAAATCAAAGCTAACCAAGTGGTCAATGTATCTAATACATCTCTATTGAGGTGGAACCCATTGGTGTGTGAGTAAGTTTCATGCAACTCATACACAGATAGATACACTTGTCTATAATCCAATCTCTTTCATTTGCCTCCATATTCAACACAAACAAACAAAAAAAACCATTTTCATTTTGAAAGGCAGCCTCCTCTACTTCCTTTTTCTGCATAAACTCTCCTCTACTTCCTTTTTTCGCATAAACTAAGCCCATTTGCACCCACTTCACATACATAAATGAAGATGAGCCCCTTCTTTTCAGCTATAGAGTCACTCAAATTGTGGAGTAACTAAAAGACAATATAAATGTTCTTAATTCATATCCTCTTTTTCCATTTTTCTCCTTTGCACCATAGAATACCGAATACTCAAACTTGCAACTGGGTCCACCTAGGTACGAATAAATGCAATGTAACAGCCTCGGCTTTTTTTTCTCCCCATTCCCCCAAATTGTGCCACCCTTTCATGGTTTTGTAAAGTCATTAATTAAGATATGGGCAATGTATATTTCTATATTTCTAAATTCGTGAGATTTATAAATATATTAAAGGAATAAAAGTCTGAAGAAAAAAAAAAGCTAGCTAGCTAAGAGATGGCATTTTTATGGATACTTTATATCTCACATGCACCTTTTCAACTGTTTTTCTATTCATCTTTAGCTAAAGTAGGAGCTTCCTCATCATGCACATAAAAACTAAATTTACATTTACAAATAAAACATAAAGACTCAAGGAAGCACATAAGATTGAGAAGAAAAATAAACAAATATTTTCTCCTAGAAGACACTGACATTCATTATAAAGCAACTCATCAATGAAATTCACTTATAATCCCTCAGAAGCTGGAGAAATGGTTCTGAGAAGGTTGCACCATTTGCATCTCCGTGGCTGTTTGGCATGAGTTATCGTCGCCGATCAAGGTCCTGTTTGAATATCCCAAAACGAATTTGTTACATGGAGAAGATTTCAAGTTATATGAACACATAATCTTAGATAAAATGGTAATGTCAAATAAAATAAAATATTATAATTAATCAGCACCTTTAAAAAAAAAAAAAAACCAAGCACTCTTGTTATTGTTAAGAAAATATGAAGTAAATAGTAAATTAAAACTTACTCTCGTGTTCTTGACGCCCAAAGAGTACTAAGGGCTCGAAGACGTCCATAGTATTCTCCAATAACAATAAAACAACGTGCTGCTTGGCGAACTGTCAGTAATCGACATAACTGATGAAGAGTCTGTTGCCTTAAATTATCAGCCTTCAATTCATAAACATGGACGATATGAGGTACTTAATCAATAAGCCAAGTTAATTACAAAACAAGAACAAATTAAGAATGTATGAGCTTCTATATAATTGAAATTAAAATATAAAATCATGCAGTTTAAAATAATCATGTGACAATTTAGGTTTTAATCTACCTCTACATATTAAATATACACGGGTCATCATTTTCAAACAAAAATATTTTTAAGAATTATTTAAAAGAAAAAGTATTTTTAAGAATATCTTTTAGTCATTATGTTATTTGACTTTATCATTTAATATTTAATTCAATTCTAATCTAAGTATTATATGATATTATATATATATATATATACTTTTTTTAATTTAGGTTTATTTAATTAAAGAGAATATTTATTATTTTAAAAAAATTACACTATATTTTGATTTTGCATTTACAAATTTATTTTAATTTCATAATACTGATATACCAAAGATCATTAATTATATATAATTATACATATAAAGGTTATTATTTATCTTTTGTATCTCGTCCAACAACACACATTATGTCTCCCCACCAAGAAAAGTTTAGCTAGATTCAATTCTTGCTTAGACAGTATCTTGAATTGAACACAAGGGATTAACGTCACGATATAATAGTTTAGATGGGTCTTCAATACGACAAATTCTTGTGTATTCTGAACAGTATTAAAATACTTCATATGAGTGATATATATATCTAAGCTGTTAAATTGAAATTCAACTATTATTAAGTTATCCTCTAATCACATGGAGCATACTGGCTACAGCATCAAAGGGGTCGAAACTGATGAGATTGTCTTATCAATAAGCTTATTGACAATGACTAATCATTGAATGAAGAAATACATTTTCTTTTCTTCTATAACCCTAGATTTTAATTAATTAGAATCACTTGAAAATTGTCTTTTAAAATAGTGACGATAGTATTTCTACCGAGCGTTAATGATTCAGCATTAGCCATCACTTTCTAAAACCAACTTCTGACTGAGACATTTTAAAATGTAAAAAATAAATTCACTGCCTAGAAGCCAATATTTTGATGAGCACGAGCGTTAGAAGCAAAGCTATGAATATCTCCAATTATTAAACTAAAGTACCAGAAAACAATATATTTAGAGAGACGTGACAACCAAGTGGTGAGTGAAGCTACGTAATTGAAGTCAACCTAGCTAGTTAGTATCTGTCTAGATAATAGGTAATAGAAAAATAAAAGACATCTAAAAAGAAAGCAACACGTGTCAATGAAAATAAAATCGACTAAGGAAAAAAAAGTTAATTATTCTCAAGTTCAATCAAGATGATCAGAAAATGTTACTATAACAACACAATTTTGCGGCCCAATATATGCATGCAGCCAATGAATAAGCAGAAGAAATACAATGCACTATAAAGTGAAATTGCAACTATTACTAATCATGTGTCAACTAGGTAGCTAGTTTTAGGTTTTGGGGTTAATTTTAATCACTTATGTAGAAAGTGTTACAGGCATAATAAAGTGCCATAATTATCCTATAAAAAGATAAAAATCCAAAGGTCAAAAGAAAGAAAAAGAAACCAATGGCGTAAGTCTATTTAATGCGGTTTCCGTTTTCAACTAAGAAGTTTATAAGCCAATTAGTATTTAAACCTAAAAAAATTTTAAGTTTATAAGTCATATATGTATTCAAATCCAAATTTGACAAAAACATACGAAATCATTGGTTAAACCGAAATAGCAACACACACAGACGTCGTCACCACGAGGCTTTACGTCAACCTCCCCACCAAATTTCGTTGTTAAAAATAGTTAGTTTAACCAAAGAAAATCACAATATTAATTTATTTTATTATTAACGATACATTTTTTATTATACTCTTTTAAATATATTTTATTAAAAATAGTAATTCATGTCTTTAAGAAGCTAATTACTAAAAAAAATTAAAATTAAAATATTTTATTAAAAAACATAAAAATTTACTCACTCTAAAATTTTTAATAAAAAAAAATACTATTGAGGAACTTAACGAGACCCTTTTATCATTAGTTCAAATTTATTTAAAATTATAAAAATGGGATAAGTCTCACCTTTAATAAAAAATTAATTTATATACAAAAGTCACTAACAAAGAATATATTAAAAAGTAAGGGTAAATTAGATATTACCTGACGAACAAATCCTTCAAGATTGGCGAGTTTGCTCATGGCAACGGCCATTTGTTGCACACCATCAACAATGGGGCTTCCAGCAATTGTGTCAACGAGAGACTGCTGCAACTGCTCAAGGCCTTGAGAGAGAGCCTCTTCTGCTTGCTGTGAGGAATGCCTCAGCCCATACATTCCCATTATCTGCTGCTCAGCTAGTGGCTCCAACTGTTGGATCAACATCTGACCAAAATAATAACATTACATTATAAATATTATATTTCATACAATTTTATATTTTTTTTTATTTCTTCATTGAAAATAGTTGAAATTAATGCTAATTAGTAATTACTCATTACTGCTTGTAAATAATTGCAAGATTGCCCTACAAACACTGAAACAGTTTTTCACTGCCACAACCACTGACATGAGACAAATTACTAACAACAGTAAAGCAATGCTATTACCAAATAAGTTTTTTTATCTCACTATCCAAAAATATGACACACACCCTTTAACTTTTTCTAGGTTGTCAAATAAATTAGCATTATTAGTAACTACTTATACTATTAATGCTATAATTATTATATTATATCGATTTTTCTATGCACCAAGCACTTAAAGAGAGAAAAACTTAAAAAGTTTCTAACGTTATAAATGTTTTTTTTATCATGTAATTAGTGCATAATGAACGAGATAGAAAAATGGTAATTATGTTTTCATATAATATATGCTTAATAATCTTAGGAAAAGAAATTATAGAATGTATACAAACCGTGATGAGCTCAGAGGGCCTAAAACCACCAATCCAGAGGAAGCAGCGTTCAGCTTGTGAAGTCCACATGCCATTGATAAGATGGAATACATCTGATTTAGCAGCCACTCCCTTGAGCCTGAAAATCTCATCATAATGGTTAAGATATCCATCCACCATCACTCTCATATCACTGTCTGATAATGGTGCCTGCAACCCGTTCCTCAGCTCCCCCATTAGCCTGTGATCTTCTTCTAACCATCTTGCATATTCCATGTCAAACATTGCGGCTCCTGTAACAAAAATATTGTTATTATTTGTTAATCAATAATTGCAATTATTGATTATGATAAACTATAGTATATGTGGTGCCGGTTCAAATAAGTTTTCATATTTCTTATATACTATTGTTGCTACGATAATTTTTAACTATTCAAGTGTCGGTTGATTTGATGACCAGTGCAATGTGGCCAACAATGAAGCAGACACGGCACCATTTTAATTCCTTGAGCATAAATAAATGGATAATCATAATTTATAGTGCATTTCCTTTTCAATAGAAAGTGTGTTATTTCTATGCAAGGTGATTAAGAATTATTATTTTATTTGTTATTAACTTTTTACCCCTACAATCGTATTGTTTTTGCAAAAGTCGAAAAAGAGCGGTATCATGATGGAATGATTCTCTGAAAAGCCAAAGCAATTATAAAGTAGCCTTTTAGTTTCTATAATATAATGTGTTTAGAAAAGGTCATGCACCTAAACATAAAATATATTAGCATGATCTAATTCAAACATTGGACTATATATATATATATATTGTTTTTATTATTCAAACACGAATTATGCTGCCACAGATTTTGGTCAAATTCAGAGACTTCCTTCAATTTTGACTTTTATTTGGTATTCAAAATATTTTTGTACTTTACACAAAGGCAAATTGCAAGTAAAAAATAGTTAAACCACCGTAAGTCTCTTATTATCCCATTGTTCTATCATCTTCCTCGATCAGTTCTATTTTCCGAGCATAAATAGACCGCCAGCAACATCTTTCAGATATTTATTCCTGATTTCTACATGCTCCATAGTCCTTAATTTGGTCATATCTTAGCCAAAAAATTACAGTATTGCCCTCATTTCAAAATGACACTGCATTTTAAAAATGAGCCAAAAAAATGAGAGCTAAACTCACCAGAGCTTACATTACTTCCAACACCACCACAATCCACGAACAAGCCCTATAAATTAACAGCTCAAATAATAATCACTAAAAGTCAAAGGAAAAATATAATAATAATAATATAATACATGACTTGAGAACTTGAGAACCTGAGAACGTGCTCTTTGAAGTTCTTGTTCGAGTTGAGTAAGCTTTAATCTACTTGACTCTAGCTGCTGCACATAAGCCTGTTCCATAGACAGAAAGCAAAATGCAGTTAAAATTTTATAGCTCTTTCTAAGTTTCCACTTTCAGCAACAATATTATAGAACACACCTTTTTCCTGAGACGGCTTTTCCTTGCAGCTTCTCTGTTTTGGGCTAAACGTCTTAATGTCTGTAGCCAACAAAAAATCTTATCGAGGATCCTATGTAATAAAATAGAGGAAAAATAGACTTAGGAAAATTATTGAAAAACCTTTGCATCAAGTGGTTTCTCTGATGTAGAGCCAGCGACCTTTCTCTTCAAAACAAAGGACCCAAAAACATTATTTAAAAGACATCGATGATATTAGAAGTGATAATAGAGAGATGAACATAAAAGTGTGCCCATACTAGTAGCTAAACAAATCAGGGAGGGAAAAGAAGAAAATTGTTAAACATGGCTCAACTTCATCATGGCTTAGAGAGGTGCTAGCTTTGAATCCAAAAAGAAAGATGACATGCTAGAGTGCTCACTCTTGGAAGAATTTCTGAATGCTGAAGGCCCTTTGACCATTTCTCTATAGGCATGCAATCATCAATATGATATGGGTAGCAAAAGGCATCATTATCTGCCATTGTTTTGGTGTGTATATTGTTGGTTTAGATTTCGAACTCCAAATGTGACCACTGGAGAAAAACACAAGTTTTCTCTAAATTGAGCCAAAGTGGGTGTGGGTCACTTTAATGAGAAACGTTGATAAGTACTGAAAAGATTCTCAATTTGTTTTTTTGTTTGTACTTTGTACACACCCCTCTCCACATCTCTCTATCCTATTTCATGTCAGACATTCATCAGAAAATCGTTCAGGAATCAGGAAAACTCTCTGTTCTTTTGATTTTCTGAAAGCTGTTGGGATCTGTGCCTTGTTTGTGAAGATATGCATGCACAAGAGAGAAAGAGAGAAGGGACAGATCCAACAGTACTAATAGCATTTAAAAAGACCAACTTTTCCTGAGTTTTGGGGATATGGAAAGAGAGAAACGAGAGATTAACAATGAAAAAACAGTGGCTTAGCAACCTTTTCTTGAGGTCTAGACTCTGAGAAAGAGAGAGAAAAAAAAAAAAACCTTTTCCTGAGGTGATTTGGGTGCTAATTGATTCTGTGAAGAGGGTGTTCTTGGGGCACCACTTGCCATCTGCTGTTGAAGTTGCTGTCTTTGATGCAGATGATGCTGATCAAAAGCCTGATGATCTGAAGAAGATGCCTTTTTACTCATGGGAGATTCTGCCTCAAAGGGGGCCTCCGTTTTGCTTGAAAGAGCTGAATCAGTGCTTTCCCCTCCTGACTTTGAACCACCCTGAATTTGGAAAGCCACCAAAAAATTTTGTATCACCTCACATGTTATCATACCCGGTTCAGAACAATTATTATCAATAGCTGAGGATTTTTGAATTGAACAATATCTTTTTTCAAATGAAAGGAAAAATAAAATAAAATAAAATATTGAGGTTTCTTGAACTTGTAAGCACAAGCATCATAAATAAATGGTCAAAGATGGACTAATAAGAGACTACTACTCTTGGAGTTTGCTGGAATCTCATTGGCCATGAAGGGAACATTTCCAGTGTAGCTGCAGGTCTGGCTGTGAATAAAGCTGCAAGAATCACAAAAGCAAAATCTCAAGAGGATCACCAACCGGAAGGAGTTGAAGATTACCAAAATAAAGACTTGAGGACTTTCAATTATAACAAAAGCCAGAGGAACCTAATCCTCCTTTTCAGCAGTTATGGAGTCAGTAAAATCATGCAAAGAGAGTCAGGTTTCTAAGATAGTAACCCCACGCCATCCAAGTCTATTGTCTCAGAATCATTATGGTATTGGAAATGGTAACCCCCCCACTGTGCATTCTTTAGACACATTCAAAGCTCTTGTCCTTCAACCCCCACCACCTCCTTTTTCTCTCTGCTTTTAGAAAGAGTTGGTTATGCTTATCTCACGTCAGAAAAAAGGTTAAGTCACAGAAAAGGAAACATACATGCTTTGCCTTCATCATTTCTACTCTTAACTCCTTGCAGAACTATTGCTTCTTCCAGCTCCCCAAAATCAAAAGCTGATCCTTGATTGCTAACAAACCGAACAATTAAAAAAAGTTTGAAATTGAGCAAACAAACCATATTTGTTAAATGAATTGGAGAACCAACACCACACATATAACAGTGACCATGTATTGAAGGAGATATTATTGTAGAATACATTAAGCTTGATGGAGGAGTATTAATCCCATGAAGAACTCCGTAAGGCATGTGGTGACTTGAAGGTCCTGACTCAGATAAACCAAGTTCTCCTATTCTGTGGCTCGCCATGCAAGGCTATTTTTTAGACCATTATCATATTCCCTGAAGCCAGAACTGAAAAGTTTGGTATTTGTTATGATTCAAATTCAATTCATATGAAAAAAAAGTGGTCAAGCTCTGGCATGAATTATCAGAGCTGAAGAATATGAGAACTGCTATATATATATATGATGTCATGTGCGCTTTACTTTACCTCTATGTGTTTGGAATCCTAAGGATAAATAGAGAGTTGTTCTATATGGAGAAGGTCTATAGAAGCGAAAGATCAAAGCTTTCTTGTCAAAGTAAATATCTAATCCAAGTTGTAAGTTGCCACAAGAAGAGGGTCCAGTCTTTTTCTCAGATATGATCCTCTTTGCAACTTTTTATCTTTCATGGGGTGTCTCTATCTCTTTCTTTTCTCCTTCTCAATGAAGAAACCTGATTGATTAGTCTGTTTGGCTTGCTTTATGGCTGTCCCTAGTTGAAAATATTTCAGATTGAGAAACTCATTCTGTGGTGCCCAAGATGTTGTCCCAGCAAACTTGTCTCATGCTCTCTTTGGTGTTTGGACTTGTGGGGCTTGAAATGAAAGGTGGCCCAAATAATATTTTAAAATACATAATAAAAATTTGAATAAAACAAAAATACTAATAAATTTGGACAGGTGGGGTCTTTTGCAGGAACCCACTAGAATCACTGACTCCTACTCCTACTCCTACTCCACTCTCTCTCTCTCTCTCTCTCTCTCTCTCTTCTAACCGCCTGAGTTTTCTTATTGGTTCACCTTTGGGTCTCTACAGCCTCCATGCACTTAACACAAATAAGAACTGAACTCATGTATTTTTCATCTGGGAAGTGGGAACACAATAAATTCATTGAACTCGTGTATGAGACCAAGTTTACTTTCTCATTCAAGTTTGGCTGAATATAGGAGACCAAAATTGAAAGCTAAAGAGGTTTTTTTTTTTTACATCTAATGGGCCTAATTCCCCATCCCTCTTCCAAAAAAAGGAAAAAAAAACTTGTGCTCATACCATTTCAACCAAAACATTAGAATAATAGTCCACAAGCATAACCACTTTGTGTATTTAATCCCATCTCTGAGATGGATTTGTTTGGTATTATCCCCTTTGTTGATAGGTCAACATCCATTCCCTGTCATCACCTAAAACATGCCACGTTAAGATTCCTTTCTACTTAGAGTTATAGAAATCTGTTTGCAGTGCAATATATGGTACACATGGTAATCCTGAATTACTAGCAACTTGATTTCATTTTTAAGATGTTAATTAGTTTAATAAATCCATCACTTGAGTGTAATTTTTATATTTTCCTCTATATCTTTCCTAACTTCGACACCTTGTATAGTAAACTTAACTGCAAATCTTTTCAAGTTCTAACTACCCTAGAGAGATGTGTTAGGACATGGATTGCTGATGTAAAATAAAGTGTGCATAGCAAGGCATAAGTGGATTTATTTCCACAATTTCAAAGTCTGCGTATAAACTATAAAGTTTGGGACCAACATTATTGAACACATAAATATGTAACATATATAGGAAGATAAAGAACGGACAGACAGAAAGAGAGAGATGGAGGAGACTTTTAGGTAATGGACCCATGATATATATCATAAAGAGGAAAAAGCATTATTTTATATTGTGCCCATCTAATACCTTTTGCAGGTAATATGCCTCCTACCGATTATTCCTTTATGATGCCAATGATTGGTCATAAAAAAAGTAGTTTGGCTCAAAATATAAACGTCTTCATGGGTTAGGTCAATATGTATTTTAAGTATATATACCTTTGTTTCCAATAAACCTTACAACATCTTCATGTGGTAGTGTTTTTGAGAAGATTTTAGGCAATAGATCATTCCACGAATCTCTCATTCCCTTGAGCCGTAATTCTGTGAGTTCTTCTGTTTCCCTGTTTAGAAAGGTGATTGGTCTGGATCAAATCATAAAATTAATTATTCTTTTGTTGATTATGTTAAGTCATTGCTTGTCGGCTAAGCAAGTAACTAAAAGTGTCTTTTTGTATTAATTTTTTCTTTACAGTATTTTTGGGGATCATAGCCAAACCATTTTGCATTTTTGGTCTAAATTTGCATCGAGACTTACGTTGAGCAGTTGTGAGAATTGCCTTTCATTCTTTATAGGTGAATGGCCATTGGCATATCAAACAGAGATCTCATGTGTAAGAGTTGACATGGCGCTAACAATCCACCATATATATTGAGAAAAATCAAGGGAGTCAATGATTGGCAATGGACCCAGGTGGCCAGGAAGCAATAGAAACTTTTATTGACTACATTGATTATTAATGGGATCTGCCAAATTCATTCACTCAAACCAATAAAGGAAAATATTACTATTTATTACAATTTTAGTTTTGTAAGTCCAATAAGCTATGAACACTTAGTTTGAAAATTAACTAAATTCTAATTTTCATTGAAGGATAAATGAAAGTAAAGACATGAAAGCAATAAAAGATAAACTCAGAGGGATGAAAAATATATATATAAAGATTTGAGTTGAATTGAGCGTTGTTGGATTCTCTAAAATTTCTATAGTGGTATTTATAAGACCAAAACTAGCCATTAACGTCCTTTAAGCCTACTTATCATGTTCTTAATCCGCTAATCCTCTTTTTCAATTATGTAAAATAATAATTACCTGATTAATTGACGGACTAGCTTAGCTGAATATGTCAACATTTTGTTATTTGAATAATATTTTAAAACACTTACACCACATATTTACAGGTTATAAAAATTGTTTATATTTTTCTCTCTTTCTATATCACATAAAAAAAAAAAAAAACTGGCCATGCTATGTGTTGATCCCCTACAGTATCTCTTGTAACGCCTTCAGTTCAGATTAATTCTTATTCCATAGAAGACTAGTGATATTTTAAAATCAAATCTTAATTACTAACCTATCACTCAAATTTATATTAAAAAAATCAAGAATTTATCAATTAAAATTTCTTTTTGATACCATAGTTTAAGTGCTAATAATTTTTATTGTATGTTTATTCTAAACTAAGGTAGGTTCCGCTTGTCTGTTTTACTTGGCCAATCCAAAAATCATGAAATCATACTATACTACCTCAAATATTGGATGACATTTTTTTGTTTTATTTAAAAATAGGGATGTTTCATCTCTAGGGAGAATGTTAAAAAGAACACTCCCTATGTCAACCATTCCTATTTTTAAGGAAATAGAACTTAAAGCACATCTCTCGACCTAGTCAACAATGCCTTGATTTAGATCAACATTCATGCTTATCTCTAAAATGTAAGAAATTTTTTTCATACCTCTATTAACTTATTCTTTTTTTTTTATCACAAATTTTTTGTCAGTTTTTTGGTTGGCCTTTATCACATAGATGTTCTTAGATTAGACATTGAGCCCAATATCTTAAACTTAAGGCCCATTTGCTGCAACCTAGTTTTCATATCTTAGTCTTGAAATATCGTCGGTAAAAAAAGTCTTGAAATATTTACTTCACCACACCATCCAAATTATTGTCCAGTATGAAACTTTTCAGCTAATAAGCTTTTTCACCAATGACTGACTATCTTCTTGACAAATGACTCCAGGACTATATGGCTAATTTCTCAAATCAGACTCATGTTCCTTCAGCCCAATAATTTTCTGTGATAATAGTTACATATCTCTTTTAATAACATCACACACGATCATCAAACATTTAGTCTATGCTATCGTCTAGACCTTTGTTCTAATAAACAAGAACTTGTCATAAACACTAGTTGGACAGTATTAATAATCATAACATGACTCGGTTTATTTTCCTAAATTTATCAACATCAAGGTTTAGGCAACAAGGACTTTGATTCACAATTATATAAACTAAAACAATTAATAATTATGTTGGTAACTAAAATGATATTTTACTTAATTTAGAGACTATTTAAATCACTCTTTAAAGTAATAAAAAAAATTAACAATTACATTTACTAATGACTAATAAAATTTTAATTTAGAGAATCTTTCGCCGAGTTTTAAAACCAAAATGATCTTCAAACTTTTAAATATAGAGAACTATCATCAGATTGATCGCATATCGTAATTTTGACAAAGTAGATAATAGTAGCCGAGTAGCGTATACATATTACACAATACCTAACAGAAGCCAAGTTGCGTGTTGACGCGGTTTATCAATACTATCATCGTTTCCACTCATAATTCATCTCAACAAAACAAAGGAGGCATATCATGTCAAATTAGTTCAATGTAAATTGTGTAAAATACATAAGGATGATGATGTGAAGATTCCAACATCCATCTGGCAGAGCAAATAGGTTCTCAAGACTCAACCTCTTAAACGGATTAATTAATGACTTTTGTTCTTCGATAAGAAGTGTTTAATCCCTGAACATCTTCCACGATTGTTCGTTAGTCAACAAAATACTAATAAATATTCCAAGCACCAAAGTCTAAAATGGTGAATAAACTATTAAATTCTTTAAGTAACCAGCAAATGCTCCCATAAAATTTGACAAACAAAAAATTGAGTAAACATAAGGCGTTTATCATAATTATATTGAAACTTCAAATTGAGTAAACATGCGTGCATCTACTCATCCATTAACTAATATACATCCTACCTACACCGTCAAATTTCAATATCAACCTGCCAAAAAATTGATCAGCGACAAAATTGCAATTAGGCAACTAAACAAAACAGAGCAAGAAACGATTAAATAAATATATATACATATAGTGTTCGGTCACCATCAGTTAGGTGTGAACAATATATATACATATATTCAATAGAGGAACACAATTGAAAAAAAAAATAGTTGAATTAAACTTCATAAAAAATACATAAAGCATTCTTATATCTAAAAGCCAACATAAATAAGCATCATCATTAACAATGCAGCATCGATAATGCTACAAAAAATAGAGAGAAAAGCAGTGAAAATATATATTTGGATAGCCCGCGTGGCCATCACAGCCCCAAGGAATGCAAGGGGCTCTGACCGCGGGCAGTCTTCATTGCAGGGTTCCGACGGCACCCGAGAGCCTCGGTATCCACCTCTCAGTCGCGCAAGGTGAGGGGCAGAGCCGCCAAAAAATGGAGGCTCCGCCGTCATCGTCACCGCTGCGCGTGAAAGGGAAGAGAGGATCGGAAAGGCGAAGACCGCGCCGTGGGTTCACTCTGCTCAGATAAGATCAAGCAGTGTTAAGTTTCTGTTTAGGGTTTGTGCTCTGCTTAAATACCAATCCCTCTTTCTCCTATTCCCAAAATACCCATATCGTAAAGCCCACCAATTTACCAAGACCTTGTGTCTAAGAAATTTACAATAATTAGTGACTTCCCATATTGAATTAAAATTTTGTATGGTTTTTTTATAAAAATTTAAAGGCATACCATATAACTATTTTTACATTTAATAATACCATATATTAAAATTATTTTTATTCTTATTAATGAGCATTTTAATATATTAAATAGAACAAAAATATACATTTTTTTTAAAATGAAAAAAGAAGCTACCAAAAATTTACAATTAAAATAAATAAAAAAATTAAAGACCAAACGTTAAAAGAAGATATGTGATATATAATAAGGAAGATAAATTTTTTTAAAATGTTATTAATATTTAAAATGACTCTTAAAAGTGTTATCGTTAAAAAATAAAGATTAAAATTTAAAATATAGAATTATATTACAGAATTTTTTAAAAATTAAAAAACTTAAAAAGATGTTTCTTCGCCTTAATAATTTTATTTTCATAATTTATTTCTGATTTTAAAAGTCATATCCTTTTAATTCATTCTTATTTAATATAATAAGAATGTTCATTAATATTAATAAAAAATTAATCTTCTCTTTAATTTATTTTTATTTATAAATTTTAATTTAAAAATTTAAAAATATTTATACGATACATGGCCAACTTTTTTGTTTTTTTTCTGAAACTTAACAAAAAGATGATAATTACATCACAAGATGTAACAAATCATGTCTACCATACATTTTATATCAAAAGTATTATTTATAAACAAATTGTTTTCTTTCTTACCCTTTTTGTACAAACAAATATAGATGATATCACATTTTTTTTTGCGGTTTATTTGTGAGAATTCATGAAAATGGAAATAAAAGATAATCACGTGATTAAGTTATCGCAAAAGAAACAAAATGAGATTAATTGAATATACGAATGAGTTCAGAATAGTTAAGATTCCCAAATACAAGCAATTAAGGGGAGGAGGTACCATATTTCCTGAAAGTTTTCTAAATCCAGCCCATCTTATCAATTTGACAGATAAAGTCATTATCTGATATTAAACTTTATTCAATCAAACTATAAATAACTACCAGTTTGATTTTAAAATTATAAAAATAATTATGCGTTAGACCTCGCCATTCTATTCTTCTGCGTCCAATAAACAAATATGGAGTGCATGCAAAACAAAAATAGCGAAAAAAATTCCTGGCCAAATGCGCTTGGAGCCTAACTAGTTGTAACTAGCAAAACGAATTTCCTATGTTTCTCTCGAATCTGATGAACCGGTTCACAGAGCTGAAATTACATATCGAAACGTTAAAGCTGAAGAGCAGTATTTACACAAGAAAAACAAAACAAAACAAAACTTTCAGCATCCTACATGTATGTGTGTATATATAATAATTTATCATACTATCATAGAGTGGAGGACTTTCTTGACTTTTGAATGTTTTCATCCTCTGATGGCGGGGCTAAGGTAGGAGATGAAAATGCAGCATGATAAGACGAGGAAACAAGTTGTGCTACTGCGGGAACAGCCCCACCTGCAGTTATGCCAATAAAACTGTTAATCAACTCAGTTTGTATTTAGATAAGAGTTTGCAAGTTTAAATTTGAATGAATTTAATTTTATCGAATTGATTTTACTTAAAATTAAGTTTAAATTAATGTGATTTATGTTTGAAATTTTATTTTTTCAAAAACAAAGTTTGTCATAAAACTTGGTATAAAATTTTCAATTCAAAGCAAAAGTTGCAATTTATCACATCTACTCAAAGATGAGTTCAGAGTGAATTAATTTTGATCAAACCTATTAAACATGTTGAGACAACAATCAAAGCATGTCTACATTTATTGTACGTGATTTTAGAGATGTAAACGTATTTGCAAACATGCAGTCACCAACACGGTAAATCCGCATAAGGATGAAACAGCCGTCATCCTAGTCTTCCCAAAAGACTCTGGTGACTTGAATTGTCAGATGGTAACATGATAAATGCATAGCTTATTCTTTAATTACAAAATCTTGAGTATACAAGTCAAGCAAAACAACACATTCAGAAACTCACCTGCCAGTCCTGCACAGGCTGAAGAGAATACTATCACAGGAGGTGCCTGAATTGCAGAGACATTTTATGTCAGCTAACAAGATTTATAATAATTAAGAAGGCAAATAGTATTTAAATCTACAATTTATGAGAAAAAGCTCTACGATGCTTCAACACATATGAAACATGATTCCAAAAGAAACCGCAAAATATATAATGACTGCAACCCCAACAGTACAAATTATACAATTAATCATAGAATAAATGGGTCTAGCTGAATTTACAGGTAATAGAAACCATTAAGATTGGACCTGGAAACCAACCAATGATGTCTGCATCAAAACAAGACTGATCCAAAATGAAACTACAATGATGATCCAAGATGGTGCAGACAACATATTTAGCAATGATAGAAAACATAACTAAAATTTCCTCAAGGAAAAAAGTTCACTGTTGGTGGCTAAAAGCAACTATTAGAAAGGCTGCTTCAAGGAACGGTAGCAAACACCTACCCCTCTCCCAACCCTCTTCCCAAGAAATATCAGTTCCCTTTTCGCAAGAGAAATTTGCCATCTATCTCGTCCAAAATTTAGTCACCAAAGAAATATGTATGAAGAAAACATGGGAGGAATGAACTAATTGTCAAAATAAATCCTCCTATTTTAAGTTCTATTTATGATTCTCTTGCAGATTATAGGATGATATAAGTCATCTTAGTTCTATATAAAGTGGTAAATGACTTTATAGATCAGTGAAGAAGGAAAAGGTGTCTATTTAAAGGACCCCTGTTAACTGTCTTGTGATGTCACAGATAGGCAAGAATTATTTTAGAGGCCAAATGGTTTTCTTTTGTACACTTAAGAATTTGCATTAAGTTGCCAACAACAACTGTATCACTTCGCCATTCATTAGGACAATAGTATGATACAAGTAGAGAGTACACAGCAGACTCTTAGTTAAGAATCTATCCATGATTTCTTATTAAAAGGAAGCAAGTTTTCGAGAACACAAAAAATGGTAACGTTTTAAGAAAATAATATGATGTACTTATGTCATATAAGGGAATATTAAAAATGTTTAGGATGCTTAATCTTATAATCTAAAAGTTCACTAGTCAAAGATTTACATCTCCAAAGAAATAATATGAGGAAAATCATGAATGAGCATAGAAAAAAGCCAAAAACTAGTAAAATGAAAGAACAAAAAACCAAAAGCAGTGACAATAAAAAGCACTAATGAACTTACACCAATGAGAAAATGCAACCACATGGGTCCTTTGACTGATCTCCGGACAACAGGCATAACTGCATCAGAGAATGAAAATTTGCTTCTGAATATACATACGGGAAAACATGTAGGCTTTATGGACATGAGGCTCGGTGCCAAAGAAGAATTGGAAGAATCAGAATAATGATGCAAACATAAGAAAATAAGGATAAATACAATTCATACAGTTTCATGCTTAAAATTAAAAGTTTTGTTTCTAAATATTAAAAAATTAAACTTTCAGTTTGGAAAATAAACAAATTCTTAAGTAAGAACTCGCATAGAAAACAAACTTAATAATTCCTGTACATAATTTTCACAAGCCCCATATATGCTCCGAATCAAGTTTGAAGCAACGCATCTTAAAAGTAAAATAGGCAAACAGTCATGGGCAAAGCATTATATCTATAGATGCACGGTGTTCCTATTTCCAACTATCATGCTGCAACTAATGACTATGAATGAATTAACCCCTTAAAGTTGAGTGAATCTTAGCAAGCTAATATATGCTCATATAATAATAATAATAATAAAAACAGTGAGGAACAAGAATGCATTATGCATACCATGGTTGAATCCATAAAATGCACTTGCGGTGCCACCAACGGCAGAACCAATCTGCAGAGTATTGAAACCCCAGAAAGAAAATTGAAAAATTTCACACAACCCTATATATATATGAAAGAAAAAAAATGAAGTGGGTAGGAGGAAATTACCATAGAAAAGCTATCCCTGATAAAAGGGGGAACTGTCCACTGAGTGGTTTCCTGAAGAAAAGTGGAATGTTAATAAAATCGAAAAGAAAGAAAGAGAGAAGCAATAGTGAAGAAAAAAACCATGTCCTTGGAAAGAGGTCCTGCACAGTGATGGCATCGAATGTTTTGATAAGGGCTACTCTGGCTGTTACTAGGTTTCGACGCTCCCATGTCGCTGTGACTGTGCTCTTCTACGATTCCGATTCAATTCGCGGCAATGATTTCTGCCCCTATAATGGGATCGGCTATTTGGATCAAACTTAGAAACACAGCCAAGTCTATTTTTATATTTCGGTGAAAAAACCACCTCTATTTATCACCCCCGCTAAAATCTCAAAGTTACTAATAAACACAGGAAAGGATAGGATATTTAATATTATTTTCAAAAATTTATCAATCAATATCTTATTTGTTTGCATTCAATTCATTCGGCAGAGCTATGCATTCAGAGGACTTTAAACCCTAACTCAGATCCTACCAGTTCAATCACTTGTTTAATAATGTAATTGCATTCAATTTATTTTATTTTAAAGAAAACAATTTTTTTTGTTAATTTTTTAAATAAAATTTTCAAAAGCGGCAACAATAATAATGATATTGTTATTCTACTAAGTTTGAAAATAAATATTTTTTAAATAACATTCTTAACCAAACTTACACTAATTAGACGAGTTTTGTTATATTAATTATTTAATTTTTAATAATATTATATTACTTTATAAAATAAATATTAAAAACTTTATAAAATGTTATAAAAATATAAATTTATTCTAATTAGATAACAGAAGCTAACATTACTCACATTTACAGAGTCTATTATTGCACGTCTCCCTATTTTAGAGTCACATGGGGTTAATTGTGTAGTTCTGTAAATTGATTTTATTAACTTCAGTTTTTGTAATTGATTTTAAGTATGTAAAAATAATTATTTTTATTAAAAATATAATATTTATGATTTATTTTAAGATGGTGATTTTTTTTTAAATTATATCATTTATAATTAAGAAAGAAAGATACACAACAAGAGGGAGAGAGAAAGTTAGGCATGTAATAAAATTGTTTTAAAAAATAAAAAACGTGATTTTTAATGAATGAAAAAATTTAATTATTTATATACCATTGTAGAGCAATTGATAGGAATTCTTTCGATCACATATTTATATTTGAAAGAAAAGCTTTATCGAATATTTTTAATAAAAATACTTGTAATTAAAGAAAAAACATATATAGTTTATATGTTTAAGTACTTTTAGCATGGCAAGGGAAAAATATGATTTCTATTTTAATTTTCAATTCCATTCTAATTTCCAAACAAAACCACAGTCTATTCTTCCATTGATAAGCAGATTGGACACGACTATGATGAATGCTAATGCCTTTCACGTTTTTTATAGTTAGCTCGATTTAGGAGTATTCATAAATTAATATTGTGAAAATTAATTGAAAAAGACAATTTGATCGAATCGAAAACTAATTAAACTATATGTTGAAAAAATTATTTTAATTGAATTTAAAATCTAATTTCAAATTTAGTTAAATATACTCTAAACCAAAGTTATGCAGGCTTAATTTTTTTTTATGAAATTATCATACAACTCATATTTGTATGAGTAGATGTTTATAAAATTATTTGCGTTAAGCTAAAATTATATATATACAAATAGAAATTTTTTATAAAAAAATACACAATTATTATATTGAAGTTATAAAAATATAATAAATATTTCTCTTTTTAATAAAATTTTACTAGCTTATTTTCTACATAGTCTCGTTATCTAAATTACATCTTATGATTTTAATATTTTGATAACTTTACTAACTATGAATTGTTTTGAAATGTTCTTCTTTTATCATATAACTTGTGGTTTATGTTGAATAAGTTTCGATGAATAATCGGAAGAAAAAAATACAGCAAGATATTGTTAACTAAGTCACAACATAACTTTTATTTTGACTAATGCTATTTGATTTACAATAGAGACGTTTGATATTCTAAATAACTTTTTTATATTTATTATATATTTCAATCTTTATTTGTAATTTCTTAAACAACAAAATCAAAATTGATTCAATCAAAACTACTCTTGTTTTACTCGAAATTGAATTAATCTAATTCACAAACAGCTCTAACTTAATTAACACATACGCATTCAATACACTTGTTTTCTATAAAATTTTAATATTCAACTTTTAGTGTGGCATACTCTCTAATCGTGATATATTCTTTATGCATCTACTCTCCCTCTGCATCATTTTCTTCATGCAAGGGATAAAATCTAGTAAATAATAGCATTCCTTTTATTTGTCTTTTAAAACATCAGATCAAACAAACCTTTAAATTAATTGAGTAATTTAAAATATGTTTATTTTTAAAGTTAAACAACTTATTTTTTAAAAAATATATATACTTATTTAACTTAATTAAAAAAACTAGTATAACACAAAATGAAAAACAAGAAAGAGAGTTGTTCTTACTTCACTAAACTGATTAAAGTTTTTTATTTATCTCACATTTTTCTAACGATACTTATAAATTAACGACAGAATCAAAATATGTCCCTATTACCTAATTATTTTTTAAAAAATATTTTTTTTTACTATAGTGATAAGTTTTAGTAATAAAGACAAAATGCAATTAAATGAAAACGACGTTGATTTAACTCAAATTATTATAAAATTAACATGAATTAAGATGTAAGTCGTATATTTTATACTTTTAATCATATAGTAATGGTCAGGTTGAATTTAAAACTTAATATTTTGAAATCCTTCAGAGTGGCTTTTCCCTAATCCTCATAACATGATTCAATCTTATAAGAAGAACCTAACAAAAAAATATCGATTTATTAGGTGGAAGAACATCGTAATTATGACGTTTAACATTTTTTTATTTGCTCAGTGTAGGACATAACACACTATCTTGTAAATTTTAAGTTCTACAAAAAAATTGACAAAGTTGAAAGTTATATTACCATTTTCATTCATGATGAAATACTAAAAAAGAAAAGCGCCAAAAAAGTTAGGCCCAGAAAATAAATGTAAAAGTCGCAGTAATATATAATAATGGGTTTCTATGCCTGAAAGCGATGTGTACACTTCAAATAGAGGTTTAAATATGTTAATGGGCTAAACAAATTTGAGCTTCTTTGTCTTGATCAAGCTCACGAAGGGATAAATGATGGGAATCTTCACATTTTGCTGAAAAATGATTACATCAGCAAATTATGTTGTGAATTTATGATTAGACTTTATTTGAATAGCATACATATCGACCATTTAAGTATTCCCCATGAGAACTGCAAAACATTTTATAAGCTAAATGAACCCCCCTTATTATCTGCATATTTAGTTCATGAATTAGTCTAAGGACTGCCAATGGCTGGCATTCTTTAACTTATCCTTTTTATATAGAATCATATTCTAATTATATGGGTATATATCTGCATATCATGACATTTCTACCAGTGTCTATTAAATTAGTTGTCAAATCAAATCTAATATAGTCATATATTACAATAATGATAGATAGAATTTTATAAAGCTGATCATCAGAATTGGAGACTTGGACAATCCCATCATCAAAATAAAGTGGGAAGAGAGAAAAAAAAAAGTGGAAAAGGTATGGAATTATCCAAAGGGGCCAAACCAAACACCAATGAGTTAGCAAGAGAACAGTCCAAATGTCAACCAGCCAGGAGGTCACTTCCCAGATGGAAGAAAAGTTGAAGAGAACCCCAAATCTTATTAGAACATAAACAACATCTAAACATAGCAATTCCCAAAATTGAGATCAGTACTATCAAGGTCATGCTAGTCACAATGAATGCTGAAAAGCATCTGATTACAATTAGTAAAAAGATAGGTGGGGAAGTGAGAATCCATTTTTTGTGGCTTTAGGAGAAGAAGAATAACTTAATTCTTTACTTGAGAATATGATATATGGGCTTTAATATGAGTTAAGATTCTCATATTCGCATTCTAAAGAATCTTTGAAACTTTCCTTTTCCCCACTTTATTTTTTTCCTCCTTTTCCCCGTGAGGAATAACATTCCGTGGTCATTTCTCACTTTTCATTTCAACCAATGCCATCATAGCATCATGTGTGATCAACCAAATCACAACCAGTAAACGTCTCAACAAATGGTTTTGCTCATGATTGACCACTTAGTCCATAAGTTGATTCTCATTGTGTCTTGTGCTTCTCATTTCAAAGCTCCTTCTAGCACTCCAAAGTGAATCTACCTTATGTTAACGTAACATGTAAAAATAAAATGAAATAATTGTATCAAAGAATAAAAGTTTATGTCCCCTGTCAAAGGTGGGACATGCACCATATTGGAAGGTAAAGCCAATTGGATACTCTTAGAAAGAGATAAGTACTCTTTCGTTATGTACAAACACATACAGTATAAAGATGCGGAAGATTTGAAAGTAGAAAGACAGTTTGGAAGCATCAAGCAAAGAAGACTATCAATATGGGAAAAAAAGTGTTCCTTAGAAGAATGAGCATGATATCAAAGCTGCAAAATCAAATTTATGCTATAAATGGATTTGGTTTTGAAGACTTCACAACTTTCTTTGATTATCTATAAACCCAAACAGAAAGCATGGTTTGAGCTAAAAAGAAATGACATTAAATGTGTAGCAACAAATTTTTCTATGTATGGTGAATTATGATTGCATCAGAAACAACCACTCGCCATTGACACCACCAAAAAAAAACCTCTAATTAAATGGTCAACAATGATATAAAATTAAACAGTCAATGCATAAACAAGACTCGAACCAATTGGTAGATAGAGAAGCAGTATTAAAAGGTAAACATAAAGGTTAGTTTCCTTTATTCCATTCAAATAACATCTTCATTTTTATTTTTTAATATTTATGTTCTTTTCCCTTGTCACCTGAGAGAAAAATATTAAACAACTCTGGCATGTTTGTGATGGGATACATTCTATACTAAGAAAAAGTAGACCTCTTGAGTTACATGAAGAGTTATTATAAGTGTGTTTTTATTTATTTATTTTTGATGAATTTTAAAATCTTGAAGGACCTCTAGTAGTGGCCAAGATAACAACTGTTCATGCCAAGTGGTTATAGTAAGTCCATCTAAGGAGGAAATTTGATATCAAGAGGAAAAGGTACCAAATCAATCCTCTTGCTCAAATTATTCCAATCCACATGCAAGAAAACTACTTAGGAACTCACCTTTAACTTTGTCCAAAGTCTCTCAGGATTCTCCTGGCCGCATTAAATATTCTCAAAAATCAGAATCAAGAACAAGAACAAGGAGAAGTGACATGAAGATACTGTTCAAGGAATCTTTGGTCTATTTATTTTTATAGTTTCTGTAAGTTGTCTATAAAATGTTTACCTTACCCATCTCCTTAGCACCTGATGAGTGGGTATCATCAAATCTGATACGGTTCACAAATAGCCCTCTACTTCTACATTTGTGTGAAGACTAGTTGTTTGGTGTTGTGTTTTATGTTTTATATATATATATTCTCTAATTTATTTTGTATTAGCTGTTAATCATTTAAATGTCATATTCGTAGAATTTTAATCACCCGGTACCACACCACTTACACTTATAGTGTGTACAACACTAAAACTAGAACTTTCTTTCCAATTGAATAATGAAGATTTGCATGCACTAGACACATGCATTGCCTGTGGAAATCGTGGCCTTAATTAAAACTGAATCAGATTCTAATACATTTTCTAATTATTTTCATAGTGGTTTAGCATGGTATATGCCATTTAGTGAAAGTTCTCCATGGATAAGAACAACTGTACAGAAAAATTAAAAGTCATGGTTACATAAGGAATGACAAATGTACCTATTCTTACACAAGAATCCGCTACATTAACCATGGTACAAGTCAAGGGCAAGGGAAGTGGTCCTATGCTGTAGTACTGTATTTAACATAATGCAAGTATAAAAGCAAGTACAATTCTGGCTTTCCCTTTTTATTAGGTCCCTCCGGCTTAGGATTCCAAAGGATGGGGCCTATATTTTTGTGCCAAAGAAAGAATGAAAAGTTCAGGGTCCATCTTCCTTATATTTTAAACGGTGCAGGCTGAATAAGTACCAAACTTATTGAAGGAGACAAAACAGAACGTATTCTTATTCTATTCTTTACCTCCATACAATTCCATGGGAAGCATCTTCCTACAACAATTTTTAACCTTCCCTTGCATGTCATGGTGATCTAGTCAATGGAATCCTTCATCTAAGTTCTCCGCGTGTGTATATATATACATACAAGTGTTTTATTATATTTTGGTCTCAATAATTATAAAATTATTAGAAAAATGCAGTTAAGTGAATTGTAACTTTCATGAAACATAATAATATGGACTAAAACGTAATAAAATAGTCTTATAAAGCTTTTTAATTATTAAAACTAATTTATAAATGAATGTGAATATAGGTATAACCAATTAAGATGTTCTTTCATGTCTCTGTCTACAAACTTTACCATAGATAATATTAAGCCGACCCACATCCATCGCGCTACTAAAGAACTATATATGTTCATTCAGGAAGGACTTGTAAAATGACACCAAGATCAAGGCGTGGAACAAAAGATTTAAGCTTCCAACTTCTAAGAATCTTCCTCTAGAACAAAAATAAAGGATGGGCTTTGGCTGTTCCAAGTCTGAGAGGGATGTCAGATTCCCCAGAACTAAGTCAGATAAAAGGAAAATACTCCTTCAAATTTAAGCATATGATTCCCACTTTTACCTGGCAAACGAATAAGAATGCATATTGGGTTAAAATTTAAAGGATCTATTCTGGAACCTAATGCAGTTAGGAAATTTATATTTGGACATAACTTTTTATATATATCTAAGTGTATGTTTAGAATCACCTATTTTGAAGAAATAAATACTTATTTGTCAAAAGTTTTATCATTATGTTAATAAAAATAAGTGATTGTTTTTTAAAATAAGCTGAACTAAACACCTATTAAATATTAAAATATTTTAATTTATGTGCAATTCTTGCACAGAAAACACATAATGTATATGGATAAAGGTTGGCCAAAGAAAAAACTATGTATTTCCGAAGTTTTATTGAAGAGGAACTCAAATGGACAGAACTATCTGAGAATGGTAAGTGGAAGTAGAAAACGGGTCCCCCAAGTGAACAAAAGTAGGAAGGAATAATATCTATTTTTCAGGTCACCGCACACAAGGATTAAGTTTGGTTTTCTATTGGTTCTATCAAAGATTCCATTGGATTACTAGCTCCCCTCAGGCTTTCAGATATAAATATAAGTTTCAGCATGCTTTCCCCTGAAGAGAATTGTGTATAGGAGAAATAAGACAAGCACAAGAAGCATTCATAAATTCTCTTATTAGTTAGTATGAAGGATAATAATAATTAATTCTAGAAAATAGAGCCTTATCTAGTTTCACCTTTCATAGGTAGAAAAAGTGATCAAGAGAATACAAGCCATCAGGTAAATACAAAACTGGTCTTCAGCACTGAGGATTAAGTTGTTAGTTTTTATATGTTGGGGTGCTTATACGTAGCTTTTGTAGGTGAGATGTACCATCATCACCAACATCAAGGGAAAAACATTCATTCTTCTTCCAGAATGCCAATACCCTCTGAGAGGCACATTTTCCTTCAAACAGGAAATGGGTCTGGTGATTCTGGACTTGTGCTATCAACTGATGCTAAGCCTAGATTAAAATGGACACCAGATCTTCATGCCAGGTTTATAGAAGCAGTCAATCAGTTAGGTGGAGCTGACAGTGAGTATACACATCCACTTGTGGATCATCAAATGCTGAGGAACATAGAATTTGAGTTCACTAACGCAAAGTACAATCTTTCTATTGCAGAGGCTACTCCAAAAACTGTAATGAAACTCATGGGAATTCCAGGGCTTACTTTATATCATCTGAAGAGCCATCTTCAGGTAAAAAACGTTAGTGTTTTGTATTGCAAGGTTTTGGTTATATAATTCCATTCAATTTATCCCTGCATCCTCATAGGTGCATGATTTTCCTACACTTACACTATATTATGTAAACAAAATACAAATACAATTTTAAACAAATTCATATGTTGTGTATAGAAGTTGTGTACAAATCATGATTGATTCCTCCTTCACCGTAGTCGTCTTCTGGGAAGGGCCTTATACCTTGTAATGGATATCCCGTATACATCTGATTAGTTATTTATCTTATGTTTTCAATTTTTTCTTGTCCGATCCATCATAGAGATATGGTAAATTGTTATTTGAAGAAAAATTGTCATATATAATATTAATAAACCCATAATAAATTTGTCATCTTACCTTGTCTGTTGCAATTACTGATATTTTCCTTTTGTGTCGCCAGAAGTATAGATTGAGCAAGAATCTGCATGGACAAAGCAACAATGTGACACACAAAATCAGTAAGAGAACAATCTCTATCATTTCTTCTGATCTACTATTGAACCAGAGAGCTGTTTTCTATGACTAAACTTACCATACCAGCAACAAATGCAGGTGCAGCCACTGGAGAGAGACTTTCTGAAAACAATGGAACTCACATGAACAAATTAAGTCTTGGACCGCAGGCTAACAAGTAAGAAAAACTAAAAGATTTTTCACTTGATTCATGTATCTTGTTTGATATGAAACTTCTGTTACTTAAATATTTTATAGTTATACTAATTAATGTTCCATGTCTTTGTGCCAGAGATTTACATATAAGTGAGGCACTGCAGATGCAAATTGAAGTTCAGAGAAGGCTCAATGAACAACTTGAGGTGAGTTTTGGTAGTAACTTGCTATGCATGCATTTTCCTGAAACCAGTGATCTATTCAAATGATAGACACAGCTTTTGGATTTTTGGCTTCAATTTTCTTTCTTAAATTCTAACAAATCTTCCTGAAACCTTTCAGGTTCAGAGACACTTGCAGCTTAGGATAGAGGCCCAAGGAAAATACCTGCAATCAGTGCTAGAGAAAGCTCAAGAAACTCTTGGAAGACAGAATTTGGGAATAGTAGGACTCGAAGCTGCCAAAGTTCAACTTTCAGAATTGGTGTCCAAAGTCTCCTCTCAGTGCCTTAACTCAGCATTCTCAGAGCTAAAGGAACTACAAGGATTTTGCCCTCAGCAGACACAAACCAACCCACCAAATGATTGCTCAATGGACAGTTGCCTCACATCCTGTGACAGATCCCAAAAGGAGCAAGATATTCAAAATGGTGGCATGGGCATAAGACACTTCAACAGCCATGTTTTCATGGAACAAAAGGATGCCACAGAACCTCCCAACAACCTTAGGAACACCGAACTCAAGTGGCGTGATGAAGGGAAAAAGAACACATTTCTTGCCCCAATGAGCAAAAATGAAGAAAGAAGAAGCTATGCTGGTGAAAGCAATTCCAACAACTTATCCATGACCATTGGACTTGAAAGAGAAACAGAAAATAGAAGCAGCATGTATCCTGAGAGACTAATCACAGAAACTCAACCTGATAGTGAGTTCCATCATAGGAACAGAACCAAAACAGAAATAATGAAACCAGTGGATGAAAAAGTTTCTCAAGATTATAGGTTGCCTTCTTATTTTGCAACAGCAAGGTTGGACCTAAACACACATGGAGATAATGAAGCTGCACCCATTTGTAAACAACTGGACTTGAATAGATTCAGTTGGAGCTGAGAAAATATAGAAAACAGTAATGCTTCTTCAGAATTTGATTCAACATAAGAGGAGGTTAGTAGGAACAGTGTGTTGTTACTACAATTTCAGCTCCTCTTTCTTTCAACCCAAATATATATAAGCCATTTTTAGCAGAATGAAATAAGTTGCAACAACAAAGACCAATGATCATTTGTAAACAATCATTATAAAGAACATAGCTCCAGCAACATACGGTATTATTCTAGTTTATTCAATATTCAAAACATCATGCAATGGAGTGTGTAACTTAAAACATGCATTATTACTCTTGAGCATAACTTCTACTCGATTTGAAAATTAAAATGACACTAACATATTAAGTGGTGTTAGTTTCACTCCAAACGTTTGAAGTCACACACAGTCATTTAAAATTTTGAACTGTTCATGTTATTCAGATGTGTACTTGAAGCAATCATGATCTAACGTAAAAACTGCACGTCCCATAAACTTCTCATTCGTCGCCATTCAAAATTTATATTAGGAAAATGGTTCGTATATAAATTCTTAGGTGTATATCAGAGAGATATGTGCAGGAAAAAAGAGAAAAGTGATAGATATAATTTATGGAGGATGTATGATATAAGCTTATTTTAGAATAGGTATTTGATATCTGCTCTTTAAGTTTCAAAGGTCATTTTACACTTTACTTAAATTATCAATTATGATTATTTTAATATTTTAAAAATTAAAAAATATGTATATTTTTTTAAGATGAATTTCTAACTTTCAATGTCTATTATATATATTTAATATAACATTAACGATAAAGGTGATGATTATTCTACATATAATAAATATAAAATGTTCTTTTAATTTTAGAGGTATTATAAAATTACTTTTAATTTATTTTAATAAGTTTCATAACATTACTTATCCAAATAATTTTTTTAATTTATTTTGATAAATTTTATGATTAAATTTATATGGTAATAATACTTGTGTAATATATACTTAGTTAACCTATACACCTAAACACATCCATAAAAATATATGTAAAAAATATTATATAAGTGTTTATACCGGTAGAATGTTACGTGTTTAAAAATCAAAATCGAAATCATTAATTGATGGAAAAGAAGAATATTAAGAGAAGCAAAGCCACATTAATATTGGGTTTCAATTCAAAACATGGGACAACTCCATTGTAATGTGGAAAGAATTGAATGGATCATGAAACGATGGGCTAAATTCATTAGTTTCAAATGTTTGGGTCAATTCGTTATATTGTTTATACCATACCATGCACGAGCAGTTGCTTTTAGTGAAGGGTATTGCATAAACATGTTACACGATTACACTTAATTAAGGATGTCCACACAACAAATTATTGACACGTTTTTAATTAATGAGTTGTCAATAACGTATTGGCCTATTACATTTAATTTGGGCATTCCAAAATTCTTTAAATAATTTCTTAATTTAAAGAATTAAATAGAAAAAATAGTTTTAAAAGAAAATATATCTTATTCTCCAAAAATAAATTAATTAGGCCATCATTAAAATAATTTTTATTTTATCTTTTAATGATCAAAACGGACACCCATTTTAACCTCTAACAATATTGACATCAATTTCATCCTTCAATTATAAGTTTAGCTATTCAAACACAATAACATATATAAAAAGTTAATTTAATGTAATAAAAATATATATATTAAAGCATACATTATGTCTAAATGTTTAATATAAATTTTTATTATCTTTGTATTTTTTAACACACAACGCATTCAATTTTTTTAATTATTTTTTTTTCTTTTAACTCTGCTAATTTGCGCGTAACAAAGTTTGATTTAGCTGTCAAATAATAAGTTTTATTTTACACAAATTAGTGTATTGAGCGGCATTATGAGACATTTTTTCTTATGAATAAAATTATAATTGATGTTTACAATTTTTTTTAATTCATTTATCTGTATTAAATATGAATTTCCATTTGCAAACAGATCATTAATAAAAAAAATTTAAATAATAATACTATGCTTTCCAGTTATTAATTTTTGTTGACGAAGTATAATTTTTAATTAAAAGGATAGGAAAAAAAAATAAAGAACAGTTTATTTGATTTCAAGAGTAATAAATTGCAATTCATCGTTTTTTAATTACTTTGTGGTCTAAGATTTTGAGGATGACTTTATGCCAACCCATAGAAATAAAAAATATCTGGTTAGTTGGTCTGCTCTCATCCATGTCCACATCTTTCTCATCAAATCGATTCCAATAAAACTAAGACAACTGAAATTAAATCCCCAAAACCTTCTTATTTTCCACGACGCACGTCCACCTCACAAAATCTTAAGGCAACAAACCATTCAACATAAACATAAAATCTTCTTCTTCTTTTTTTCTTCTTAATTTATTATTGGCTACGTACATTTGAACAAAACCACAAAATCTGATTTTTATTTTTTTTAATCTCTCTTTTACCTTTTTTTTTCTTTTGTCACCACATCACATCACCAATTATATATTTTTCTTCTTATTTTCTTATCTTTAACTCAATATATACACTTTATTATGTATACTAATCATTTTCCTTCTTGGGACCTAGCGAGACAACGTAGAAGCATCGCATGCCATATATACAAAAACAATTGTATGTGATGTGTACTGTAATTATAACCCCCGATATATGTTCATCATTATATTATTCTCCTTTCCCTTGCTCTTGAACCTACTTAGCTTCTCCATAGCCACAACAAAGCACATAAACCTCACTTTATCAATGGAAGGAAATTCAACAAAAGGCACATGTCAAAGTCATGCTTCATTTTCCCTTGAACCAAATGAGAAGGTCTTGAATAACACCCAAGAATGCAAGAGTTCAAATACGAAAGACAATGATGATAAGGAAAAGGACCAAGAAGAAGTACCGCATGATGAGAAGGTTGAGGTAGAGGAAACGGGACGTAAGAGGCTCAAGAGGCTAAGGGAAGAGGCGATGGAACATGTTAAGATTCCAGAAAAGTGGGGTCATGAGCAATTGTTGAAGGAGTGGAACGATTATACTATGTTTGATGCATTGTTTGCTCCTCATAGATTGATTGTGACTGCTCGTGATGCTCTTATCGCTCATGGACGTAAAGCAAGGTCACAAAGGTTAAGGATATAGATTATTTGCTAATTTCATTTGAATATTAGCTAGTAGTGTTGCTCTTAATTAATGTTCTCAGGCCCTAGCTATGTAGGAGGAATAATGGGTCGTCACTGATTAAATTCAACCTAGCTACTGCTTTTTCCCATTTTGTAATTCATGGAAGAACAAAAGGAAAAGATAAATTAGCATATATTTTACGAGACTGCTAGGATCTATGTCAGTAATTTGTCTTCCTTTTATTATATTTCCGTCATGCACCATATGGTTTCCCACATGTTTGTGTGGGTGCGTGTTCTTTGCTTTCTAGCTGTTGTTGAAAATAGAAACATGCAAATCCAATATGCAATTTTTTAAGAAAACAAAAGGATGAACACCATAGAAGTTTTTTAATAATCTAAATCATAAGTTTAATTTTTTTTCTGAAAGTTGTATCGTAAGCTTGTGTATATCTTTCTCCCTTGTGGTGCTGAGAGTAATAAATGAGGAGATTACTTAAGTATAACCCAGGAATCACCATCGCGTATATATTAGTCTACTTAATTAGTTTTGATTGTAAGTCATGTGCATATATATATATATAGATTAATTAGCGAGAGGTATCTCTCTAATCAATTTACTCTTTCGATCTAGATCTGATCTCCTTTATAATACATGCTTTATTTTATATTAAGAAAACTTTCAACTAATAATTAGAATAGATTAATTCCACTTTAAGGTTGAGACATCATCAAGATAAATAAATTTCTCCAGCAAACTTACAATACGAATTAATCAAGAGTCGAGTATACATTACTTTTTATTAATTTCAATCGTCTAAGTTTCTTTGACATATATATTTTTATTTAGTTCATGTCGAAAATATGGATGGAAACAGGCCAAGCCACCTGCCTGCAGCTTGACCTGGTTTATATTATAGGCCTGACCTATTTAAAATAAAGTCTGGCCTAATCTGACTTGTCCTGTTTCTATCTTTATCTGAAAATTGGTTATATCTAGGTTTAATTTTTTATATTTTTTAATCTCAACTGCAAGTAGGTCCCTGCTGTCCACTCAAGATAAAAATTTAATTTATACTCTTAATTAAAATTATTCTGTGACTTATTCCTTCTAAAATAAAATTTAAACTCCCCTCTTGTTGCATGTCTTTTGTGAATACATGTATGTGTAGATTTTGTTAGGAGTTAAGTTGATCAATTTTACACTCTTTCAACTTTGACCCAAACTCAAACCTTTTTTTTCTACTATTTTTTTTCCTCATTTTTTATGACTTGTTTAAATAATGAAATACACCTTTTTTAAATATCACAAAATAAATAGGATCTCGGAATGAAATATAGTTAAATAAAATATAAAGTTGTTACTAATTTTATTGAAAATAAATAAATTAGAAAATTTTTATATTTGAAAATTGAAATCAAATTCTAAATTTTAATCATGTTCAAGAAATGTAAAGTGTTGATTTAATTATACTTACATACATCAATTTTAAAGTAGTTGCATAAGGTCATTTTTTTTATTTCTTTGGAAAAAATAAATATAAATAAAACATAATTATTCATGAAAAAATATATTAGGAAATTTTTATTTTTATTTGATAAATGAATTCTTACTATTGTGTACCTCTTGGCGCAAACATGTTTAGTCAATACTTGTAAGTTAATTGTTTTAGTTAAATAACATAAAAAGTGATTTTATGTGAGAAATAAATTGATGATTGCAAAAACGTTTAAATAACATGGTAATATACAAATTATTGGAAAAATGTTTTTTTTTTCATATGCATCATAAATAATAAATATTAGACAGACAAGAGGGTAAAAGGCCAAACAATAAATCCAAAAATCTTAAGGTATGTTTAGGAGAATAATTTTGGAAGAGAAAAAAAGGGGAGAACATATTTTTTAATTTTAAATTAAAAAAATTATATATTATTTATAATAACAAATACATTATTAATAGATTATATTTTTATTATTTTATTAATTTATTAATTTATATATTTTTTTAATATTAATTTTAAATATATTTATTTAAAATACAAATTTTACCTTCTCCAAAAATCCCCTTCACAAATAATTTCTTACACAAAAAAAAAAATCCACTTGAGTAAAAATTCATGTAAAATTCGGACCACTAAAATACTGTTAAAGTAGGCATTTGAAAGGCCTTACGGTTAATTATATAAATAGTTTATAACTTCTAAATTTTTTTAATTTAAATTAATAAATTTGTAGTATAATTTATTGAATAAATTTTTAATTTATTTAATCCATAACATGTAGATCTCACCCTCATGTATCTTGGCAGAAAACTAACTCAAAAAATACACAGCCCATCAAACATTGTCGAACTGTTTGGAGATGGGCATAGAGAGTCATAGGGCCCAAAAATAAAATTAAAAAAATGTCATTAGGGCCCAAACAAAGCATATGAATTCATTATATATATATATATATATATATATATATATATATATATATATATATATATATGTGTGTGTGTGTGTAAAATTGACTACACGTATTTATTGTTAAGTGTATTAAATTTTAAAATGTAACTTCATCTACTTATTACTCTATATCTTAAAATTCAAAATGTATAAAGTCATTCACATTGAATCCACTTACTTATTACTTTGTGCAAAAAAATTCAAAACGTATAATTTATGAATTAAAATTATATTTTATTACACTTATTATGTTTTAATTATATTTAAAGAATATTTATTAATATTGATAGTTATATTATGTTACAAACGGCAACATAAATATTTATGCTATAAATTAGCTTAAATTACCGTTATTAAAATTAATTATAATATTTTTTTATAATTTACGAATTAAAATTATTATTTTATTTTAATATAATCTATATTTTATTATGTACTTCAAAAACTAAAATATATTTTAAATTAAAAAATTAAACTTACAAAATTATTAGTTTATAATATATGTTGTTAAATTAAATTTATAATAAAGATAAATTTTCATATTTAAATTATTTTATTAATTCATTAAAATAATCTACATTTCAATATATACTTTAAATATTAAAATGTAATTTAAATAAAAAGTACACATTTAGAAAATTATTTGTTTATATTATATATTGTTAAATTAAATTTAAAAAAAATACAATTTTACATATTTAAATTATTTTATTAAATATTTTAATATAATCAATATTTTAATATTTACTAACAATACTAAAGTGCAATTTAGTTTAAAAATATTACATTTATCAAATTATTAGCTTTTAATATATATTGTTAAATTAAATATCTAATGAAAAGACAAGTTTACAAATTTAAATTATTTTATTAATTATTTTAATATAATATATAGTTTAATATATATTTCAAAAACTAAAACTTACTTTAAAATTAAATAAATTATACTTATCTAATTATTAGTTTATATTATATATTATTAAGATCAAATAAAATAATTTAAAATTATTTTCATAATTTATGAATTATAATCATAATTAATTTATGCTTATTATTTTTGAAATGTATTTAAGAAAAATTCATTAGAATTGATAATTATATAATGTTAAAAATAATAATAACAAAACTACTATAAATATTATTTAATAAAAAATATTATAATTTATTATAAATCATTTAAACAAATTTTAATATTTTTTATGTTAAATATTGAAAATAGAAAAAAGAATATTGATTAAATTGTAAAAAATATTTTTGAAAAAATTTTGTGAAGTTCTCGATTTATTTTTTAATTATAAATAAAAATGTATCTTTGTTTTTAACTTCTATTTAAAGTTTGAATGTTAATTATTGTTTTATATTATATATTATTAAATTAAATTTTCAATGAAAAGATAAGTAAACTATTATATAAATGAAAAGATAACTTTTATTATATTAATTTTTTATTTTTTAAATTTTTATATATCACTGAGTAGGACTTCATCTCTATTTATATAAGTCATGTTTACACAAATTTTAAAAACTTGTTCACGTTTCTTTCTACTGTCATCATTTTTTCTTTGTATTTTACAATTATGTCAGCTGTTAAGAATTACCTACCCACATAAGTATGTGTATTTTTAAGTTTGATATTTTTTTTTTATTTCACTAAATTGTGTTATATATTTCAATTTAATTTTTTAAGTAAGCATAAAGATGTATTTTTTTAAATGATATCATGTATTGAATTTTATTATTAACTGATTAATTTGTATCAAATTTATCATTATTTTTCATGCTTGTGTAGGAGAACAACAAGTTGCAATGAAGATAAATGGACTTTTCTTAATGATTTGAATTCAACAACAAATGATTGTACCAAACTTATATCTCCAACCGTGGAAACAACAAACCAAAAAGAAAGAGAAAATTAATGTATAAATTATAAATTTGTAATGTATTGTTCAAATTTCTTAAATAATACATTAATCTATATTTGATATTTTCTTTTAGGTTATAACTTGAAGAAGATGAAGTAAAAAATGAAGACTAAAAGGCAACAATAAAATATTTAGAAGATTGAATCATTTTTATTGCAATATTGTATAAAAAATTTTAATATTATGTATAATTTGAAAAGTAAAATGTCATCAAATATTTAAATTTTTTATAAAATAATTTTGTTATCTTATTATATACATTTCTCTTACTTTTTTATTATTATTATTATTATTATTATTATTATTATGTATTGACTTTATTTTTAACATAAAATTTGTCTAGATTTTATTTGTGACTCATAAACTTTATATTATATAAACTTTTATAATTTTAATTTATATAAAGATTAATATTTATATTAAATAAAATCATTCTTCTCTTTTAGTTTCTGCCTAAATTTTTATTGAAAAAATTTGAATTACTATTTTTTTTCTCTTCTTCTATTATTTTTATTTTTTTACAATTAATTTAATAGAAATTGATATATCATAATTATGTATAACTTATTAATATAGACAATATTTTATTTATATTTTATATTTAATAATTATGATGATAATAATTGATAAATTATAATTAAGGAAAATTTGTTAAAAATGATGGTTATATTATGTTAAAAATGGTTATATTAATATTGTTATGAATGACATGATGCTTGATAAAAAAATATTAAATTTTTAAATGTAAAAAATTTAAAAAAATTCATTGTGAAGTAAAATTATGCCTAATGAACGAAAATAGTTAAATAGTAAAAAAAAATCTATTAATTTCTTAAGTAACATTTTAATTGATATTAATTTAAATTATTTTATTAAATAGTATATATACAATTTATTTTTTTAATGACAGAATAATATTTTAATATATATATATATATATATTAAATTTATATTTTTAAAATAATTACAGACTTAATTAATATTTTAATAACTGTATAATATATATTTAAATTAAAATTTTATTTAGTTATTTATCAATTTTTTGTAAGATGCAACATATTATTAAATCTATTATTGTCTTAATAAATATTATCTTAATTTTATTAATTCTATTATTACTACATTAACAAATAATTATTTAAAATTATTTCATATTTTAAAATTAATTTAATTCTTTATTTTAATTAGAGAATAATTATAAAAATTTATTGATGTATGTATTAGTATTAATATTATAAATTGTGATAATATTTGCTTATTTATTTATTAATATAATTCAATTGTACACGTATAGAGTTTATCATAACTACTCTTATAATTAATATTTTATCATACAAATTATAAATTAAAATTATGTTTACTTATTTATTAATAATTTTTTAAAATTGTTGGTGATAAATCAAATCAAATTATTAAATAAGAGCTTATGTATCCTATAAAATTATTAAATATTTTAAATTTTAATGAATTTACTCTCCATTACTTGCAACTCAAAGAAGGAATGACAATTATACTACTTCGGAACATTAATCCAACATTAGAAATGTGCAATGAAGCAAGACTCCTTATTAAAGACAATCATTAAATTATGTTGAATTATATTTGCCAAAACTTATATTTAATCATAGTCAATTATATGTTGTATTTATATGTTGGATTGTCTAAAATAATGTCAATAAAAGAAATAAAAATATTTATTATTAAAGAAGATAAACAAATATATAAATACAAAAAATATTGTATAAAAAAAATATTTTATAATCTTTCTTACTGTAATTATATTTAATATAATAAATTTTTTTACCATATTGATATATTTTTATATTTAAATTATATAATTTATATTTTAAAATAAATTAATTTAATAAAAATAAAATAAGCCCGTGTAACGCACAGATATATTTACTAATGTTTATGTATTATAAAACTTGACCCAAAAAAATATGTATTATAAAAAGAGAATGTAATTGGAAAAAGAAGAAGAAAAGTGAAATCAAGTAGAATATAACAAAATGAATTGTTTCATTGTATTTTGTTTGCATATTTAACAGTATCATAAAATTATAACTCATAACATTTTTTTTTTCTAAAAGACTAACAAAGCAATTTATTTTATTTTATTATAAAATATTTTTAGCATTATTCAATATTTAATTTAATTTTATTCTTTTCCCTTTCTTTCAGTGGTATTTCATTTCTCCCAGCATTTGGATTCTGATATGAATTCAATTGTTTTTGGTCTAAATATAAATTCATTTTCTTTAGTTCTAAAAATATGAATTCAGTTTGATAAAAATAATTAATGGAACGCAAGCCTGATTCGAGTCTAGTCGGACTTCAATTTTTTTTTAAAACAAAAATATACATTACTTTTTCCAAAAATAAAAATATTTTATTAATTAAATAATTGATAGAATGCAAAGCCCATTTCAATTCGTGGGAAACCAGGCCCAGCCCATTCCTTTGCCAGCATATATAATTCTGCTACCCGCCGCAAGAAACCCTAGCTAGGATATCGCTTGCGGTACTTTCTCTGCGTTTTGCTATATACTTCTTCTGTTTTTCTCTGATGCTAATTTTCCTTTCTTTTTCTCTTCAATTTTATTCGCAGCTGCCCTAAGATCTGTATCAGCCTAGCTGTTGATTTGAGAAGGCCAAGTTTCAAAGATGAGGTACTTGTACTCTCTTCTTCGAATCGGCTCTGTACCCATTTCTTATCTTGTTTCGGCGTTTTATTATGAAATCAATGCCATTAATCATTTTCAATTGAAAATTGATTTGTACTTTATGCGGCATTTGAGATATTAGAGAAAATCGCCTAATGAAAGTAGTGCACTTGAAAAATCTAGTCCTTGTGGTCTCTGATCTGTTTTGAATGTTTACTGTGTAGTAAGCTTCAGAGTGATGCTCTTAGGGAGGCTATCTCAGGAATCATGGCTGATTCCAAGGAGAAAAGCCGCAAATTTGTGGAGACTATTGAGCTTCAAATTGGGCTGAAAAACTACGATCCTCAGAAGGACAAGCGTTTTAGTGGCTCTGTCAAGTTGCCTCACATTCCTCGCCCCAAGATGAAAATTTGCATGCTTGGTGATGCCCAACATGTTGAAGAGGTAACTAGCTACAATCATCAAACTCTTTTTAGGGATCTTTAATTAGGTGCAATGTTTTGTGCTGTAGGGAAACCCAAGTTTCTAACACTAAGTATTATGCAATAGGTGAAAACTGTAATTGTATAACATAATGTCTCTTGCCTTGCAGACTGTATTTGTTTCCTTCCCATTTAGTTGTGTGCTCTTTGATTTTGTTTTTGAAGTTAGTGATTGTTAGCAATGACTGCCTTCTTTTTAAATAACCATAATATGACACACTGCATCTGTTACTTTGTAACCTCATTTCAAGAGTGTAATGCCGTTCATTAGCTGTTGTTTTACATCGTGAGTTTTAGTGTTGTATTCGGTAATTAGTCATTGTACCCGTACAATGCACCGACAGTTAATCTGTGTCAGTAGTTGTTTGTTGTTACTTAATTTGTTGTATAAATGTCTATTACTCTAATCTGCAGGCTGAGAAGATAGGATTGGACTACATGGATGTAGAGGCTTTGAAGAAGCTAAACAAAAATAAGAAACTAGTGAAGAAACTTGCAAAAAAATATCATGCCTTTTTGGCTTCTGAAGCAGTCATCAAGCAGATTCCTCGTCTCTTGGGTCCTGGTCTCAATAAAGCAGGCACGTTGTATTCTTTTTGGTTTAGGATTTCATTCTTGTACATTCCATAGAGTACTTTACTGATTTGCTTTTGTTTTCATCACTTGTTATCAGGCACTGCTTTCTTTTTGTTAAACTCTGATCTAATTGAGCTGTTTACTTATTGATTTTAAGTACTACATAAAAATCATTTAAACAACTTCCCTTATCCTTGGTATCTTTCTCTATCGATTTCTTCCATTCCCTTTAGTGAACCCTACTGATTTAGGTATTATGCGAGAATTTGCAGGGAAGTTCCCTACACTTGTGACTCACCAAGAATCTCTTGAGTCAAAGGTTAATGAAACTAAGGCTATGGTCAAATTCCAGCTTAAGAAGGTGCTCTGCATGGGAGTTGCTGTGGGGAATGTTAGTATGGAGGAAAAGCAAATCTTCCAAAATGTACAACTGAGTGTTAACTTCCTTGTCTCTCTCTTGAAAAAGAACTGGCAAAATGTGAGTAGTCTACTCTTAACATTGAGTAAAACTGTTGCTTTGTTGCCTTCTATTGTACTGTGCTTTTCTCATTGTAATTTAGAACTTGGTGTAGGAACAGTCTGAAAATATTAGGTGCACCTAGTGCAACCTGCCCTCAGTTTCCATTTTGAATGGCTATGATGTCGATGTATGAAATGGCACTTTTAGTCAGGAAGAGTGATTTTGCAATTGCTGCTTTAATTTGCAACTTTGTTGAATTTTTGCCTCAACATTGGGAAAACGTGACAGTAGCCGACTTTTATATTTTTTTCTGCAATTTTATGGGTTTGATCCTTTACTGCGGATGTGTAGAATTGTTTTTTGTTTCTTCTGTGCTAGGGATTGATCTGGTTGTGCATGCCAATCATCTAAATGTTAACTATTTATTTATTTCAGGTTAGGTGCTTGTATCTGAAGAGTACCATGGGGAAATCGTACCGTGTCTTTTGATAGTTATCGTAATAGATGGACAGAATTCTTTATCATTCTACAGTTTTGTTGGATGAGTTTTTTTTAGTATTTCTTGTAATCGACTTCTTATGTTTTAAGTGCTTTGCAACATTGGATAATTTTAAGGTGCTAATTTTAAGCTACTCGTGTTTTTACTTATATTTACCTTGCTATATGTTTTCCTTTGATGCGCATGCACATATCCTATGATGATGTTGATGTCTGTACGGGAAAGGAAAAGGTCTTCGATTATGGTCTTCATGGGCTAAGTGATGAAGTAAATGTTATGTATAATTAATTTATACATGGTTTTTTATTTTATTAAAACTTTTTTCCCTATGTAACTATTTATTTTTTCCAACACATTCATTATTTGTTATGTCTAAAGTTCTTAAAAAATTTTGTTGTTGCAATATAGCTACATTTAATATTTAGTTTAAAATAGGTTAAGTTTAAATATGTCAACTTAGCAGATAAACTTAATTTTTTTTCCATTTGTATAATGTAAATTCTTTAACAATTTAAATAATTTATAAATTCAAGTAAGCCTGTCTTGTGGTATGAGGAAACAATTATAAACAGTTTGGATATATATAGGTTTGGCATAACAAATGACTATAGTTAAATAACGGATAAAAATGGCTTCACCGTTAAAAATGAATTTAAGACGAGATTAAAAGAAGTAAAATATATTAAACTTGGGTTATATAAATTGAATTATTTAATGTATCTTAATTTATAAAAAAAAGGTTAATTGATGACATTTATGAAAAAATTAGAACACATAAATTTTATGTAACAAAGAAGAGTAATTTATTCTATTTTTTCTAGTATTTTATCTAAACTGATTTTAAATTATGAATATATGTTATGATTAAAATAGAGCAGACAGAAGTAGAAATTATATACATTTATGCTCAGTCCGTGGTGGCGGCACATTGCATGTCTGCCGCCATCCCCATCTAAATAAAAATTAATGTGTTTAGGGTAAATAGAATTTCATTAAAGTCTCTTTCTATATCTTTCAATCCATCATACCGATCTTTATTTTGTTTTTTATTAAACACGTCATTATATATAATAAAAAGTTGAATATTATATATTTTTATTAAAAATTATAAAATGTAATTATACGAATATGAATACACTGAGTGATATTAAATTTTATAAAAATTTATTATGTATAAATTATTGTCATTAGGTAAGTTAAAATACCGTTAATTTTTTTACGATACCTATTTCTGTATTTATAAATTTAAAAGAATATTTTAGAATTTTGTTAAATCAATAATTATGATTATTCTAATATTTTTAAAATTTAAAAATAATTATATATTTTTAAAATAACTCATTAATTTATATTATCTATTATATATAATTAATATAATATTGATAATTATGATTATTTTATATTTAAAGGCCTAAAATGCCCTCATAATAAAAAAATTATTTAATTTTATTATTGTCTTCTGCCAAAAGGTGCTCTCCAGTGAATTTTTGCGCGTTAAGTAAGCGCCCACGTCAACCTGACGTTAAAAGCAATCTAAATCACAATGTACAGGCACTCGCTCGTTATTGATAAGATTGAAAATAAGGTTTTAGATTGGGAACGTCAAAATTCTGAGGAATTTAAGGATTCGACATTTCACTTTATTTTTTTAATTATTTTTAGATAATTTTTTAAAATCTATATTTTTTAAATTTAAATATTACTAAATGTGAATTTAGTTAAAATTAAATCAACATTAAATAAAAGTTGCATATACACGTATATAAAAACATGATATTATATAAAAATTTAATGGACATGTATTACGTAAATAAAATTAAGAAAACATTTTAAATATTTTGAATATGTTTATCACGTTAATAAGTTTTGTTATCTTTTTAACGTATATATTTTAATTAATTATGTGTTATTAATAATATTTCTTTATTTAATAAACAATAGTTAGTATAATATGATGCTGTATATTGATATTAATTTTGTTTAATACATTGTCGAGACATAGTTAAGTTAAAATTGTATAAAAATAAATATTTTAAGTTAAATATTGTAAAAATAATTCTTATTACTTAAGAATGCAAATTTAAATTATATTACCAATATAAATATTTTGTTAATAGACAATTTGTAAGTAATTTTAGTGACTGTGGTGATTGTACGTGCATTTGTTCAAGTAATCTTAATTTATTCCTAGGGTTTAATTCATTTTTCTTATGAATTTAGATTTAACTTTGGTAGATTATGCTTTTCAAAACTCCCAAGCTAGTTTAGGTCCAATTCTTTAGATGAGAGTTATGTGAATTTGTGTTTTTTGAGAGATGAGAAAAATTTGAAGCATAATATTTTTACATGTAACGTGAAAAATATATACGTTTGAAAATAGCCTAAATAGTTTATTTAAATCAAAATTAAGATTCAATTTAACCACAAAACAATTATTAGAGTCTCAGGTTAGCAAAAAAAAAAAAAAAAGAGATAACAGAAAAGATAAAGTGCATAGACTCTTAATAAATACGTAACAAATAAAATTATTCATGTATGGAGACATTAAGTCAACAACTACTTTCAAATAATAATATTTCTTATTTACTTGTTTATTTCACTCTTTCTTCTCTTTATATTTTTTTTAATTTACGATTTTTTAAAAATTTTATTCTAAAACAATATGTAATTTAGTTAATATTAATTAATGTTGAATCTAATTCAGTTTATTGATTGAAATTTACGGATCATTTTAATCTTTTAAAAATTAAGAAAATGTTTGTTTTTCTTTTTAAAAAGAGTAATAAAATATACCCTTAATTTGAAAATAACTATTCTAGTCTTTCTAGAATTAAAATAATTATTTGCTTCACTCTAGGGAGACGAAGGTGGTATTGTGTTATTAACCAATCACAACGTAGTTGTCCTTGACCTTTCAATCGAAGTTTCAAGTTTGGTTTGCTAGAAAAGAAAAATACTGCAAGAGTTTCAGACATGACAATCTTGAAGGATCCCATTTGAAACATTAAAATACATACAAGTGTAGAGTTACGCGATAAAATGAATCAATCATCATGGCTTATGTTGATAGATAGTGATTAGTGAAATCAAATAGAGAATGAGTTTGCAGTAGTTGAAATTCTTTTTGGTTGGACATAACTGTAAAGAAAGTTCGAATAGTTTGCCTTCTATTAATTGTTTATATACACTTTTTTGTCGATTGCTTTATGCACAAGGCTCGTTACTGGGTTCAATCAAATGATAGTATTATTTTTATTTTCTAGTTCCAATCCTAATAGCTCATCATATTCCTTTCAGTCCACTTAAAAACAAAATCAACACCTAATTGCAGCGGAAGTTAAGATGTTTTACTATAAGTTAGTTTTTAAGAATGAGTTACGTCTAATTTTTGAAGAAATGAAAGCTGAAAGATAATTAAGAAATGAGAAATTATTCTTATAAAAGAAAAATATGAAAAATTTGGAAAGAAGCTCGATTTTCACAGAAGTTGTGCGTAACGCGGAAAACGACATGAACGCGCAAACACGTGCCAACATGATGAGGTGTCAGCGTGCTTTAAGAGAGGCGGTGCTTAACACGTGGGCAATACTGAGATCCGCGTATGCGTTTTATAATACTAGTTATTATTTTTCCAATTTATCAATTAATTAAATTGCTGTTAGCCTGTTCCCATTCAGAAATTTTTTAGGCTTTACCACTCTGTTCGTACTTCTATTTACACTTTTAAAATCAATCATCACTGTTGTTTTATTATTGAATAAAAATGTTATTTAAGCATCCCAGTATATGTTATGAATACAATATTATATTTTATTTACAAAACAAGTATCTTACGTAAACTCGTTCATGTATAATAATCATGACTGAGAAAAGGATAACACAATATAATTGAAAAAGAGGTTATGATGATTGCGCGTTCATATTCTTTCAAAAATACTAACCATAACCATAATCATTGTTAAGAAATTTAAATTATTATTAATACCCTTTAATTATATTTTTTAATTTATTTTATCATTATCTTCACTAAAAATATTTATTTACTCTTTGAGAACATTGATTAGTAAAATCATATTCTTTTGATTAACTTGGTCTTCTACCTTAGATTAAGTAAATTATGTACTAATGCAGTTAAAAATATTAAAAGTTAAGGTCTTCTTAAAAATCAATTATAAAAATAATTCAAAATGTATTAAATATTTATTTATTTAATGTTTTAAGTATTTTAATTATCATTTACCTAAAATTTATTACTATTTAAAAACGAATGTAAGCCATTAAAACAAAATGGGGACAGTAACGGAGGAAAGTTATAAAACATATTTTTCTTATGAGTTGCAAGCTCTCGCGAAACTTTCCATAAACGGACGGGTCCTTCTTTGTAAATATCAATAAAACTATAAAAGTCTCTGACATCGGAAAAATAAAATAAAATCTCACTATGTCGGTGATTTGGCAGAGTCTAAATAACCGAAATATTTTTGCTATTTTCTTTTTTTTTTTACATATTTTCTAAACATTTTTTTAATCATTTTTAAGAGTAAATATTAAATAAAATATATTTAGTATTTTAAAATATAAAATAATTATTCTATTTAATAATTTGAAAATTTTTAAAATGTAGAAGTAAAAAAAATTAAATTTATTCTATCGGGACAAGAGTATTTACGTACGTGTAAGCTAAAAAGTGGATATATAATAATGTCAACAACTTAGAAAGAGAGAGAGGGAGACCAAATTGCATAGCCTAGTTTTCACATAAAAACAGAGTTGCTCTGTTTATATATATATGTATGAGATATGATAAACTTTGTTATGTGGCCAACCTTGGACCTTCAGCGGGGTGGTCTTGGTTGGCGGTTATGTCCAAGATCAGATCAGTAATGGCAACATGTTCCTTCCTATTCAGAGGATTATTGCTTCTTCTCACGGTTTCGGGTTTGTTTTCTTCTACTAACTTGTCAACTTGGGCATGATTCCATTTGTTCCACCGAAAGTGAATGAATTTTAGAATTTAGGAAACAAAATAAAACACAGCTTTTGTGTTGTGGAGCAATCTTATTCTGCCCTCGTTTTCTTCGTAATGGAACATTCGACCCTACTTGAGTTGTGATAAGAATACTATTCCTTTTAGCTTTCATGGAATGGAAAAGAGACCACAATGTGTGCTCAGAGGAATTAAACATTAATTTAGCTTTCTGATTTTGTCAATTGTGTTCAGTATATATTCTCCAATCTCCACACAATTTATGTCTTTCTCTTTTGTCAACTATCTATTTTGAATTGTGGGTTTGCCTGTTTGCACAATCTTCTTTCCATTCAACTTCAAAGTTTTTTTTCTTCTTCTAGAGATTGATTGTTAATTATAGCTCTTGAGCATTGTAAAATAGAATTTTTGGATTTTAGGTCTGTCAAATATTCTGATATTTCAAGCTATGTTTTCAGATTTGTTTGAGCAAACTAGAGGCATTAATTTTGGAATCAACTACGGGCAAATAGCCAACAATCTTCCATCTCCCTCACGTGTGGCTGTTCTTATAAAATCTCTGAATGTCACCAGAATCAAACTCTATGATGCTGATCCAAATGTTCTATCTGCATTCTCCAATTCAGATGTAGAATTCATCATAGGACTTGGAAATGAGTATCTCCAAAGCATGAGAGACCCTTCCAAGGCTCAGAGCTGGGTTCAACAGCATGTTCAACCTTACATTTCACAGACCAAAATCACATGCATAACTGTAGGAAATGAAGTCTTCAACAGCAATGATACTCAGCTCACAATGAACCTCCTCCCTGCAATGCAAAGTGTGTATAATGCCCTTGTTAATCTTGGACTATCTCAACAAGTTACTGTCACAACTGCTCATTCTTTCAACATTTTATCCAACTCTTTCCCTCCCTCATCTGGCTCTTTTAGTCAAGATCTGATACAATATATCCAACCCCTTCTTAACTTTCATGCTCAAATCAAATCACCCTTCCTCATTAATGCATATCCTTTCTTTGCATACAAGGACAACCCAAATCAAATTTCCTTAAACTATGTGCTGTTTCAGCCAAATTTAGGGTCCACTGATCCAAACACCAATTTACATTATGATAACATGTTGTATGCTCAAATTGATGCTGTCTATGCTGCCATGAAAGCACTGGGGCATACTGATATTGAAGTCAGGATTTCAGAAACTGGTTGGCCTTCTAAGGGTGACCCTGATGAGGTTGGAGCCACACCAGAAAATGCAGAAATATATAATAGTAATTTGTTGAAGAGGATAGAACAGAAGCAAGGCACTCCTGCAAATCCATCCGTTCCAATTGATATTTTTGTCTTTGCACTTTTCAATGAGGATTTGAAACCTGGTCCTATATCAGAGAGAAACTATGGCCTTTATTATCCTGATGGTACCCCAGTTTACAACATTGGGCTACAGGGTTATCTACCAGAAATGGTTATAGAATCCAAATCCAATGTAAGTAGACACATAAGAACTCCACATAGTTACTTATCTGTCAAAAGCTCCATTACCTTTTGATTTTACAATTTGTCTGAGCGTCAATCGATTCTAATCAGATTGAGTAATTATGGATGTCTCTGATATTGTCATTGCTGTTAATGAGCAGGCTTTGGCTATCAATTTTCTCATCTATCTACTTACATGCTTGGTGTTGGCCTGGGAGCTTTCAAGATAGTGGTCGGGAATATAATAGAACAAAGAAATTCAATTCCTATAGATCATTCTTTTACAAGCGGAAGTAGTTGAAGGTGAGGATAAATTTAACTTTGTCCCTAAATTTTTTTATTTGCAAATGTTTATCTTTATATATATTCCAATTATGACTATGGTATCTGCTGGGATACCGTAAATTTATTTCCATTCATAGGTCATATGCTAGCTAGTTCAGCCTGAACTTCTAATGAATCAAATTTACCATATGATGGAAAATTCAAGGGCATAAGAGATGGAAAGTGTGTGAAAAAAATTCAAAAGCGTTTTTGATTCCTCCTTGTTAGTCTTTGACTTTTTAGTAGTACTAAGGAAAATAGTCTGAGAAATGATATGATGGGAAAGTTTTGGAACCATAGCTTGCAACAGTAGTGCCTAAATGTAAATGGTATCTCTTTAAGAAGAACCTGTCAAATGCTGTCCAATTGGTGCTTGGCGCATGCACCAAGTGGATTCGGGTAACCACCCCGAGAAAACCTTCCTACGTTGCTTATTATTTTTGTTAAAGAAATGGTGATGGGTCTCCATCTTTCTTATCTGCCACTTGCAATCATGCATGTGAATCTTCTCGTGAATAAAATTCTTCTTGTCTTCAGCAATACAAAAGTCCAAATTCGGTTATATTAGACACGAAAAGAAAAGCCTTCAGGAACCCTCCTGCCAGATAACCATGCCTCATGAATTTTGTCCATGGTTTTTAACCTTATCTGAGGTGGGTTCCCCCCTTTTCCACCACTTTTCCCTTCTTTTCCCTTATACTAGCTTTTATATTCCGAGCGTGTGTCTATATTCACATTTAAATCACAATACATTTATGTCTACTTTATTACTATTAGTTAGAGCACTTATGATTATAGATTTTTGGGTGATCCAAAACTCATGTTAGATTTTGGGTGATTAAGAACTATCTGATTTTAATCACTCACACTTTGTCACGTGTTTAATTTTTATAAAAATGCATATGGAAATATGTAATGAAATAATCAATGAAATGGAGAGATAAAAATAAATAAATAGTGTTGTACAAAAGTATTATGAAAATAATGTCACTCATGAAGTTATTAGTATTAGTTGAAGTTTATTATTACCTAGCATGTCCTAAGGAAGGAAGACAGAATTATAGGAAAGGGGAATTGGGATGGAGTGTGTTAGAAGGAATTGAATCTCTCCACTCAGTAAATATCCACAATTCTTATTAATTGAGCTACCAAGAGGGGGCTATCGTAAAAGTTTGTTAAACCTAAAAAGTTGAGAGATTCTATTATGCAGTATCTATTTCTATTTATTTTAAAGTTTAATAGAATTAATTTTTTCTCTCTATATTTTATTGAAGATAATGATGTCAATTTCTGATAACAATCTTAATTTTAAATCATTAATATAATTAGAACATATATTTATATCAAAATATTTTTTATTAAAAAATGTAAAGATCGTTTTTCTTACTTTAAAATAAATATTATGGCAACGAGTGATAACTTGTGCTCCCTTGAAAAAAATTGCTTTGTGTGAACTGTACTTAGGTCAAACCATGCGTTACATTAGATGATGTTGTTGCGTATGATTTGCAACTTAGAAAACCCCATCGATTAGTGGAGTGCAATTGTGAATGGAGAAAACATTGATTTAGAATTCTAATGGCGCTTCTTTGTTGGACGAGAATCATGTCATGTGGAAGATTGTATAATATAAGAGTCGCAAAAAGTAGGCTGGAGGCAGCTGTTAGAGATGGCTTAGGTGTATTGTATTGAATTTATAGATTCTTACATCAGCGCACCATTCATATGGGATGAGATTGACAGGTAGGCACAGCCACCTACAAATTTCAATGCTCAAATAGTGATTGCTATCTTCTTCCATGCCTCAACTTTTGCTGCATTAAAGACATTTCGCTTTTCTGATATTGTTCTTCACAAAGCAAATATCTCCATTCTCTACTCCTTACTTTTACACTTTTTTTTAAAGAACTGGGAAAATGCACCCCAGGAACATGTTGAAAACCTAAGCGTAAATTTAAAGTAACAGTTATATTTACTAATGTTAAGGGTAAATATAAAATTAAACATCTACTTATGAAAGGAGGGCAGAAGAGGAGAAGAGGAGAGTGATGAAATTTTATAGAGATAATTTTATTTGATTAATATAAAAATTTATCTTTCTTTCAAATCTTAATTTTTATTGAGGGAAGTTAAAGTTGAGTAAGAAGAATATTTGTATCTTTCCTTTTTCTCTCCTCTTTCTAAACCAAACATAAAAAATTATTAAAAAATCCCTCTCTTGTTTACTTCCACCTTTGACAATTTTTTAAAAATGATTTTCTGGAAAAGGTGCATACATGTTACTGACTTAATATTGATGCATCTTTGCAGGGAGACAAAAGCAGCAGATTTTACCCCCTATTTTGAAGGCAAATTCTACATTTTTCGAACAGTTGATCGAGCTTGAAGGCTTAGTTGTTCGTATCACTTAAATATGGTAGCTAAAATCATTCATATAATTATTGATTTCACAGTTGAGTAACAATCAAAGGTAGAGCCCACAAAATTGGAATTGTAATTCGGAGTATAGGGATTCTTTTGACAGAAAATTGATATAGATAGAAGATTTTCTTTTAAGACAGAAAGAAAAAGAGAATTGTGTTGTACATGTAGAACAAAATGTTACTACCTTGTTTTTTTTTTTCTTTTGTGTGTGGCCTCTGTCAGCAAATTTGAAGCTCAAAATTTAATATCACTATCTGTTTTCGTCTATAGATGCAAATATTGCTCATCATTCACGCCAGTTCGCATTAGTTCTTTCATAGTTTTCAAATGGAGTTAAGAATAAAATAACTGAGATAAATAATGTTCAGATTAGTTTGCAAGCAACCATTATTTTTGTCCTTGAAAAGTTTATTATTTTTTTGGTGAATAGTTTATGATTTTTATATTTTATTTTTCATTAATTTTGCTTAAATAAGTATTTTAAAATTGTTTTTTGTTACAAAATAGTCTCTTCAATTTATTTTTTTCATTTGGTCTCTCTAAATATTGTAAATTTTTATTTAATTTTTCCTTTTAAAGGAATCAAATGAAAATTTATGAGAATCAAATGAAAACATTGTGTTATTTAGAGGAATCAAATAGTTTTTTTTAAGATATTTAGAGAGACAAAAAAAGTTATAATAAAATTAGTTGATAAAAAATATATCATAAAAGAATCCATTAAAAAATTTTAAATATAAAAGACTGAATAAGAGTTTATAAATTTTTTACAAACTAAAAAGTTAGTTAAACCTAAAAATAATATAATGGAAGTTACTTTAAATTTGAGTTTCTTTACTTTGAAGCATTGATTAGAGGGGGGGACCCGTGCTTAAAAAATGTTGGGCTTTTGGTGAGAAAAAACAACGAAGTATTACAAAAATTATGAATACGAAATTCAAGGCCCGCTTAAGAAAACGAAAGTTTACCAACTACTTGAATGATTGCTCTAATCTAATGTGCTTGTGATCAATGGGTGAATTTATGATATCGTAGACATTAAGTTTAAGCTATGATGATAAATTTCATAAATGAAAAGCAAATCTCACACCGTAGTAACTGCATTATTGCAGATCAAGAAGTAGTACTTGACCAAGAAAAATGATTAAAAAATAGTAGGTAAACTTTTTACCATAAAAACATGTTTACTTGAACTTTGATGATACCTGTATTCTGTTGGGAGAATGGGAATTAATGGATAGACTACGACCAAAGACCGGGTAAAGTGAACAACGAAAATAGTAATGTAACATATATTTAAGAGTTTATCCAAAAAAATTATTAATTTAATAATATTTTTCGAGTACATGAAAAAATTCACAAATTTTAAGAATGCATGAAAAATTATAAAAGGTAGGTTTAAATATGTTATAGTTTCTATAAACGTAGGTTATTTTGTAATAGATCCTTATAAATATTTTTGTTAGAATTAGTTTCTATAAAGTTAGAAATTTATAATTTAGTCCCTACCGTCAACTCCATTCTCTTAAGTGCTGAGTTAGGAGATGAGAAGCTAATTTAGCACTGTCACATGATATATCATGTTTTTTATAAAATAATATTTTATTATTTAAAATAAATATTTTAAAAAAAGTCCCTAAACAAGTTATACAAATTTGTAAAAAAGTCTATCTTCTTCTCCATTCCATTAAGCTATCCTAACTCCCCCCTTTACACCTTTTTATCAAGAAACTATTTTATATTCATTACTCATCTTTCATCAACCATTTCTCTTTCTAGATTGGCTTTATTTGTTGTTAGATATTAACTTGCAAGAATAATCTCAAAATGATGATTATTGGACACAAATTGAAATCATTCAAACTCAATATGCTACTGTTGACGCAACGAGAAAAAATTATGTGGTGAGAGGTTAGTTTCAAATGAGATATTTTTTGTATCTTTCTCACCTATTGTCGAAGTCATCTTTAGTTATAATGCCAAAGACAATAGATTCAACAAATGCCATTAGAAACAAAATACAAAATAAGTAGATAAACATGTACTCTGTGCCAAATTTATGCTTTCAACATAACATACTGTATCATCGTAATTGGATGAAAGAAGTAGGAGGTCGACAAAGAAGAATTCATTCTTCATTATCTTTACTATATGCCCCATATTTAGATTCTTGCACTTAGTATATCCAAAAGTCCCATACCCTTTATGTGCTTTAATTCTTCTATTATTCACCTCAATATCTAGCAGTAAAATATCGTACTTCCTCCCTTACCCCTTCCTATTCCCCATCGGCACCACCCCCTTCTCCACATCCCCTCTCCCACCAACACCCACACCCTCACCCATTTTCATTCCTCTCACTCATACCACTCCTTCCTCACCTTTTTTCATTCTCCCATCCCCACCACTTCGATCCTCAACCCACTCCCTTGTCTGCACCACTCATTCATGTCTCTTTATTGTAGCTATTACAGAGTTTAATTTTGCCTACAAATTATTTTGCAGCTCACAATTGTTTGAGGGTAAGGGAAGAGGGAAGGAATAGGTTAAAGGGAAGGGCACAAGCACAGAGTTGAGAGAGAGGTGGGAATTTAGAGAAGGTACAAAAATGAAGATGGGAGAAGAGTAATAGTGGAAGGAATGTGTGACAATGAAGTTAGGGATGGTGTAAAGGAGAGGGGAAGGGTGAGGTAAAGGAGAATGTATAGAAATGGAGTTGGGAGAAGGGAAAAAGGTATATAGTAGACAGAAAAAGGAGAAAGGAAAAGAGAATGAACTTTTTTACAAATTTGTAAAACTTGTTCAGAGAATTTTTTTTAAATATTTATTTTAAATAATAAAATATTATTTAAAAAATAACGTGGCATGCCACATGGCAATGCTGAGTTGACTTTTCGTCTGCCAGTTTAACATTTAATAAAATGGAGTTGACGACAATGACTAAATTTTAAATTTTCAACTTTACAGAGATTACATACTAACAAAAATATTTATAGAAATCTATCATAAAACGATATACATTTATAAGGACTAATAACATATTTAAGCCTAAAGTAAATTTTTTTTTGTAATTATAAAACGTTCCTTTTATTTTAAAATGAAAATATAATTTAAAAGTTGATAAAGATGTATTTTTAAAATAAATAATTTATTTTTCAGGTTTTGAATTTCTTTAAAAGTTTAAATAAACTTGATAGTATTTTAATCAAATTATATTTCTGTAAAAATTATTTAAATGTACCTTCGAATGCTATCAGTATAAGCAGTTGGTTATTATTCAATTAAGGTATAAATCTATATGACTAGATCATTGATTGTTAGACTCGATGTAATCAAATTCGAATGTTTTATTAATGCAATGATGTAAGAGTTGGTGAATGCATAGATAATGGTTGCTCAAACTTCTTCAACGGAATTCAATGAATGCTAACATGCTATTAGCTTTGGAAAAAAAAATTTTAAATGTCATACTAAAAATTTATGACATTAAAAATAAAATTTGACTGTCATAAAATTATAATTTTAATTAAAAATTATAAAATTTTGAAATAAAATCGTTAATTATTGATTTTGTTAAACAATATTTTTTTCACACATTGATCACAATCTGGAAGACTATTCTAGTTGATGGATAATGATGCCTGCATTCTTTCTCTATTTCTCTTTAACCAAAACACACTACCATGGTGCCTTTTCCCTCCCATGCTTGCAAACCCAAGGATAACGAACACACCAATATGTACATTACTCATTAAGACTTGTCCCACAAGAAACCAAGAATAAATAGAGAGTTAAAAGTCAAGGATTTTACTAACCTAGCTCTTAATTGCTTATATTAAAGCAATTTCCTACAGCAAACCCTCAATTATCTATAAGGTAGTAATTTTTAGGTACAAACTATAAACATGTTGTTGATTAAAATCAGTTTGATAATTGGTTAATGAAAAACAATATGCTTGTGAAAGTGTGTACATATAACATTACTTCTGCAAATATTGAAACTGAGAAAAATGGCTAAAAACACTTTTTTTAATATAATTTTTTATCATCCTCTTTATTATTAGTTATTTTTTAAAAAAATAATAAAAAATATACAAAAATATTAAATTAAAAGTAAAAAAAAGATTTACGTAATTTTATAATTTTTAATTAATACTTAAAGATATTAAATAAGGTGTTGTTAACATTTCTCTTGAAGGAAAAGTATTTGTACCTTGCACTTCTCCCCATCGTGTACCAGTTTTACATAACTTTTAGAACTAAAACAAAATAGCTTAAACGCATCCACATTTCAATAAACATCACTTCACATCATTTTTATTGATCAATATCAAATTTATTTAACAAATATCATTCACCCACTTATTTCACTTTTCTTGCCGCAAAATACCCTATTGTTATTTATAGGTACATTGTTGGTCAAATGAATTTACATGAATGAGAAGTTTGTGCAGTGCTTTGAATGGAAAGTGTGCATCTAATGCCTACCATTGCTCAAACAAAAATGAAAATAACAAATCATTACACCTTACAAATTTCTTCACAATTTAAATCATAAAATAATCAATTGAATGTAGCACCAAAAAACTAAGAAATCTTGACGACGAGCATCACTTCTTAATCGTACGATGCAAGGAAAGGAATGACCATCGACATAAAGGCATCGTATGAAAGTGTAGCTGAACCGGTATAACGTGTGTCCTTCTCCTTAAATTTATCAGTAAGACCCTGAAAAGTGCAAAATGTAATTAGCATTGTGACAAACACATGCATGCATACAAGGAGCAACACTTGCTTCTAAGAACAAGTATTTCATGACATTGCTCATTTTTACACATTGAAATGAACAAATGATGTTCCAAAGCGTTCAAGCCTTCATATTTTTCTTCTGTATGTTTTATGGGATTCAGAATGTGACCCTAATGTTTATTTCCTATCACATACCACATAATGAAGATAATGCACATTAATGTAACAACAGAAGGAATGAATAAGAAACACAAATGAGAAATAAAGAAATTAGAGCCACGTCCATAGCTTCAAAAGATCGTTGAGTTTTACCTTGATAATCATCCCACACCTGCATACATCAAAGAACAGAACATGAGATACACAATGAAAATTTCAAATAGAGCAAAAGCCAATTTGGTTCTTGAAAGATTTCAGAATATCAATTTGGTGCTCCAAACATTACCAACATCAAAATGGTCCTCAAATCATTATTTATCATTACATGGCAAAAGTAATTTTTTTTTTTACTATTTTGCTGAAAAAGAAGTATCATTCGAGGGCCAGATTGATGTTATAGTCATACAAGGATCAAATTAATGATCCAAAAATCTTTCAATGAGCAAAATGAAAGTTTACTCTTTTCAAATCAATAAGACTATAAAATAAGCATTTCAAAGATAAAGATAAAATGTCTTACTCGACAAAACAGTCAAAACCAAGTTCAACCCTCCTAACACTTCCATCACCATACTTGGAAAGCAGAAGTTGTAGCACCGAGCCAGGTACCGCATAGCCAATACCATACAGAGCATCTCTTAGTTCTAATGGATCAATTTTCCCACTCCTGTCTTTATCGTATCTCTCAAATATACCCTGCAAGTGAAGTAACAAATTCCAAGGGTGAGTTCTACTATTAAACTTCATGTTAAAATTTACCCAACCAAAGGTGTACAAAGCATCAAAACACTTATCACTAACAAAAAACCTTAGTTATTATACAAATGTGACAATTCTTGCTTAGTGACAACGTAAAAAATTTCACATCTGATCAAATATAAACTATAGTCAGGAGGATTTACATGAACAGGATAGAACACTTAACAACGTGTGATTCAATGACAACCGCTACCAATAGCTCTGGTAATAGAACACTTAACAACTATTAACGTGTCATTCCTCTCACAGCTTAGGATTTTGGGATATGAGTGGTTTAGAGTTGAATTCTTATAGAACCAAATGTTCATGTGAACAGTTTAAGTGATTGGTAATGTTAATTCGTGTCAATCAAGTATGAAAGTCCATGTTATTAGGCCATCAAATTTGATGCCCAACATTAATGTGTTGTATGGATGTTCCCATTAGTTGAGCGGTTTTTCTAACCTGAGAAAAGTTGCACAGGATAATTTAAATGCTATAATTTTCAATAAAAATGTATTCTATATAATTTCTTATCTTGTTCAATGTCGTTAAAGTTAAAAAAAATGGTGAATTGAAAATTATTGACAAAATTTGACACAAGAAAACATGTTTATTAATTTTGTAGAGAATATAGGAAGAATGAAAAAGAGACTCACTCGCCACCGGCCAAGGCAATTCCAAAGTGCTGCAAATTCGTTTGGTCCTGTGACAGCACAAGCAATTGGCAGTTGACATCAATAAAATTGAAGAAAACAAAAATAAAAAAGTAGAAAAAAAATGGAAGAGAAAATATAAACCAATTCTGAGGGGTTGTTGTGGATGCTTGAAGAGAAACATGAGGAGGCGAATAGTCCTGAGGTTGAAGTGGTGAAAGGCAGAAGAAAGAGCTTGCTGCAACTCACGCTCATCGATGAAGCCGCTTCGATCTCTATCGACCATCTGAAAACTCCTAATAACATCTGGGGGTGTTCCTGGTGGAAAAGTCGAATACCCAGAAGAAGAAGAAGAATACGCAGAAGCATTGGGTGTAGCATAATGATTGTAATTAGAAGTGGGAGGAGCATTTGAATATGGAGGCTCCTCAGGCGCAGAAGGAGCGTAGGAGTGAGATTGAGAATGGTATCTACCGTAGGAAGACATGGCAGCTTAGTTGTTGAAGGAGAGAGAGAGAGAGAGAGAGAGAGAGAGTTATAACGGTACTTTCCAGAGTAGTTTCGACCTTGGAGTTGCGAACTTAGGCAAACATGTTTAAGGTTTCTTATTCTATGAATCTTTCTTATTCACGTAACGACAGAAAACCCCACACGCCACGACAAAGTAATCAGCCAGGGCGGTGGTCAATATTGCCGTTGTCGTCTCAATACTTATCCCAAAGCAAAATATATTTTATAAGAATTTCATTAAGAATCTACTTTTATTTCCAATATGATATTAATTTAAGAAAAGTTTATGGCGTTTAATTAAATTTTGTTTGTACTTTTTAATATATTTTTTCAGAAACTGAAAATCAAATCTTTTTAAAAAAATTAGATGACCCTTAATTTTTTTTTTTGTGATAAACTGATAAGTGAATATTTACTTTAAAAAAATTAAATATTTTACGATGTTTCAATCATGATAAATAGATAGAACGTACTGTATGTACATATAACATAAAGTAAATCATAGTTAGAAGTAATTTCACTCGTTGAAAATTATATTTGTCTGAAAATCATGGCGGCGAGCTTTGTATTTGTTGATATCAGGCCCAGTTGAACCCATTAATATATAACAATAGGCCCAATATCTCCAAGCCCAGTTTGCAAAAAGTTAGCAAAATCCACTTGTCTCAGAAACAGCCTTCTAGTTCTACTCATTCATTGCTGCATAGCTCTTGGACTTGTCTTTTGTATGGCCTTGTTTTATTTTCTACATATAATTTTATGGTTTTATAATTTAATTACGGACTTTTATTTATTAAAAATGTCTCTGAAAAATATATTTGTTTGATTTATTATCTTTTCAATGCACCATGATTTAGTTTATATTGAACACCTTATTTTTTTGTTTTGTTTTAAATAGTATTACTTAAATGTAACTAATTTTAATTTATCCAACTGCTAATATTTTTTTTCTATAAATTTGCAGTCATTTTTAATAATTATTTTAATAGTTGATTCATATAATTTATTTTTTCACCAAATTTTTAATCCTTTTTCACATTTACCCTCTTTCCTTACATAAAGCCCTTAATCCTCTTTCATGTTTATAAATCTTCGCATTGTGTCCAGTTTCATTGATGACAATTATTATATCATTTATTTTTTTTAAAAATAAAGTGTTCATTGCAAGCTTTACTGATTTATGATTGGACAAAAAGTGACGTGGAAGACAATGGCGTGCTATGCAGAGGATTAGAGGAGTATCGATTGATGGATTGCTTTGGGCATTAACAATTAAAGATTTTGTGTCAAAACTAAACGAGAAAGGCGTAAATGAAGGAGATTGAGAGTTATTCGAGTGGTAGAGATAATTCTAGAATAAAATAAATTGTATTCCAGACTTGTAAAAAATCTTGTTAATTTTAAATGAAAATTAATTAAAAAAATTAGTTTACACACTTTTAAAATAATAATAAAAACCACTGTAGATCAATTAAGGAGGGTTATTCCATCTTTAATTTGTGTGACAAATTAATACAATGATAACACATGATTAATTTTCATTATAAAATGTTATGCACCGTTCCATTTTTATAATGCGTAGAATTTCTATAGTCTAGTTTGTCTTTGTCTGGGTAAAAATTTATTAGGCCTTCGATTTATTTTATAGATTTGTATCTTGATTTTTAAGTAACATAATATATCATATATATATATATATATATATATATATATATCATGTGAGAAGAGTGAGAATAATAAATCTAAATTTTATTATCATACATCAACAGTCAAAACTAAAAAAGCTAAGAAATCATGTGATTGTTAAAAAAAATTAATTGACATTTAAAAAGTTCACAGATTTATATATATATATATATATATATATATATATATATATATATTTAAGTCTTAAAATCTTATAATGGAAGTTGGTTGGTACTTCTCACTCTCACCTCAGTGTATAGTTTTCATATGTCAATTCCTTTTTAACATAATAATGTGATATTATTTATCCGCGTGAAAGGATGGAATGTTATTTTGTGTTAAAAGGTTTCAACCTCTTGAGTTCATTTCTTACCAGTTTGTATATCTGTCTTCAGCTCTACTCTTAGTTGCTGTCTCTCTCTCTCTCTCTCTCCACTCTTACTTGTTCAACGCTCCACAACACGCAACATAAAAAAAAGAACTCAGTTAATGATTCTCACGTCCCACATATCCTACAAACACAACTTTTCTTCAATCAAACTCCAACTCAAAACTGTTAACATTGGCATTTTGTGAGCAAATCTTTGTGGTTTCGTTTTTTATATTCCAAGTAAAGGCCTTTTTCATTGCCAGCCATGATCCAAGTCCTCCACTCTCCACCCCATTTTGCTTCATCACAAAGAACAACAACAAAGACAAGGACACCCTCAACAACCTCAACCTCTTCCTCTTCCTCTTCCTCTTCATTCTCTTCCCATGCTATTCTCCGACCACACCTTTCTCTCTTTGCTTTTCTTCTGACCCTTCTCAAGAAGAGTCTCACCAACTGCAAGCACCTTTGCTCCCCCATGGACATTGGCTCCCCCACTAATGTGCGCCATGTTGCACATGTCACCTTTGATAGGTTCAACGGTTTCTTGGGTTTGCCCGTTGAGTTTGAACCTGAAGTGCCCAGAAGGCCTCCTAGTGCTAGGTAACTCATACATTGACATAATATATATTCATTGTTATCATCTTAATTCTTAAGAGAAAAAATTATGTATTTTTATTTTGGAATTTTGTTTTTTTGCTTTATTTTGTTTTACCGTTTTGTTTGATTTTCACATGTAGTGCAACTGTTTTTGGAGTTTCAACAGAATCCATGCAGCTATCGTTTGACTCAAGAGGGAACAGTGTGCCAACAATTCTGCTATTGATGCAAAGGCATCTCTACGCTCAAGGAGGGTTAAAGGTTGATCACCTACATTGATTTGCTTACTATTGGATGCAATATGCATGAAACGAGCAAAATTATAGTTCTGCTTTATATTTAACTATATGGGGGGATTTGTTCATTTTGCAAATGATTACTTTGATGGTTCTGCTGGGTTAAAGGGTTGATTTTACACATGTAGGTGGAGGGGATTTTCAGAATTAATGCAGACAATGGTCAAGAGGAACATGTCAGGGATCAATTGAATTTGGGAGTGGTCCCAGATGACATTGATGTACATTGTTTGGCAGGACTAATTAAGGTACGGCATTGCGAGATGATTGCTTCTGTTTACTCTGTTGATGTACATGTTTATGGATGATTGTTTGGTGAATTGATCTGATTGATCATATTGACTAAAAAAAGTTTCTTCTATGACATGACAATTAGTTTGGCTTGCAGAAATTATTATTTTTTGTACTAGTTTCAAAAAAGCGTGTAACCGATAATTTTCTCTTACTATAGATCTAACATATAATAGACTAATAGAGTCATGTGTGCATCGAATTGATTTAACTTGTTGATTGGAGAAAAAAACAATTTCAAACAGTTATTTGTCCAAGTCTAACAAATGAGACAAACAGTCATCATTTCCAAATTAATTACAAAGTGTATTTCACCGAATAGTACAACATTGCATATCTAGATTGTTTTACGGGATCAGATGAACAGTAAACCTGTTATTATTTTATTATTTTGCCATGCAATATTTGGTTTACAGACTATCTGATAAGTTGGAAGTCTTGAACATCCTGCAGTTATGAGGGGAGGGTATATTGTCACTCTACAATACTAGTGTTTCCAGTCTATAAGCTCTATGGTCCTTTGGCATCTCTTATAATCCTGTACTATTTATTTGCCAAGACTTTTAATATCACCATTCTTTTGCGTATTTTAAGTGATTTGTAAATCTTGTATTTTTTTTTATTGTTCTAGACAAATTTCTATCGGCTTTCCATTCTACCTATATCATATGCTGGTCAATTGCATCTTTATCCGCTTCTGCTTCTGTCTTAACCTTCCAACTTATTTACTGCTAGCCACTAACAACCTGCAACTCGTCTCTAGGACAAATATAACAAGTTTGACTTCTGGTTCATGAAACCATAGCACTACTTAGTTCGAATATATCACTCTTATAGTTCATGAAACAAGTAACTATCAGACTCCATTCCCATTTTATTACATTCTTATATAACAAACCATCTTGTTTACTAAGTGATATAAGGTAAATGCTATGAAACACTGCTTTTGTAAGTGCTACTTACAATCTATTCTTTTTTTTTTTTTTTGGGAATAAAGATGTGTAATGTGTTATTACATACTAGATAATGTAGTTTGATATTCGTGTACTTTTCAAGGCTTGGTTTAGGGAACTTCCTACGGGCATTCTGGATTCGTTATCACAAGAGCAAGTAATGCAATGCCAGACTGAGGAGGAATGTACTGAACTAGTGAGGCATCTACCTCATACTGAAGCTTCACTCTTGGACTGGGCCATCAATCTGATGGCTGATGTTGTCGAACATGAACATCTTAATAAGATGAATGCACGCAACATTGCCATGGTTTTTGCACCAAACATGACTCAGGTGTGTTTAAATAGTTTTTCAATTCTCAAGTGCTTGAGGGGAAGAAAAAATGTACTATATAAGTCCAAAGTATTTTATGTCTCTACTTTATTAAATTTCATATGGACATCTTTTGAAATCCAATTAACGTTTATTTTGGGCACTATTTGTTTGATATTGGTCGTGATCATTCTGACAAACTTTTAACTTTAATGTGTTGTGTTTTTCCCAAGTAATAAAGATGCTAATGTGATAGTTGATCTATCGATGGTACAGTTAGAGTCAATGAAGATATTTGGTCTCTCTGATTGCAGATGGCAGACCCTTATACTGCATTGGTGTATGCAGTTCAAGTAATGAACTTCTTGAAGACACTTATATTAAGGACAGTGCGGGAGAGAAAGGATTCTGTGATAGAATCTTATCCTAGATTATATTTAGAACCTTATGATAATGAAAATAATATACTTTCGGACTCCTGCCATCAAGATATTCCAGCAGAAAATCTAGAGACTCACGAAAATTTTGTTTTGGAGAAAACTGTCTTAGAATGTTCGTCTGAATCTCTCCAGAACAACATTTCAACTGGAGGAGAGTCTAGCAATTTGACAAGCTCTTCTGATGATCTTGTCTGCAATGAAGATTTGTATTGTGAGTTTCCACCAAAAGGAAATGTGGGGAAGAGTAAAACTGGCCAATCAAGTAAGTCCAATGCTAGAAAAGAGACCAAAAAGACCAAAGGCCAGCAACCTATGATCCATCAAACGGTGCCTGTTGAGAAAAGGGGAAATGGGAGTTTGAACTGCATAGATTCAAGATCTGAGCAGATCGAAGCCTGATGGTAAAAGAAGCACCAAGTGTAAATTGATTATTAGACATTGTGGCATTGTAAGTTTGTTTAAGCCTGAAGTTGCAAATTGCTAGGGAAAGTTTGTGAAACGCTTCCTTTATGTTTTCTCTATTTCCTATGCTTGTATAACTTATCAGATTTAAAAAGTAGCACTATGATCACACTAACATTTATGAAATCTCATTTCTGTGTGTTTATTCGTGTTCATAATTATTCCGTAATCATAAATTCATCTTTTGTTGCACTTTTGAATGTACTTTCGGACCCATGCTCAGCTAATTTGTTTTCCTGCCAGTGCTTGGCTGGTCCAATAAGTTGGGCATAATCTTACATGGCTAAGATGAAAATAATATGCACGCCACACATTTAGGTCTAAGTGGAATCTTTTTTTTTTTCCTGGACCAATACCATAATAGTGGAATAGAACTTTACAACAAACTTTCAAAAAATTTGTATGATTGATTTGGGAGGCTTCAGGTCCACAAAGGTAGAACAATGCCATGACATTTTATGGAGGTGGGAAATATCACGAGGAAACAAAACCACAAAGCTATGATTCTTTAAAGAAAACGTTGCATGCTATGATGCTACTTTCCCACCAAAACGCATCTGTGTCTTATTTGTATGTAAATTTCTACAAGGGATAAGGCAGTGAAAGGGAGTGCTAAGTGAGAACCAACCATTTTCCTAGAAAAGAGCGGGCAAGTATAAAGGATTAAACCGAATATTCCTCTCGCTCTTTCCACCAATGATAAATAATAATCACAAATGGTAGTGGTAGAACAAGAAGGCAAGCATGCAAAAGTTCTTGGTTTGTGGCAATTCTATTCTGTAGCCTTATCCTAGTGCTGAAAGAAGAATGTGATGTAGAAGGAGATTCCAAATTTAACCAGCAGGACAAGTGCTTTAATTAGTGAACAAACCCATTAATTAGTCCATCACCAATTCCCTATAAAACAATGCTTATATGAGAGTGCAAAGTGCAAAATAGATTCATCTTTAAGGACACACCTTGTGTATCATTGCAAGAAAGATAATCCCGTATGAACTAAGTTTCAGTGGTCTTATCATCCTTAAATTGCAAGACTTCAACCAATGCTAACTTGATAACGTGGCACTAGATATCACCACATGACGTTGTACATATAGCATGCCACGTTGTTCAATCATGAAGTGCCACTTGTTTGGCTAACAAGTGGAAGTGGTTAATCAAATTTGTAGCAACATTTAAATGTGTTAAAATTCAAAGATTGGAGTTGAAGGGTGTGAGTGCAAGTAGTATCCCCGTTCACATCAGTGACTCTGGACAGCACCATGGTAGGATCGAATCATTGCTCAAAATTTGCCCTTCACAATCCAATAAAGTTGTGGTCCTTTCCTGTCCCTAAATTCCTTCCCCTATGGGAACTTCTAATTGGATCTTCATCAGCACGGGTAAGGTCATGGCCATACCATTTTAACTTCTATGTATTTAGACTCACCATCTTCATAGGCAAACTCATGGTTATACCTTTTTCAAAGTATTTAGGTAGAAGCCTAGAAGGTCGAAAGGTTTGTTGCCTGATGCAATTAATGTATTACACCCAAGACTGGGTCTGTGTTTTGGGAAATACCAAGCCATCAAGGCATTTCCATGACGGTGGATTAAGGGTAACTTTCAAGTTGGATTAATTATAATAAAGGTGAGGGTACCTAGAAGACTTCAAGAATCGAAACCCGTAAAGTCTATATATACATATATAGACTTTTATTTGACTTTTTCAATGAGTGCGTAAATATATAATAAGTTTGATTGAAATCTTACTTATTTCTTTATTTTGTTAAAGAAAACGATCAAGATAAATCTCACCATAATAGTTAGTTACTTAGGACTTTTATGGCCACCAAATCCTGGCCAAGCTACGTAGGGTATATATATATATATATATATATCATACCAATCCAGAAAATAAAATTAAAAAAAATCAGAACTTCCTACTACATAATAGCTTCCTCCCCTTGATTTTTTTCAGCTCATGCTATTTTCGTGCCTCTTTACCCTTTTCCTCTCCCTCAACTACCAAAAGTTAGAACTTAGAACCTTTCCTCTCTTTGTGTGTTGTTCTATACAAAGTACCAACTTATAGAATACTGGTTAGCAAGCAAACCCATGGCAACAACTTGTGGTGGCCTGCAACACATCTTTGATACCCTATTGCCAGAAAATCCAACACTGCTTGAATCCCTCTCATGGAACCAAATAAAAACAGTGAAGTCCATAGACCAAACCCCTTCCTTCACTGAGATATTTGGAGAACTCCATTTCAAGGAGAGTCCAGTGTCAGTGTCATCACCCTCATCTTCCCTCGTTTCTACTACATCATCAGCACAAACAAACCGCACAAACCTCAACCCAAATGAAGACACTGCATCTTCTGATATTAGCCAAACACCATCTTCAGCATCTGTTTCAACCACCCCAAAGACAAACCACACCAACAGGCACAAAAGTAGTGACAGCTTCTCATCCTTGAGTTCAGAAAGTTTGCACCTATGCACGGAGGGTCTTGGTTTTGAGAGCTCAGATGATGTTGAAGACTTAAAGAGTAGAATGGATGAAAGTTGGGAAAGATATAAAGAGAAAGAGGGTGTGAAAAAACGTGTAACTTCAGAAGGGGAGTGCAAGAGGGGAAGGGTGAATGGAGGGGAGTACCCTCCTCCCATTTCATGCATAGGGAGGAGTGGAAAGCCTTGGGTATGCTTCAAGTCCTATAGGAGTAATGGGAGATTTATCCTCAAAGAGATAAGGATACCCTCACAGGAGTTGCTGCATGCTTATAGAGAGAATGGGAGGTTGAAGCTACATTTTGTTCAACCTGATGATGAGTTTATAGAAGAAGAAGATGATGATGATGATGATGTAGAAAGTGTAGACGAGGAAGAAGAAAATGATGGTTGTGTAAAAGATTATGCAAATGAGGAAAAAGAGATTGATGCACAAGTGACTAGTAACTCACTTGATGAAAGGCAGAAAATTTGAATGTTCAAAGTCATTTTCTTCTCATTAGATATCAAAAAAACCGAATCTGTTATGATTTTCTACTCTTTTCTTCTAAAGATTTTGTTTTGTCTTCCATTATTGGCGGACTAACAAGAAAATAACAATGTTGTATCAATTTTGTCCCGCGCGACCTTCATCCCTTGTAAATGAGTCAGGTCCAAGTTATTATGTTTCTTACGTGAGGTGGAAATTCGAGGAATTTCACATGAGACCAAGAGGAAGTAAGAGGGAGACATGGAAAATGAGCAAAATGTATCAGAACACTAAGCTAATTTTAAGTCCCATATATTGTTATCTTCAGACTCTCAAATTAGCTATCATATGAAGTTGTTGCAGTTTAATGAGTACTCTCAAGTTTCAGTATTTGAAAATATAAGTACATTTCATCCCTAAATAATTTATGATTTTTTTTTATTTCATTTCCTTTTTTATCAAACAAGTTCTCCAAAAATTATTATTTTTGTATAATTCCTCTATTAATAATTTATTACTTTTTTTAATATTTACCAATAAAATATCTAACTTTACTTATATACAAAATATGACATTTATATTTTTATTTTTTAAAATACAAAATATTTATCGTTAATAATGTCACATATTACTTATGTTATATCTTAATTAAATTATCTACGAGTTAATTTTAATATATGTAAATAAATAATGAAATAAGTTAACAAATTATTAAACAAAAAATAATTCGTGTCTTGTGATATTTTAAAATGTTTTTATAGGTATTGTACTAAAAAATTGTACCAATAAAAAAAATACATGACCAATTATAAAAAAAAAATTATTATATATAATTTATTATTAAATAAAATTATCACTTAAATATGTGTTTAAGTATTATTAGTTAAAAAAAATTATACGGTATCTTAAAAGTACTATAGAATTTATTAAAATAATTTTAAGGGACTAAATTAAAAAAATCACAAATTTTAAAAAATATTAAACTTTATTTAAGCTAAAATTTAATAATAATAATTTTTTTTATCAGTCATACTAATTTTATTTAATTCAAATAGTCAAATGTTCAATATAATATTAGATGTTGGAATTCTAAACTTCAAAAATATTTTTCAATTCAACGACATGCGAATTCGAATATTTCATTAGATATTTGAGTAACTTAGGTTAGCTTATTTTGAGACGTGTAATTTTTTCAAAATTACAATTTATTCTTAAGGAAAATTTTTTGAGACGTGTATTTAAAAAAATTGCACATTTTTTCATTTGATTGAAAATATTAATGATAAAGATATTGCAAACTCAAGCAGTATTTAAGTCGGGAATTTTTTTTAAGTGGTAAGAGGTTCTCCAATTACCTTTTGTAAATATCGTTTCTTTGATTTTTATTATAAAAATTACTTTTATTTTCAAGAGTTTTTTAAATGGATTTTTAAAATATTAAACTAAACTAAACCCTAAACAAATAATTAATTAATCAAAATTAATAAAAAATATATATACATCATAAATTCATATTGGGTTATGAAAATATCTATAATATAATAAATAAATGAATATATTTATTTATATAATGAATAAGTAGATGACTTATTAATATAAATCTTACAATATATATATATATATATAATAATAATAATAATAATAATAATAACAATTAATATATTTAAAATGATTTTGAATTTTTTATATTTAAAAAATAATTATTTCTTATCAACAGAATAAAGTATCTTAGTCTACGTTTTATCCTTAAGCCATGAAAACCCAGTTAGCATTATTACATATATGGCACGGCTCAATCAATTGAACTCACATGTCCCACGGTTCAACCATTTGATGAGCTGTGACAATTAATATCTGTTTCCAATTTCAACTGAGTAGCTTCTTATCGCTTGTGATTTCTCTGTCACCTCAATTTTATATCACCTATCAGTTTTTGTACATAAATCTTAAAGGTCAAAACACAACCATCTACCCTATAACACTTTTGTATTGGAAATTGATAATTACTTTTGGAAGAAAAATTAATGGATAATAACTTTCCTTCATTCTCTTCCGTGAATGATTAACAACCATCTCATTAATCTGTCAATTTTGAATTTATATGATTCTGTGGCAATATTGTTCTTACTATTTAGCATATCTCTGGTAGATGATAAAGTCGCATTCAGGAAAATGAGCTTTCAATGTACCATTACAACACTTTCACATCCTAATCAAATATGTGATGGTACGAGCATAAAATGATTAATGGGAGCACTATCTTTATTCGATAATGGGGAGGGCTCAATCTAGGTTGGCAATGACATTGAGCCATGCAACTTAGAACCACTTTTTCTTACCGCAGAAAATACGAAGGTAAAGTAGGATAATCATGAAATAAATCAGAACCATAATCAGTAATAGAGATAAGATTGCGAAAGGGACACTCCATACTCAAAAAGAAAAAAAGAAACACCAAGATAGAGCACGTAATATGTGATCCAGGACCATGCTATTTTAGATAAAATTACGTGAACAATGAGCTTAGTAGCTGCTCATATTCATTTAATGCTTAAATTACATACATAATACTTACTAAAAGAAAAGTCAAATCAGTTCACACTAAATTATGACTTGTTGAAACAATGAATGCTGTGTCTTCTTGAAATAGCCTTTTTCCTTATAAAAATATTTAATTTTTTTTTTTTTTTTTAAATTTACCTGTGACTTTTCTGATATATCACAATTCCTTTAACACAGATGTTTACAGAAAAAAGAAATTTGTTAAAGGTTTTTCTTTAATCCCCATATTGAGACGTTACCATTTAAGAGCCAATAGCTATCTTCAACAAATTGACATCCTATTCCTGCTGGCCGATGATTCTTTCTTTCAAACTATGAAATAAATAAATTGAACAATAATTTGGTGTTTTACTTAAGATAAATCATATCTCGCGATGAACAATAACCAACGAGCTCTTTATCTTTAAATTCAGTACAAAAAATATAAATTCAAAAATTTTAAAAATACTTAAAATAAAATAAAGTTTAAATAATTTTTATCTTTGATAACATAATTTTTTTTGTTTTATTTTTTAAAAAAAAATTATAATTTTTAAATACTAATATTTAAAAAAAACAAACTATAAAATATCATGATTTTAGAGATAAGAAAATATACTTAAACCTTAAAATAATAAAAAATGCATAGTTAATTTAAAATTTTAAAAAGAGAAATTTACAATATATTATTTTTTAAGGAGGGGAGAATTAAAAAAATTAAATATTCTTATAAAATATATTTTAATTTATTTAATATATAAAGAAGGTAGATAATCTATATATTTTGTTGACGAATATGTGAAAATTACGAGAGCAGATATGGATATCTCTTTGATTTCTTTGCATGAAAACGAATTTAGTGCAATCAAAGATGCTGCAATTATGAGCGACAAGTCCTGTGGTATAAAAATAGAACAAAATTTTGGAACAGCTGTAAAATCCTTTCGGCCCAAACATAAAGGAAAAGAGATACACACAAGATGTCAGATTTTTAAGGGTATATTTGGACAGAGAATTTTAGAGGAAGAGGGAGCGAAAGATATATTTTTTAATTTTAAATTAAAAGAATTATATATTATATAATAAAAAATACATTATTAATATATTAAATTTTTATTAATATATTAATTTAAAATATAAATTTATCTCTTTTTTTTTTATTCCTTCTAAGACTCCTGTTCACAAATAACTTTTAAGGGTATCTAAGTATTCGCAGTTTAAAGTAGACTTAATCTTTTTTAATAAAATATTTTCCTTACACATCAGATAATTTTCTTCTTAACCATAACTTTTTATATATTTTTTTAAATTTTTAACACCCACTTTATATTCAACTATATTTTCTCTCTTTTCTTATTATTTAACTCCTTCTACCTAAAGTATATATGCCCTAAGAGACCGTTAAATAATCATTTTACTTTTTGTTTGTCGCATGAAAGGCAAGGGGAATACTACAAAACTCCACCAAATCTCTCTCTGATCATTTTTCATCTCCTTTCTGTGTATATTTTAATCGAACTTTCTGTATTATGTTTGACACATTTTAAAAATTAAACAGAGCAAAATATGAGATTATAAAAGAAAGTTTAAATAAAGTTTTGATACATATGGTATTTTTATATGTAGTCTTTTTTTTTTAATCAGCTTAATTATCCTTTTAGTCCTTGTATTTTAACTTATGTATAACTAAATACAAGCAACTAAAATTAGAAGAACAAAAATTATACATATAGTAAAATATAAGAACAGAAAAAATATAATCAAACCTTTTTAATTTTTAAACAAGTTTTATAAAAATTAATTTTCTCTTCTAGACAATCCTTTTATTAGTAATTCATCACTTTTTTTTTAAATATTTTTTTAATTTTGTTAACTCCAATCTTTAAAGTTGAGTTTAAATATTCATAAATAAAAAAAAATTTATAAAAAAAAATACACAGTTATTGTATTAAAGTTATAAAAATATAATAAATATTTATTATTTTAATAAAATTTAAATATTATTGACTACTAACAAAACTTATATTTCTTTAATATCTAACTTAATTCATATAATACATCATAGTGGATGATGATATAAAAAACTATACTTCCATTTTTTTAATATTTTTAAATCTCAATTCAAAAACTCTAACTTAAAACCTAAAATATTTTAAAAATAAAAAATTATAATATTATTAATGACACATCTCAGTTAGGTTACATTTCAATCGAATAATATAAGACAACTTATACATTGTGTAAACAAAAAAAAAGTTAATAAATTACTAATAGAAGAATTAGATAAAAATAAACAAAAATATTTTTTGAAGAAAAAATCGTAAATTTTTAGGTGACTAAGATCTTATTTAAACTGATTAAAAAAATTGTATTTTTAGTTTCATTGAAAAAAGATGAAACCAAAGGAAACAAAAAACATCTATTTTGTTTTGATGGCATACCAAATGTTACCTAGGTCTACATCAGCTACTGCATCCCTAGTTCAGCCAGATATGCTTTAAAAAAAAATGAATGATGTAACTGAAAATACAAAGCTAATGGGGACAGCCACTGAACAAAACACTTGAAAAGGAAACACGTTTAGGAAACTTTCAAAAGTTCATACATGGTGTGGAACGATTCAAATGAATAATTTATGTTTAAAGTGTACTAAAGAACAGCAAATTAATTTGCTCTTGATCTTTAATTCCACACATTTATTGAATTGAATGGAATTAGAAGATGACATTTTGTATTCTCCCTTGTTCTTGCCTTCTTGGTGTGATAAAAGCTGTGGAAGCTTGTAAAGGCTTAAAGCATCCCAGGCACCATTGTAAAGCAGTTATAAAGTAAAATGTTTATGTATCACAGGATGAGACTTTTGCCATCTAATGTTAAAAGCACCTTATATAGATCTGGACGCCTATCACGGAATACCCCCCAACAGTTTCTCATGGATTTGATCTTGTCCATATCAAATTGAGCAATTAGAACAGCTTCCTCTTTATCATCAGCTATTGAAACAATTTCTCCAGTAGGTCCTGCTTGTCGATAGAAAAATTGATTAAAGTTTATATGAATATGAATGTGGTAAAAGTACATAATCTTTTAAATGAAGGGCTTTCCCTTACGGGTAAATTTAAAAGGGGTGCTTCCATGCAGAAAATAGAACAGTTCAGTCAAATTACCTGCTATGAAGGAGTTTCCATAAAATGTTATCTCACTTTTTCCATGCTCAGTCTCTATTATCTCCTTTCCTATCCTATTTGAAGCCACAAGAGGTACCTGCATTTTCCAAAATTAATTTATCCAATTCGTTGGAAAGTTTTAAGCATTAATGATTACACAAGCGGTTGAAGCTCATGACATGTATAAAAGAGATGATCAAATAATAAATTTCCATCTCACTGATACATACTTTAGCATATATATCTTGGATTTTTCTATCCAACAGTTATTGCTGGAGGAGTTCAAGATTAGGAAATCGAAACTGCTGTGAGCATAATAGACTCACACAGATATATAAGCAAGAGATAGCACAATATGCACCTTATAGACACATTATAAATGATAATATATGTTGACAGGTAACTATTAACTAGTAAACAAAACCTACCAAATTGGCCCCAGCATGTCCTTGCATTACTCGTTTCCAATGGTCACGAGAATCAATGCTTTGATCATGAGGTTCAGATCCAATAGCAGTAGGATAAAATAAAATCTCAGCACCTTGAAGCACCATTGCTCGGGCTGCCTCAGGAAACCACTGATCCCAGCAAATAGCTGACATAAAAAAAAATTAAAATAACAATGATGGAAAAAAAATGGTTAACTTCAATTTCTTATCTGAAAGAAAGATGAAAAATGCTGCTTCTACAATGTGTTTTATTTCTTTAGCAAAGCTGAAGTTCAAATTGGGAAAATATTTTTTGATAGATTCTTCATTTTTCGGTCTGTATAGAAATCTTGATACAATCACACATTAAAGGTTTGAGTATCGGAAAAAAAGAATAGAATGCAAATAGTTCATAATAGTTTTAAGTTCTTACCAACTCCAATTTTAGCAAATTTAGTCTGGAAAACCTGTTTGTCAAAAGCCTCAATGTTACATGATGTTCTCACCATTCATCAAAGGGAACAACAAAACCAAGGTCATTCAAAGTAGTGAATATCAAATAAGGATATCTTAAGCACTCACCTTAAATCCAGTGTCACCTAAATTAAAATAGAACTTTTCCTCATAACCTGTAGGGGAGATTATTTGATGAGTTAGAATTGACAAATAATAAATGACACATGAAGGACTTGAATATTGCATACCTGGTCCATCTGGAATGTGGGACTTTCTATAAATCCCGAGATCAGTTCCATCAGCATCAATTATGGCTATTGAATTATAATGCGCATTGTTTGCCTCCTCAAAGAAGCTAACTGGTATGACTACACCTAACTCTTTTGCAAGTTCCTGCATCCTACATTACAAGCATTAAAACAAGAATAATATTCAATGCAGGATGCTGCACATAAAAGATAAAGCCAATTTTTGTTCCTCTTCCCCCTAGACAGCACCATGATATGGTTCCAGTCCATTCAGAGGCATGCAATCAGCGAGTGAGAAGAAGATAAAATAAGTCACTTTTTCAGTTCTTTTACCTCAGAATTGTAGGATGGCCCTTATATGGCTTAGCTCTTTGAATGAAATCCCCTCTTTGTGCCTGACAGAAGTAATAACCTTCAAAGAGTTCCTGAAATTAGTCATGCATCATTAATATAATCCAAACACAATATCCATCAGGCTTTTTCATCAAAACAAATGAGTCCAGTATAATCACTATCTTTACAATGAAAGGACACAGGAATCTGTTTCTTCTGTTTAAGCATCAAAAGTCATAAAATTCCCTTTTGTCGGTCAGTAGTTTCAAAGCTAATAAATTCCAGTAAAAACATTTTGTCAATGTTGGCAATGACAGTCAAGAATCAGCATTATTAAGAAATCAATATTAAATATTTAGTGTAAGTAAACTATGTATAAGAGATTAAAAAATAATGCAGAAGTAAGACAGTAAGTTATTCAAATCTAATCTAAATTCCATTTTACAGAAACATACTGCAGAAGAACAATTCTGCTTCCTGTTTAACAGATTCTTTCACAGTCTCACTAGATTTGTCATCTAGCATAGTTGGACTCAAGTCAAAGCCCTTGACCATAACCTGCTAAAATTTGTAATATAGTTTTGTAGTATTCATGGTAAAAATAGTTAAAAAAGAAATACCATCAAATAAATGGTCTTAAACAACCTACCTAGTGAGCTATAAATAAGGGAAGTCACCTTCATGTGAACTGATAACCTAATTGGATCTATGTTTCTAATCCCCAACCTCAATATTTGCATTGTTAATTTGGAGTTTGCTCCTCCTCAGTTTGCCTAAAATAAAATCACTTTTGGTTGAAGTGGGGAAAAGTTAATCAAATGGTTTGAAACCCAAGGAAGGAAAGAAATCCCTTTTGCACATATTCATAATCTATTTCAACTTAACCTTACCAAATAATTAAAAATGTTAATAAAAGATTGTAAGGCACGGTACTAGATCTTCTATAATTGATATGTGACATAAGCAGGAAGCACTTAATATTCAAACCTGAATGAGAATGATGTTTGCACCCTGTTTATGTGCAGCTCTAATTAGCCTGTATAAGAGCCAAAAGCATCACATAACATGCATATAAATTTTATTTCTGTCATTGATTAGTCTATAAATTATCTCTTATTCACTTAGACAAAAATTAGGAACATAAATGTGAAGCTCAAAAAGTTTCAGTTAGAAGCAAAAACAGAATCCAGAAGACAATTGAATTGACCTTATACATCATAAAACAAAAGGTCTACCAAGAAACACGTTCCTATCCTGCACCATGGCTAGCAGCAGCCAGCAAGAATAAAGTTGAGCATTTGAGAATATGGTAGGATAGAAACCTTAACCGCTGATCTAAAGTAAGTTCAAACAATGAACAGTACAATTTTAAAGCACATATAAAGATAATTTATGGGCAAACCCTTGTTTTAGTTTGTAAGTGTCATTTACTTTAATCCCTGACCTTATAATTCACTTTAGTCTTTTACTTTGTAAAAAATCATCCATTTTAGCTCTTTTCTGCTTCATTTTCCCTTGTCATTTTGCACAAGAAAAGGAATAAAGTAAATGCTGTTTTGGAAAGTTAGGGATTAAAGTGGGAATTTTGTAAAAGTAGGGGCTAAAGTGACTGTCGCTTACCATCCAAGGGATTAAAATGAAAGTTTGCTCGATAATTAAAACAAGAACCAGCTATTTACACAAACATAACAGTTATTTCCCAAGCAGCAGAGAACAAGTATTGATTTAATCACAGTCAAGGTTGTCTGTGTGCTCCAACCAAAAGAAAGTTGTCATATGCAAAACCATTCTAATGTTTCTTTTGAATGCGAGCGATATTCGGCGATGAATATGAAATCTTTTGACCAGGGCAACTCATAAACTTGCAGACCCTCGTGACCTAGTTCAGGATTCAGTGCATGAATTGGGGCTCCAAGGGTGAACAACCCCAAAATGAACTCAATTTCAAGCATGGAACTTTTTTACAGTAAAACAGGAATAAAGATGAAATTTATACCTCTCGGCGGTGGCAACATTCGTTGAGACATCGTCGGTGCAAACAAACTGAAGAGCGGACACAACCACGTTCCTCCCCTTCTCCATCAGCGGCAGCAACGTAAGGAACTGAGAATTTGTGGAGACTGCAGAGGATATTGTTCCTTTATTCACTTGGGGGATAGCATCGAATGCATGATTTACTGAACCCAATATATTCCGCCACCTTTTTAGACTACATATAATAATCACTAGGAGAATGTATTTTACTTTTACTCCAACCTCGAGATGTTATAACAAACAAATTGTTTCTTGAATTTGAAATTTATTCTTACACCAGATTTTTATTTAATTTAAATATAATTTATTATTTTATTAGTCATTATATTTAATTTAAATTTTAGTTCATTTTTTAAATAGGACAAGTTAGACTAACCTATTTTTGGACAGATTTCTATTAAGTCAAGTTAGTAGCCTCGATTTATCACCACTAATCATATCTTTATATGTATCTCCTCCACCTCCTTTTTTCTTCTCCCTTTTTATTTTTATCTTTTTATATCTTTTCTTCTTTCTGTTTTCCTTATCCCTATAACAACAACTTCACCTCCACACATGTTCTATATTCAGAAATAAAGTTTCTTTCCTCCTTGCTAATTTATCCATTCACAAGTTACTATTATACTCTTTTTTTTCTCAATGCTATTTGGTTTCAAAATATTGAGACCTTCAAGCAATTAATGCGAAATCAGTCGTTATAATAGTTTTTCAATTGAAATTTAGAAACAAATTTGAAGACAAAGAAAAATAAAATAAAAAGATAAGAAAATGAAGAAAGAAGAAGAAGAAAGAAGTGGAATAAATACAGATAGAAATCTAAAGATAAAAACAATGAACAATATAATAGAAAATGATAAAATTTTGATGAAATTTTTAATAAAAAAGACATTTAAAAATATTTTTAGAAGATAAAAAAATTGAAATGTACTTAAAATTGGTTGGAGGATGAAAAATTTTACCAAAACATTGTGTTTCAAAATATGACAAATATATTTAATATAAAAAATAATAATGATATTTTAATGAAACAGTATAATTAATATAACAAGAATAGTAGGAATATAGTAGTATGTTTTAGCACTTTTTATAAAATATTTTATTTTTACTTAAAATTTATTAAAAGTTATAAAAATATATGTACGAATTATTAAATTAGAGTGAGATCTAAATAAATTTTAGCTAATAATAAAAATATATTTAAAAAATATATTATTAACATTTATTATTATAATACATACAATCCACAATGTTTAAATAACAGATTTTTTGTGTGTCTACAGTTAGATAATAAGCAAATAATAAATAATAATTTTTATTAAAAATTATATTAGTTAATGCTATTAATATATTATATTAAGTAATAATTTATATTTTTTTATAAAAAAATTATTCATAAATTTTTATTGTGTGTTTTCAGATAATTTTACAAAAATTGTTTAAATAATATGAAGCAAATCATAATGCAAAGTCTGATTGAACAAAAGCACAGTTGGTATGGAGTAATTCAAGGTTTTGAGGGCATGCCATGCGAGCAAGCTTCTCCAACTTCTCTTGCACAGCTTTCTACAACGTCGATAAATATAAAGAAGTTGAACAACGTATAAAAATATCTATATTATTTACAAGAAAAAGCTTTCAATAATAAATATAAGAGAAAAAATTATAAATAAAAGCTAATATGTTATACAATAATTTAAGTATATTAAGTTATTAACAGAATATACAAATGCATAACATAACGTGTACAGAAGGTCTAAAATAAAACCAAAGATCAACAACACAGAACAAAATAAACAAATCATTTAATTTCACAACATATACAGAGGATGCATAGAGCAACATTGCTATAACAGCTGATAGTTCACTTCTTTGTTACTGTTAAGTTTCACATGCATTGGTTCAGAGAGATTAGATTAGGACAAAATTTATACGTTATTTTTTGGATGATTATAATTACTGTTTACTAATTAAAATTATATTTTTTTTAATAAAAGATTTGTACTTAAATTTTATCACTTGTTATGATAAAATTCTAATTTTTATTTGTAAATAACAATGATTGCACCTAAGAAAATACACTTACAAGATTAACACGGTACTGAATCATTCGGCCAAGGATATTATTATATAGGAGAAAACATTACTACAGATCCCAACTTAGGATATTATTATGTAATCTGTATCATTTTTGCTTGTTATGTTGTTTTAGATTAAAGAAATTTATAAAATTCGATAAAGATATGCTTCTTTATTGAAATTTTTTTTCAAGCTAATGATAATTTTGCATTTAAAAAACTTGACCGATTGGCAGTGTTAAGCAACGAAAGACACCATTCTCTAGTTTATGATAATGCCTTCCCTTTTAGTGTGGTTAATTTTGAGTATTAGTTAATAATGTGGTCCGAATGAACAGATACGTGAAACCCATTAGCCAGCTGGATCTGATGTTTACAAAGATCGTTCTTGTTGCAAAATTTAAAAACTTAGAAGGCTTACAAAGTAGAATATGCTCCAAACTCCTCCAAAATAGCACGGTGCGACGAATTTATGATCGTTGTTTTGTTTTTGCTGTTTTGTTTTGTAATAATGGAAGTGATGATTGGAGGATGTAAGGAAGACAATTTAATATTTACAATATATCTAGACGCAATTTGGTCTTCTTCATTATCAATTTTTGTGCTTTGTTAGCCTTTCCTGCTTTTTGGTTCCTAAGTATCTATGATCAAGATCATTTATTAACTTCATACAGTACTATTCTGCTCAAGGAAGAGCTAGTGTTCAACTAGTGGGTTTGATGATATCAAGAATATACTTTCTACACTGTGAAGCAATTATCAAATTTAAGTACACTTTCTACTTTCTTCAAGAATATACTTTATACGCGTCCAAATTTAAGTACCTAATACAAACGATCATATAATCTCGGACTACATAATAATTTTTCTCTTATATAGACTTTTAATAACAGTTTAGAAAGCAAGTCAAAATAAATATGAAGTTACAAAATATTCCCCAAGTTTTGTAAAATTTGGATGTCTTAATCAAGATTTTACGTTTCATGGTTATGATAAATTATTAAATTTAAAAGCCATTTAACAGGTTCAAAAGAATAATTAACTTTTTAATACTATGTGGTTGGACTCGAGCATGTAAAGCTACTTTTTACATAACATTCTTGTGTAAAAAAGCTACTTTTTACATAACATTCTTGTTGACATGCGCTTCCATCTCTAACAATTATTTGATGCCTTCCACTAGCTAAATGGCACAAAAAACAGCACCAGACCACAATAAAAGTTACTTTGAAATCTCCAGAGTTGTTATAATATGTAAGGCCAGCAAACAAGCACCACTATAAATACATAGTTCCTGAAATTCAATGCACATAACCTTAGCTCAAACTTTCAACCTTATTAGATAAATATATCCTAGCTAATTAATTATAATCACGACTTCCATCACCTTTAAGGTGCTGACACTGATCATGTATGTTTTTACCATTGTGCGAATACCAATGACTTTACTATTCAGGGTTGCCTTCAAGTGGGATTTGTGGACACAACCAATAAGAATATTCACTCAGACACTAATACCCGGTGACATGTTAATGTTTCCAAAGTGCCTTGTGCACTTCCAATTCAATGCTGATCCTCAGAAACTTGCTGTAGCTATTTCTGCCTTTGGTAGTGCTAGTGTCGGGACTGTGTCCATTCCTAACACTTTTTTTAACACAACCATTAACGATCATGTCTTGGCTTTGGCCTTCAAAACTGATGTTGCCACCATTCAAACTTTGAAGAAAGGCTTTGCTCACAAAGCATGATAATGGGTAGAACTTACCACCTTTAGTTCCACAATGTGACCTTTGCTTGCTTTGTTACTTATTCTTCAAGTTACATATTTTTTTTCTTTAATTATTTCTTTCTCACCATCATCTCACTTATTTGCAGTCCAATAAATAGTTCTATAAGATGGTGTGAGATGTCAAATGCTTGATCTAACTAATGTTATCAATGTCTGAAAATACAATAAAGAACTTTCACGTGTTACCAATTTCCACCTAACGTGTAAGATTTATTTTTTCTTTTATGAATATGAAGTTAGTAATTCCCACGTGGACTCTGTTTCAAAACACAGTAATGACATAACATATAATATACTTGAAAAATCACAATAATATATATGTCAAATGATGATGTTACTATAACTTATCCATTTTAAATCTTGGTTATTATGCATAAATGATGGATTAGTCAAATCTTGGCATAAAAGGCAATACTACAACCATAAAAAAGAATCACTTACAAACTCAATTTTTTTTATCACTCTCTTTTTTCCCCTTTAAACATTACAAAGTTAAATATAAAAAATGCGTGAATTTTTTCTAATAAGCTTATTATGTCATCTAAATATATGTCAAATAGACGAGAATTTTGAAAAAAAAGGAAGGGAAGGTATATTTTTAAATTTTAAATTAAACTAAATATATCATTTACAATAATAAATGCATAATTAATATATTAAATTTATATTATTATATCAATTTTTATTTTTTATTTTAAAAATATTATTTTTAAATATATTTATTTAAAATATAAAATTTGTCTTCCATTTCTCTTCTCTCTCCTCCCTAAAAAAAAATTAAAAAAATACAATCATTTTGTAAGCAATTTTTATTTTCAGTCTGTGAAATTTACTGATGCAAATTTTCTTATCTAATAATTAGTAAGTTTAAAAATACATAAAAATTTTCTCTATGTAACAAAAAACAAATAAAAAAACTCTTTAAATGGATAAATAAAATAATACTTTTTAAATTTTAATAAAAAAAAAATTTTAAATTAAATGAAATAAACATAAGCTTACTAACTTTAGGACGAAGATAATTTTAACGGCATCACATTATCGACGTTGATGTGTTATTAGTTGCCACGCCCAATTATAGCCAATAAGAAGATTAAGATTCCATTGAATAACAATAATGTAAATAAATAATAAATAAAAGGAAAAAGAGCAAAAGCATAGCCATTACCCTTATTTTTATCTATCGCATTCTAAATTCACCCGACCTTTCTCTCTCGCACACACCACACGGACGCAATAAAGCTCCGAACCCGAACCTAACATGGATCTTAACGATCCGAACCGGTTCCGCAATCGTAAACCCCTCTCTTCGACGGAGCGCTTCCTCGGGGTGCCGTCCCACGCGCCGCCGCTAGAAAATCCTACCACAGACGACGACCTCATCGAGGACGACGTCGTTTTCTTCAACGACGACACCACCGAACCCTCCTCCTCCTCTTCTTCCGCCACTCCCAACCACCACTACCACCACCTTCCCCATTCGCACCACCACAAGGGTTTCGTGTTCGGCCCCACCGACACGTTCGGCATCCTCGCCGCCTTGCCGGAAAACGATCCCTCCCCAAACGCTCGGAACGGTTCGCACTTCTTCCAAAAGGCATCCGTCTCCGTTTCCGTGTCCTTGTCCTCATCCTCCTCTTCCTCATCCTCGCGTCTTATTCCGGCCATCCCGAAGCCTCCGCCGGACCGGAATCCCTTGTCGTCGGTTAAGATGCACCAGTCAGCGCCGGTGAACGTGCCTCCGCCGGCGATGTTGAGGAGGCGCCGCGAGTTCGACGAAGACGACGGCGACGCCGCGGAGGACGAAGAGATGCTGCCGCCGCACGAGATTGTGGCGAGGAATTCGTCGAAGTCGCCGATGCTGGCGTGCTCGGTTCTTGAAGGAGCTGGGAGAACGCTGAAGGGGAGAGACTTGCGCCAGGTTCGCAATGCCGTTTGGCGCCAAACAGGTTTCTATGGCTGAACAAACGCATTGGATTTTCAGTTTTCCTTTTGATTTTTGAGATAATCTTAAGTTTTTTGGCTCTTGGATTTTCTTACACTGGCAAATGCTAAAACCCTAAAACCTCAATTGAATGTAAATTTTGAAGGGATGGTCAATAATGGTTAAGTATTTTATTATTGGTTTATTAATGTTTGATTTCCCTGATTGACGAGAGAACCTTTGTATCTATCTCCTGATATTTAATAATTTACTTTTATTTAAAGTGCATTTCCAATTTTAAATCAATGTTCCTTAATGAGTCCCATTGGAAGATATTTTACTGTTTTCTGATGATTTTTGGAGTTTGTGTGAATCAACTGCTTCACCCTAATCCCACGGATTTTAACAAGAAGGCTGATTTTTGGGTTGCATCTTTGTTTAGTTCACCACGTTTGTTTGCAAATTCCTGTTGAAGCTGTAGTGCTTGGTAAATGTCTAGACATTCAATCAATCAATTGTAGCCTAATTACATCTTATTCTTTTGAAAGTAAAAAGAATAATTGTTCCTTCAGACATTGGAAATGGGCAAGGTAGCTCGGATTTGGATATTTGGTAATCCAAACAGACACAAATTTGTCAACACCTGATTACCTGCTGTCATTTTTTCCCAAAACCAACTTTGAACGTTTCCTTGTAGTGAAAATAGGATACACAATGGTTCTTTATAGTCTTTTTCTCTAATAGATTTAGGAATTATGATAGGTGCATTGTTTGTGGTATTTGTTTTTTGGGTCTATTCTGTGTTAATGTTTCTCTCATTATGTCAGCCTGTAGGGTAGGGAATTGCGATAAGCCTCAGCTTTCGGGACTTGGGTATTCATGTGCGTTTGAAAACACGTTGAAAAATTTATAAATATGGATTTAATACAAAAATTACTACTAATAGTGTTAAAGTAAATGTCAATTCATGACTATTTTAGTGTGAATATAAACATGCTCTTTATTTTGAGTATGTTAGGAATGACAAGGATAGAATGGAAAATGAGTAAATATGATGGTTAGTTTCTTTCCTCCGTATGCAGCCACCTTACTCCTTCAAATCTAGTATGTGCTTGTTTTGGTATATTGTATGATGTACCAGTTAATAGGCTATTAGGATATATTGATTATTTATCCTTTAAGATGGAATGTGATAAATTCTTTCGTGGCCGCAAATCAGTGATCTTTTGTAATTCTTTTATCTAAATAACTGAATAATTTTGACTACAAGTTCTCATTTGTGAAGATTATAACACACACCCTCGATCTCTCTAATTTATCTATAATATCTTCTCCTTCCAATTCACACATTTTATCTTTTATTGTGTACTGGTTATTTCTATATAACATATGTATTCAATTTAAGCGTTCCCAATGTTTGGGTCAATTAAAATGAAAGCAGTCATTTACTTTAATGTTTGGTTGGATTTATTGTCTAGTTATTGACTTTGTAATTGCTATTTGTACTACTTTTGTTTCTATTTATCTGTTAGAAAAATTAAAAATTATTCTTATTTATCTGTCTTTAAATAATTAAAAAAACCGTTAAGGTTCATAAGGAAACTTAGCAATTAATTCTAACAAAATGATCAAATTTTTTGTTTGTGTAATTTCTTCTTTTTCTAGATAGATAAATAGAAACGAAAGTAGTATTTATTAAAGATCCAAAGGATAATGCACATTGAGAGGAACAGCGTAGCACAATAATTTTTGAGATTGTTGGGCTTGTGCTAGGTTTAAGTGTAATTGGGCTTGCTAGTTGTTCCATTTGGCATTGATGGGCTTTGGTCAAATTGATAGATATTTTTTACTTTTGGTTGGGTGCTGTTGTGCCTGTGGGTCAAAAAGTTGTCTCTTTTTGTTTTTAATAACAAATATTTAGACCTCTGGTGTCCGGTGCTTCATCTTTTATCTTGTTCTGTCCTTTGATCATTTTTAAATCAAACATGAAATAAAATAAATGTTTCTGTGTTGTCCAGTCCTGCGTACTGTAGCAAATAAAATGCAACCTAAGTATCTTTGGCTTTTCGTTAACTTTTGAAGAATATGTGGATGTTATTCTAGTCTAATAATATGTTTGTTTGTGATGAAAAATGCATGATTAGCCACCCTTCTATCTTGTCTTCTGTTTTCTTTCTTATCATCTGTCTGTTCTTTGTTTAAGAATTTTCGAGTCTTCTCTCCAACTCTCCCTCATTGGGTTGGGTGAGGGGAGTGACATGACGTAAATGAAGTAACATACATATAGAGCAATTCCATGCTAGATATGTCTTAGCGAAGGATTCAGAAATTTTTGTTAGACTTGTTACTAGCAGCGTGTAATGGTTGCTGGTTTTTCATGTGTTTGATTTGAGTCGTAAACAGGTCATTCTCCCGAAAGGGCTCAAACCAATTCACAACATAACAGTATTATGTCTTAAATAATGGTGAATAGAAATGTCCTTTACAAGGAAATGCATCCCATTTATTTCTAGTCATAAACAGTGGAACTAAATTTGATCTTGTCTGTTGGGAAAGAATGGAGTTTCTTATATTTTGTCATTTTTTTTCTCATTAGCCTTTAAGTTCATGTAATATCTTAAATTAATGTTTTAGAAATTTTTGGAGTTCATGTTTATGAAATTACTTTTGTATTTCATGTTTTTGAATTTAAAATATCTTTCAAATTTTTGGAATAATATTATTAAGAGTTTTGATACTAGATGATAAATTTGGATACTTACTCTTTTAATATTTTTTTTATAAAATGTGAGATTTACAATTTAAATATTTTTATTAAGTAGATTAATTTATAAAAACAAATTTAATAAGTACTTTATTACATTATTTTATTTTAAAAATTTAAATTGTGTGAAATTTGATATATATAATAGTGACAATAATAAAAAAATGATTTTAAAGTTAAAGTAGTCAAATTTGTGAGGTTTTTATTAATTTAATTTTGATGCATTGTTGTTTAAAGCATTATTTGATTATGTTTAATTTAGCATTTTTTTTTTTTTAAAGAAAAACAGTCCCTGATGCTTATGTGCGTGTGCGTCAATTTGAAGAAAGGTCAATTTACACTAATGCCAATTACGCCTTGATTTTATATAGTTTAATATTTTTTATTTTATAATTTTATTTTAAAATTAACCATTATATTAAAAAATATTATATAGATATATTTACAAAGTTTTACATTAATATAAATTATTTGATATTTTATAATTGTTTCATTTTAATATTAAAATAAAAATATTAAAATTATATTCTTATAATTGTTTCATTTTAATAAAATTTTACAAAAAAAATAATCAAAATAATATAATTTTAAGCCAACAATTAATTTAATAAAAAATTATTTTATATTAAATAATTGATAAAAAATTAATATAATTTATTGAAATTAAAAATTATACAAATTTTGGTCACGTAGAAGAGACCACCTAATTAATGAAAATTTAGTTTTTGATAAAATACAATAGCATCCGTAGGGTAGTCGACTTAAAGTGCTGTAAAAATCTGCACTTTCAAAGCCTAACCCCATGGCATTTTGTGCCACATAACCCCTGCGAGAGAAACGCACATATTTTTATATTCATCTATGCTTACATTTTTCATCATCTTTTTTGTCAATCACACTTTTTTACTTCATTTTTTCATTTTCTTTATTGTTTGTTACCTCCACCTACCTTATAAACATATAATTTTGTTATTGAGAGTAGTGTTGTAGCTTCCTTTATGGTGGGACAAAGGTTGATGGCAAATAATGGGTTCCGTAATATTCATGGTCTAATATTAATATGTTAACTTCATTTACTGTAAGTTGCGGTGGAGTAGCTACTGATACAATTGTAAATAAACACTTTATTCTGTTGCACGTGACGCTACTTTTTCGCTCTTAATATGCAACGCCCCATTCTTAGCATCCACTTGCACTACCATTAAAAGAGCTTGTCAATATTTCTATTTCCTCATTCTGAGATTATCTCAAGTCTTTACTCTTTACAAAGGCTAAGGGGTTGTTTGTTTCTCAATTAGAAAATCATTTTTCACATTTTCAAGTATAAAACACTCGTTTCAATAAAAATATATGAATTAAATTAATTTATTCACATACATTTAACAGTTTAAAATTAATTTTATTTTAAGATATTTGTTAAGAAAATTATAATGATACAATATAAACATTCAACATGAAATTTCCGCGGAAAAATGCGTCCACATTTGAGCATAGCTTCTTATGAAGAATATTAATGAGAAACAAAAACAAAAAAAACATGATTTGCAATGTACATTATAAATTATAATTATAAACACCCGTAGTCAGTGTAGTTGAATACAAAACAATTATAACAATTTTTGTGGTATTTTATTTAGTTGTCCTTTTGTCCGTTCTCTTCTGCTAATTTTAAGCATATTCCTAAACTTGTATTCTTTTTAATAGTTCGATCCACGAGGAATTGTGAGCGTATTATGATTGTCGGAGCTACTTGCAGTTGACAGAAACAGCGGAAAAGTGAAAAATAATAAGCATACTACTTGTGTAAATGTTGGTGGTAAAGTGCATGTAGCCAGCAATCATAGGTAAATAGTAATGAAAATTCTTTCATGTGAAGGCCTTCAGTTAAAAAAAATCTTGCATCAAAACTTGGGTTGCATATTCAATGGGCAATAACATTGTATATTCTTCAACTTAAAATGAAATTCCTACGTAGAGCCCTCTTCCTTGTATTACCATATCCCTTCACTGCGATTCCTATATAGTGAGTTGAAGATTTAGGGCACATAGATTGGATCGTTCTACAATAGTTTATTTCCCGTCATGTAACAAGACCTAAGTTATACAATTATTTATTAAAACATGGCACATATTATTTGAGCTATCTTTGTCATTTTTATTTGGGGTGTAGCTACGTAAAAGAGGCGATTACGACTCATGATCGACCAACTACTTACGGTTCATTAATATTCAGAGCAAGTTAGTGTGACCTATCGTCCTTGGCTATCCGCCAAATATCATAACAACGTTGAAATGCATTTTCTACATCCATGTTGAAATTCTAAGCTAATTAGTGGCTCTTATGGATTCCTTCTACCAGGAGATTTGTTACAGCAAAAGCCACTTTATTCTACTCAATAAAAGGGCAGGATCGGTGCACTTGTACTTGCCATTAATTATCCCAATATCTTTTCTGTTCTCTGTTTATTTTTTTAATCACAACCAATGTTTTGATATTGGTCAACATTAAATATAATTTTAACTTAATTAACCCCCATTTGTTTTGACGTTAAAAATTAATTTGTATACTTTTTAATAATATATATATATATATATATAATAAAATTGTATTTAAAATTAATTTAGATGCATGATTTAATTTATTTAAAAATTCAGTGCAAGTAAGACCTAACTCAATTTCCTTTATGAATAACCCTAGTTCAACCATTTGAAGATCTAATTAAAAAACTTGTTTTCAAATCAAATTAATCATGTGGCGTTTAGAGAAATAGGATTATTAGAAGGTATTAACCACGTTGACCATACTATATACCCTCATTAGAAAGGTATTAATCATTATTAATTCCTTATAGCCTAGGAAATGGAATACATTACAGTACTCAGTAGCCGAAGGACCGTACATGATGCATTCATGCTTGTCTTTTCTCTCTTCCGGAAGAAGGGGGAACGATTCATGCATGGCTTATCTGAGACATAAAATTAAGATACTATCCTTCGAGTTTGAAAATCTCGAAAATCATGGAAGTAACATACTTCAGTGTAGTAACCATAATCAGACAAAGTTTCTTTGCTGTGAGGCCAGGGTTTGCTTTTGTTATCTTATGAGATAAATAATTTATCTTAGATAATAAGATTTTTATTTATAAAAAATAATATAATTTAATACAATATCTTATTTTTATTAATTTAATTAAGATAAAATTATTTATCTTATAGAGAAATTTAGCCAAAACCTTACTCTAATAATTAAGTCAAAGGGCCAACCTGTTGTTTAAAAATTCATGTTAAATAAATTCTTCCATAGATAAAAGGCAAGTTTGGATATTTTGAACTAATGCAGCTAGGAGCTTCTTCTCATGTATTGATAAACCCTACATGAGTGAACATAACTACAATTGTTGACACCAACTACTAATATCAGCTTTAGGTCCCTACATTTATTATGTTTGTCTTAAGCTGCCACTATATATACCCTTCAAACTTATCTTCTTCTCTTCAAAGTTTTCTGGCTTCAATATCTGTCAGCTATTTCTTGTTTCCATAGCTCATCATGGCGTTTACTCAGGCTATCACAACACTTCTTTTTGCTTTAGCTCTAGCCAGAATTGGCCCCTCAGCATGCCAAAATTTAGAGGGCAAAGTCTCTTGCGCTGACTGCTCTCAGAACTACGATTTCTCTGGTTTGTCTCCTGTATCAACTCTCGTCTCATTGTTCATTAGCTTTGAGCTTAATTTAATATGTTTGATTATATTACTTTCTCACTCAGTTAAAATACTAAAGGATATCCTACTTAGACAAACGAGATTTTATTTGTAAGAAATTAAATAAAAATAAATTTTTATACATGGACAATGTCTTACTTCATTAGTCCATTTAAAATGAGATTATTTATCTTATGCAGTAACTTAGATTGACCCTTCATTTTGAAAGTGAATGGAAGAAAGAAAAATATGAAGAAAAAGAAGGTGTGATGAATAATATGGTAGTAAAGAAAAATAAACTCTATTATGTTTTCAGGCATTAAGGTCTCAGTGAAGTGTGAAGGTGTGAAAAAACTGGTTATGGCAACTACAGAAGATAAGGGCTTCTTCAAGGTTGACCTTCCCTCAGAGCATACAAAAACTCCCTCAGAGAAGTGCCATGTAAAACTTCTTGGTGGGCCAAACCACCTTTATGCCTCAAGGGAAAACCAAGTGTCCCAAATTGTGCAGGAAAAAGAGAAAAATAGTTACACCATATCCACCCCTCTTAGTTTTTTCACATCGTGTCCCCAAAGCAAAGAATGCAACGCTGCCAACAAGTTTGCTTCGTCCAAAACCATCGATCTTCCTCTGCCTCCGGAGTGGGGTTTGGCACCCAGTAGCTACTACTTGCCTTTCATCCCCATCATTGGAATACCTTAATGTGTTCCATTAATATATTGTCACTGGGAAGAATATATATATATATATATTATCCTATGGTCTTGTTTTCTGCATGCTTTATTCTTATGCGTTATGACTCATGCGTGTAACATGAAAAATGGCATATATAGTTGGGGTTTTAAATATTATTGCATGTGTTAAGGAAGTTGATTTCTCAGTTGAAATATATGGCCATGCTTGTTGCTTAACTGCTTTGTCCATTTTAATCGGTTTTACTATTATCATCATAGTGCTATAAAACAACTATTATGAAATCCTTTGGATAAATTTTTTCTAAAACTTAAAAAACATTTTTTTTAAAGTACTTTTCTTTAACTTCTTTAAAATTTGAAGAATATAAGTTGTTTTTAAAACACGAGAAAACTGTATTTATTTTTTACATTAATTTTTTCTAATAAATATTTTTTATAAATTTACTCAAATTGAGTCATAATCATTTGAGAAATAAAAAAAAAAAACCATGTCCTAACCTCCAATGTGAGGGAACAAAACTCACTCATACAGATCCTTGTCCAATGGGTGCTCGCACTTTTGAACCCAAACTATGACTTTGATAGAGTCCAATGAAACAAGTATTTCTCACTTGGGCTCACATCTGACACTGACAACGCGCCAAGTCCGTAGCCACTTGTTTACGACAAAAGTGAAGTGATGTGATGTATCCTAGAAACCATCCCCTAAGATCTGCTATCCATTAATAAATGCACATAATTATGTATTTCACTGAAAATCATAATTATTTATATATAATATATGTACGTATTACAAAATACCTAATAAAAATAAGATAAATAGAAAAAAAATGAGGTACAAATGAAATAGATTTCTCAATTAGTAACATTAATAAAAATGGAGTATGTAAGTGTGAAACGCAACAAAAAGAGAACTTCTTCCCTCATCTTAGAAACTCTTTGAATAGAAAGATTCTTCATTGTTCTCTTTTTTTTTTTTTTTCTCATTCCTTCGTTTTGTTTATTTGAATAGATCAGCCCAGCTGCATGCACAACGCTACCATGTCACACGCATCACAATAAAATATTAATATTTTAATAATAAAAGATAATTTCAATAAATAACAGAAATAAATTTCATTATTCAATAAAAATAATTTTTATAAATACAATACACCTCTTCAATAAATTTCTCATAAAGGATAAATAACTTTCCGTACACATAATTTTTTTTTTATTCTTCATTTGTCCAAGTAAGCAAATAACTCTTTTCTTAATTTATATAAATAACACATTTTATTGCTAATTTTTTCTACTTTTTCGTGAGCTAAACAAAGGGTAAATGACTTGATAAACACTAGGCAATCACTTTAGTGAAAAATATTAATTAATAAATAATTATAATTGAATTAACGACACCCCAAAGACTTGACTTGAAGTCAATCATGTGGGGACTGTCCCCTTTGAACCAAAGCTCAAGGGATGCATAAATCATATTACTCTTTCGAGTAAATTCACGTAATCGCTCTTTGGGATAACATGGTTGGGTATTTTATTATTTTAAATTTTAAAGTATTTTAAAATAATAGTCATTTAAAGTATTTAGTGTTAATAAACAATAATAAAATAATGAATTGTTGGGCTTATTGACTACAACTATGTCGTCGGGCTTATGATTAATTACGTTTTACTCTTAACTTTTCATACTACTTTTATCTTCTTCTGTCGGTGATATTCATGTAAGAATAACACAAGCTAATCATTTTTCTGGTCTTACAACTGTTTCAACTTAAATCTTTAAAAAATTACAGATATTTTTAAAAATTACATGTTTAGTCTCTTCTATATTTGAACATAGGCTTCTTTAAAATTATACTACGATAAAATGTGAACTTATAATTATTAATTTAAAGCAATAAAAATTATAATAAAGTTTAAATATATTCACAATGTTATAAAATTATTGTAATTTTTTTATTAGTTTTAAATATACGATTGTAATAACTATTTATTTTTATATATAATTTAGAAGAGCCAAATACCTAACCTATTAAACATGATTTTATTATTTCCTTGTTGATTTAAATTTATAAAGTTGATTACATATTTGATTTAGTTTAATTTTAGAGAAACAACTACTTATTTTTTCTAAGTTATCTAAAGTTGAAAAAATAATTATTTTTAAATAAACAGAATAAATTTGAAGTAGATTGCATCTTTATACATATCTGGCGACATCAACAAGGGAAGATCTTGAAGAAGAGGGGAAAAAAAAGAATCAACAACAGCGCATTGATGAGACACGAAAAGCAAGACTTGTTCCACTTCCCCCTACAGGATTCCCTGGCCCAGCAGATAAGCAAAAGGATTTAAGATTGACGCATGGAAAAGTACCATTGGCAAAATCTGATACACAAAACAAATATCAGAAAAAGGGTTGGGCTTATACAAGAAAACAAACAAGAGAAAGGAGAGGACTGATTCAAAGGAAGAGTGCTACAGAGACATAACATATTAATAATAATAATAATTAAAACATAAACACATATATACCCGAGTGATGAGAACAGTTTATGGGGGCACAAAGACGTTTTCTGGTCCTTGCAAACGCGTGGAAGTTTCCAACCATTCCCAATTCATTAGCTTTTCTAATTTCACTCGGCGAATATCCCTACCCCACTCTTCTCCTAAACATTACTCTTTTTGCTCCCATCACAATATATAATAGCCCACCTCATTCGAAATTGTGCAAACGGTAACTAAAACAAAAAAAACCAAGTACGAGGAACAACAATCACACACACACGACATGGTCGACCTCCCACCTGGTTTTCGATTTTACCCAACAGAAGAAGAGCTTGTTGGCTGCTATCTGCACAACCAGCTAGAAGGGCAACGACCTGACATTAGCAGAGTTATCCCAGTAATTGACATCAATGGCGTAGAGCCATGGAACCTTCCAAGTACATTTATATTTCAGTTCTCAACTGCGTACTAGGACATTTTTGTTACTTATTATTCTTTAGTACGTTTCATACCCCCAAATGGGTTTCTTGTGATCAGCACTTGCAGGGGAGCTATGTCGTGGAGACACGGAGCAATGGTTTTTCTTTTCACCCAGACAAGAGAGAGAGGCCAGAGGAGGGAGACCCAACAGAACCACGGCTTGTGGGTATTGGAAAGCCACGGGTTCTCCTGGTCACGTTTACTCTTCCGACAGCAAAGTCATTGGAATCAAGAAAACCATGGTATTTTACAAAGGGAAAGCTCCTACTGGTAGGAAAACCAAATGGAAGATGCATGAGTACAAAGCCATTGAACATTCTCACCAATCCAACACAACCCCTCCAAAGGTATACATATTATTATATTGATCATATTGTACGATTATGTTATTTAAATAACTAACATGACAGAATATAATATAGCTAGCGTCATGGAGTGCTAGTAGTAGTAGTAATTAACGTTGGTTTTTGTAATAGCTTTTTTTTTTTGTCACAAATTTTCATGTTAGTTGAGGCACGAATTCAGCTTGTGCCGAGTTTATGTTATATCGGGAAGCTTTCGATCGTTTGATCGACGGCCACTAGAGAGGGAAAGAGGGGAGTTAAGAATTGAAGGCGGAAGAGGTGGTGCTTCAACAAGTGCTCAGACGCAGGAAGCACCGCCGGCAGTGGAAGAGGGATCAAGCTCGTCTGACACTTCCCATGCTGTAGGAGGAGGTGGGGACCACAGTGCTGTTCATATCTCACAAACTGGGGCATGCTCAAGCGCTACAAATTGGAATCAACATGATGGGGTTGAAGTACCACTTTGGGAATGGGAACAACTTAATTGGAACTAACCACTGTGTAGAAATTTTAAAGTGGTCAGGACAAATCATCTTGTGATAATGTATAAATTTTATAGATTACAGAAAAAAGTTGATGTGTGTAAGGTGAGAGACCGGAACCATGTGATTTTAAGCTACATAAAAATTTTCGTTGCTTAGAGACCTGGCAAGTCTTCATATATTAACCATCTAAATTGTAGGTGTAGTTGGGTTCGGTTAATTTCCTTCAACTCGTAGGGGATATGTTGTAACATAATCATTATATTTGTTGTTTAGAATAGTGATTGATTTTCTCAGTTAGGAATAAGGTCCAAGTGTAAAAGGAATGTAACGTGGATTTTGTCATTTTGTATGCTTGTTTTTGTAAGTTTGCAGATTGCTGCTAAGGCCTGTTGTTTTGTAATGATAATCAATTTCTTTTCACACCTCTCTTTTTACATCACCGATCGAGGATAACAAATAAAATTGGCATGCGGCAACAAATCAAGGGTTGTTTGGGGGATGTCTACATTAAATTAAATTGTTCCCTTCGTTCAAACTCAACTTAGTTCATTTCTTATTTTCTCGGAACTATTTAGACCACTTCAACCCATATGATAGGGCTTGTTCTTCAAAGTCTTTTTAGGAAAGAAACTGTCATATTCGATCAATTTTAAATCAATAAAAAGGCTGTTTGATTTTTTGTTCTTCAATACGAAAATATCAAAATGAACGGCCAAATATACGAGAAGCACAAAATGTAAAACACGTTGGAGGATAGTAGCATTTTTCTCCTCCTCTTGAAATTGATTTTGCACGCTAAACAAATAGGCAGAAAACTGTGGCAAGATTTTCAAATAACATGCTTGAGCAGGTTCAGGTTTCACGGGAATAAAGCCACATACAGTCAACTGATCTTACATTTTTATGTCCACGTATTGAAAAATTGGTCAAACTCGCAGCTTTAACTACAGCTGGATTTGGATGAGACATGCAGACTTTGGCAAAGACTTTCAAATGCATGTTCTTTAGCTTTTGTATAAAATGCTTATTCTAGCTATATACGCGGATTACCCTACAACAATCAACTACCAATCCTTTTTTTAAGTCATTTACATGGATTTAACAATGTTATATATTTTATCATAAAAATTATGTTTATGAATTGATTAACACTTCTAAATTCTTTTTAATTATTTCACCTATAGTTTTCTCGGTCACCTTATGCACTGGTGATCACTGTTTCTACAAATATGTCTATTATGTACCAAAATTAATGAGGTTGTAAATAATTTAAGAAAAATGTAACAAAAATTCAAAAGATCAAAATTAAATAAAATATTTTTAAAACAACTAAAACCAATTTTATCCTTTTATAAATAAAACTTAGGTATACAAGTCATCTATACGTTGAAGTCCAGAATGGCTTACTAGATGAGCTCCATGGGATGATTTATATCTTAAATATAATTTCTTTTTCTATAATAATTTCCTGGCAATGTGCAAGTTGATAACGCAGCGTGAGGCGATGAACCAGTTTCCCACAGGAAGTAACCCAAGTCCTTGCTTTCGTATGAATATAACACGTTTCATATTTTATTCTTCTTTTTATGTTAATCGATTTCTTTCGCATTGTTAAAGCAGAATTCCAACCCCAGTAGCAAGATTTAATTCGATCGTGTTTTAAGCAGTTATAGAATTATCTTCCATACGAATATCGATGGTTCAGCGAAGAAAAACAAGTCTGTTTCCAAACCGCTATTATTATTATTATTATTATTATTATTATTATTATTATTTCTGCTTTACATAGGCTGCACAGTTTTGTTTAAAAAAATAATATAATTTGACGGTATTTTAAAGAAAAAGTTTATGTGAAAACATTTTTGTTCATTAACATCACTTGCACCAAACATTAATTTATACTTAAAATAAAGGTTGAAATAAGCCTTTAACATATGTATCTTAGTACATTTGTTAATGGAAAAATTTAGTATTATATATAAATTTTATCCTAACATCAAAATATAAATTCCTACGGTATAGTTTTTGTGTTATTAATCGAAATTTAAACATAAATCACTTTGAGTAAACTCCCTTTAGGTCAATTTCAAACATTAATGGCAGAAATCAAGGGATTTAATTGTAATGTGGAAGATCTTGGTAGGTATAAAATGGAGTGAAAGTTCTCGGAATCTTCGGAACCGCCAATTCCCGATGGCGATTCCGTTGCCTTCGTGGCGAGAGGCACGGTGGTGCTGCCGGAGTTCCAAACCGTCGCCACCAAGTCTCTGATCCAAATATCCGATGGCCTCAACTACCTTTGTGTGTCTAACGACACCAACGGAAGTGAGTACTTCTTCTTCTTCTCTTCCGTTGTGATTTTGTGTGATGAAACCGTTCTTGGCTTTGTTTATCGTTATTGCAATTGGTCCTCAGTGCCAAAGGTTTTTGTTCATTAGTTACCGAAATGCAAGTGTGATAGGTGGTACGATCCAATTATCCTGTTTCTTACGAAGAAGAAAATGTTTCTATGATAATTGACATTTGTGCATTTTGATTAGAAAAAATATGAACAAAAACAAGAACTGTGTTTGTATAGGGAAAAGCAAGTTTTTGAAAATAACACGTTTCTTTTCAATTATGCTTCTGTGTCAATCCGTCAACAGAGTGCAGATAGAGGTCTTTCAGAGTCCTTTGCAGCTTCCAGTGAATGTTAGGGGCTAATGTTGTCTTTGATAGTTAGTCTATGTTCTGTGGACATTCAGATTATGATCTTCCAATTTTCCAAAGAAGAATGTTACCCGACACTGTTTTCCATACGTTTTTTTTTTATTGATCAATTTTTAAAAAGTTAATGTGACTTACTTTCTATAAGTTATTTTAATTTTTTAAAAAATTAACTAATCATGAAACTTGTGTTCAATAATGTATTGTATTGATAATACTCTTCTTTTTCAAAACATGCTACAAGGCAAAAAAGGAGTGGTTGGTAGATGGGTGGTTTAATCATAATAATTCAACTTTAAAAATTATTTATTAAAATAATATCATTTAAAATTAATTATTAAAATAAGGGAATCCAATAATATTTAAAAATTATTGAACAAATTCGTATGGCAAAATGAGACGTGGGACATATCTTAGTGTGTAGCATGTACTGTATTTTTACTTCAACATGAGTTCCGCACTATGTACTAAATTTTTACTTCTCATTTTGATCAAAATTTATTTTTTTAATATTTTTTATGAATATTAATTTTTTAATCTTAAACTGTGGTCAAAAGTGAAAAAAAAATTGAATTTAACTTCTAATCAATAAAAAAATAAAATTTAAGCTTCAAATTCAATTCTGATTAAAGTGAAATAAATCTGATTAAATTGAACAAAATTTATTTCAAATTTAAATTAACGTAGAACAAAAATTGAAAATTGAAAATTTAATCAAAATAAAAGAAAATTTTTAATTTTAATTTTAATATTAAAAGGTAGTATCATCTTATGTGTCAATTTAGAACATGTGTCACAAGACTTACATTAGAAGAGTGTCCCGCATTGAAACGTTACACGTCGTTACAATATGAACTATTGTCACATACTTTGACAAGTGGGTTTTTTTTTTTTTTTTTCTCAGTACCTTTTAAACATGATTGAAATAACCCATCTCAGTAATTAGATTTAAAATGATATTATTTTAATAAATAATTTTAAAATTGTTTTATTATAATAGAAAGTAGTGGGACGACAAGTGCGCAGCGAAAAAGGGCAAACATTAGAATAACGAAGCTATACGCAGATGGTGTTTTGGATTGGTTATCCGTCCAAAAGTCATTGTTAATGATCTGGGAGCCAAAAAATGATTTTATTTTATTTTTATTTTTAGTGTTGATCCAAATATTCATTAGATTTTGTTTTACAATAAACCAAACATTTTGTTTTACCATAAACCAAACATTTTGTTTTATCGTTAAGAAATTAATTCTTATGTACATTTTTTAATAAAAGCACACAATATAATGAAAATATATAATTCACACAAATAACAAAAATTAATTTTATTAAGGTTATTTTATGTGCAGCAATTTATGCCATAAATCTGGTGCAACCATAATTCGACACTTATTGAAAAATTGGGTACTCGTCTAACACGAAAATCGAACCTAATCATATGAAAGTGTTTATTTAAATTTAAAATTCGATTATCACTCACTGTCACGTTAAACTAATCCAACTACCGATGTTAATGGAGGCAATACACAGCTATATATAGTCAGGACACTCTGTAGCCGAGGTACTATGCTCCATGAATAATGCTGCCAAGTAGTCCAAAATTAATGCTCCCTTCATTCTTTATTCTTATATACAAGGAATATTATTTTGTCTTAAATAAAAAATATATATTATATTCATTAAAAATATTTATTTTTATTTAATATTTTTATTTTATAAAAACATAAGTTATATTTATAATATATCCTTTAAAATAATTTAATATTTTTATTAACATTAAATATCATTATTTAATAATTTAAGTTCTTATCTTGAATATAAAGTCAACAAGCAAAAATTAAAAAGTCATTTAGCATGAAAGATAATTAAATTTTAATAAAATAATTAATTTCAAAGTTATTAATTCATATTTTAAAAAATAAAAAATAAGTAATTAAAAATAAAATTTAACTTAAATACATGTATTTTAAACTATTGTATCTTAAGATTACTTACATTTGAGATTAGAAAGAGTAATTATTATTATTTTTATCTAAAATACAAAAAATAAATACTCATTTAGATATATTAATTGTTAAAAAATTTACATTTTTATTTATTATGAAATTTGAATTAATAAAATATTTATTTATTATTTACATAAATGAATACATTTAATATGTTAGTTATTAATCTAACCATTTGTTATTATAAGTATTTTTTATATATTATTATTTTTTATTAGTATTGATAAAAATTAATTATTTTTTATAAAACAAATTTAAATAATATCTTAAATTCAAAGTATATGTATAGAAAAAAAAAAATAGCTGTAAAAGATTTAATACTACCGTTTGACAACATTTTTGACTCAAATAAAGTTATTTATTGTGAAGAATATTCATAAACAAAAGAAAAATTAGTGAAATTCATTTTAGAACTTGCACTAAAACGGGTAGGAAAGCATCATCTTGGGGTGTGTGGCTTTTTTATTCCCCTTTGTCTGCATGCATATCTTCCAATTACCAAGCTCTCTTTTCCATAAACAAATCAGCTTCCTCCTTTCTGCTGGGTTTCCTTGTACTTTTCTCCATCAATTCTAATCAGAATCAGAGAGACCCTACCGCAAAAATGGGCACTCATTGCATGTTATTTTCCCCACCGCCTCCGACCAAAACTCACCATCCCCTCAACTCACCCACTCCGTCGTTCCCTCTTCCCCCAACCCATTACACAACATCACCTTCAACTTCAAGAAAGTTCAGAGGCAGGATCCACAGCGCCAGCAAGTTTGGAAATTTCCTTGACTTGAAGCCTGAGCACCAACCCGAAGCCTTGGATTTGGACCTTCCATGGTGCCACCCTTCTGATCGCGCTCGTTTTGACGTGATCATCATTGGTGCTGGCCCTGCAGGCGTAAGGCTGGCAGAACAAGTGTCCCTTTATGGTGTTAAGGTTTGTTGTGTTGACCCTGAACCTCTCTCTATGTGGCCTAACAACTATGGTGTGTGGGTAGATGAGTTTGAGAATATTGGTCTTGAGGATTGTTTGGATAAAACATGGCCTATGGCTTGCGTTTATATTAATAATAGCAAGACCAAGTATTTGGGTCGTTGTTATGGCAGAGTTAGCAGGAAGAAGCTGAAACAGAAATTGATTGAAGGGTGTATTGTCAATGGGGTTAGATTTTACAAGGCAAAGGTATGGCAAATTGAGCACCAGGAGTTTGAGTCTACAGTTTTGTGTGATGATGGGACAGAGCTGAAGGGGAGTTTAGTTGTTGATGCTAGTGGATTTGGTAGTAATTTTATAGAGTATGACAAGATGAGAAATCATGGTTGTCAGATTGCTCATGGTGTTTTGGCTGAAGTGGATGATCACCCTTTTGATTTGGATAAGATGGTTTTGATGGATTGGAGGGATTCCCATTTGGGGAATGAGCCTTACATGAGAGTTAGCAACTCCAAGTTTCCTACTTTCTTGTATGCAATGCCATTTAATTCCAATTTGATATTTCTTGAAGAAACTTCCCTTGTTAGCCGTCCAGTGTTGTCCTACATGGAAGTGAAAAGGAGGATGGTTGCAAGGTTAAGGCATTTGGGAATTAGAGTGAAAAGGATATTGGAGGATGAGAAGTGCTTGATCCCAATGGGAGGACCTCTCCCAAGGATACCCCAAGATGTTATGGCTATTGGTGGGACTTCCGGGGTAGTCCATCCTTCCACTGGGTACATGGTGGCTAGAACAATGGCTATAGTTCCTGTTGTTGCTGTTGCCATAGCTGAATGCCTTGGGTCCACTAGAATGATCAGGGGCAAACAGCTTCATGCCAAAGTTTGGGATAGCATGTGGCCAATTGAGAGCAGACTCGCTAGGGAATTTTACTCTTTTGGAATGGAGACTCTGTTGAAGCTTGATTTGAATGGAAGCAGGCGTTTCTTTGATGCATTTTTTAACTTGAAACCTTATTACTGGCAAGGGTTCCTCTCTTCAAGTTTGACTCTAAAGGAGCTTCTTTGGTTAAGCATATCACTCTTTGGTCATGCCTCAAATCCATCCAGGTTTGATATTGTCACAAAATGTCCCGTACCATTGGCTAAAATGATGGGCAATATTGCTTTGGAATACATCGGATGATGGAAGGTTTGTGTTTATGTGAAATGGACATCCACTCCTTATTCATTTTCCTTGTTTGTCTTCTTGGCTGGAGTTTATGTTTTGATCGCAAGTTTTCCCTTTCTATATAATACATTAATACCAGCCTCCTGTTATGTATAGCAGGTATAATTTAGTGCAAAGGATTCCCCCGTATTCTTATACATTAAAATTCGAAATAAAAGAAAATTTTAAGTGCTCCACGAATGCCTTATTATATCGATGCACCCGTTTACCACTTACTCAATCTAGGAAGTTCTATTGCTTTGATTCAAATTGTTAATTCAAGAGATATATCTTTATTTTTTTTTTTAAAAGATATTAGGCTCAAGTTGTTTTGTATAAAATAAATTATTGTTAAGAAAATTAACTCTACCATATTATAGCTCTTCTTAGCTCAAACACAACATTGCTACAATTATAAACCTCAAAATAAGCCCTTAGTGATAAAATGCCAAATACCAATAAAGTGCAGAGTATAGTAACACTCTCTAATGGAGGTTGTTTTGGTACTTCAACAAATAAGTAATGATACCAAATTATATTACGTTGAGTTAGCTGAGGCGAAAGTTAGGAGTGGTTGTTCACATATACAATAAGTGTTTAATTAAAAATTGCTTAAATTATATAAAATTAAAAATGAAAGTGATATGTCATGATGGGAAGCATCATATAACAATTATAAAAAATTAAGTTATCTAAATTCATTGAATTATAGTATTAAAAATGCTCCAAGATCAAAAAATAAAATAAACAGTCCCTTCCCGTCGTTGTGCGAATGAAATCGTTAAAGCCAATTCAACTTCCGGAGCCACCCAGCCCCACCGCCGCCGGAGCCACTCCCGACATCTTCCAATCCGGCGCTCACACCCTCCTCCGCCGCGCTCTCGTCATCGGCAACGGTTTCCCTTCCTCCGAAAATCACTGCATCGGTTTGCTTCGCGTCCTTGGCCTCTCCCATTTCCATCTCTTTTACGTACGCGCTTCTCTCTCTCTTTCTCTCTCTCTCTCTGATTCTATTTCTACTCACTCACTCTGTATGATTGTGTTTGCAGCGAGTTACGAGGCCCAAAGGAGGAATCAATGATTGGCTTCAATGGCTTCCCCTCTCTCTTCATAAGAAAATCCATTATCTAATTTCCATCTTCGTGCCTTTTCTTACAAATCTCAGTTTCTTCCTTTAGCTTCACATAACGGTCTCTCTGTTATTCTTGAAGCTGATGTCAACCATATAGTCAATTTGGCTCGCCAAACTTATGAAAAGTTTATTTATATGATTATATTCCCGTTCTTTTTAGCTTTAAGTTTATGGTATATTGGAAATAACGAATGTTATTGATTTTTCGTTTCATAGGGAGGGACCGTTATTGGTGGTTGCATCTGGAAGAGACACTGTTTCGGTTGCGAGTTCCATAAAACGTTTAGCATCTGACCATGTTTTTGTTGTTCAGGTATGCACTCATGTTTCGTGCACATTTTCTTTATCTGTCGTGTCTTGTAACTTGGGTTGCCAATGTGCTTCTGTTGTCTGGGTGGTGGTATTTTGTGCTGATAAGCAATGTGATTCAATTCAAATTTCATATGCTGCTATATATGTGCATTTACTTACCCTATGTCTTGCTTGTTTGAGTTGAAACTGCTTGATGAAATAATGAAAAAGCTTCAGTGCCATAAAATTCACCACGAGATTCAGCATGCCATTGAAAAAAGTTGGTGTTGCAAATGCATTCCAAAATTCAAAAGAGGAGAGGCAGCCTACTGTTAGCATGGCGATTTCCTGTTTAACTTTCAACTGCTATGCCAGTTTAGCTCTACGATTCTGTGGCATGGTCTTGACAGGAGGGGGAGAGAACTCTCTGGTTCTTCAATATTCCCTTTCCCATATGTCTTGAACTTCTCTTTCTTTTCCTTTATTTTCTTTGCATGTTACTATCTGTCTTTGAGATTTGTTGTGGCCAATTACTTTTAAGATGCTAACTGATATATATATATATATATATATATATTTATATATTTATATATTATTCTTAATGTGGATTTATCTATTAGTCTCAATTTGCGTTGTATCATGTATTCGGCAGTGACTTATTGCACTTCCATATTTCAGTGGTGTTATTACTTCATTTAAGCATTGACTTTGATTTGTAACTTTGATCTTCCCCGGGGGTACAGATACAACATCCGAGGTTGCATCTGAATAGGTTTGATATGGTGATTACGCCTCATCACGATTATTATTATCCTTTGACTCCGGAAGCACAGAAGCAGGTTCCTAAGTTTCTTCGACGGTGGATAAGTCCACGCGAGCCTCCTGAGTCATGTGGTATGTATCATGTGTAGCATATCATGTGACTGCAGTTATCTTTTACTATACTGAAGAAATTGCGATTTTACTTTCATGTTAGCAACTGTGTATTGCTGAGGATTGTATGTGGTAATTTACATTAGGTTCTGACCTTGGGAGCCTTACATCAAATATATTTTGCTTCACTTCGCAGTGCTGCCATTACATGGCATGATGTGTTTGCACACGTTCCAAGGCCCTTGCTCGTGGTCCACATTGGAAGACCAACAAGTAATGATAGTTTACAGACAGTGGGCAGTTGTTGATTTGACATTGAAATTTACATTATACTGTACTGTAACGATGGTTTAAAAAAGGTCGAACTTGATGTAAATTAACCAGAATTTCAGCACTCATGTTTTTTACCATACACAAACTTTCTCATGAATTTAGTAATTTGAAATGTTAGTATTAGAGTAAGATTTCAGAGAGAAAAGAAGACAAGAAAAAGTTCAAAGTTCTATTGGTCTAAAGGCTACAACAATAGGGATTTATGTTTAGCAAACTTTAGTGACCAAAAAAAGTATTTTAATTTACCTGATTTCCATATTACTGTACAGAAAACTGTCGATATGGTGCTGATCTAGGAAAGCCATTAGCAACATCTTTGCTCAGTGTTCTTGGTAGTTGTGGGAGTGTAAGAATATCCTTCTCAGAGAGGACGCCACAAAAGGTATGGTGAAAAAAACGAAATTTCTTAAGGGAGTATCATTAAGGAATTTTTTTCCATCTCCGACACACTTTTCTTCCCCGTATTTTGCTTTTAAACAGGTGTCCAATATTATAGTGAAAGAACTTGGGAATAATCCAAAAGTTTATATTTGGGACGGGCAAGGTAAATATTTATTCTGGTTTAGATTAGATTAAATTATTTAACGGATAGAAAGTGGTTAATCCCTGAAAGTAGCACCATTTTCAGAACCTAACCCACATATTGGGCATCTAGCTTGGGCCGATGCATTTGTTGTCACAGCAAATTCAGTTAGCATGATAAGTGAAGCTTGCAGCACTGGGTATGTCTGTCAAAAATATTTCTACTATTCGATTTTTTCCCCCCTTGATCCCTAATGATTTTACTGAAAATTTATTTTTTTTAGAGACCGCTGTTCCCTATTGATTTGTAACTAGTCTCGCATTGTTTGATAAGACTTGGTTGTTAATGTTATCTGAAGCCCACTCTTACTGTTATTGTTATTTCTGATATTTGTTTGTAAGCCATCAATTTTGTTCCTCCCACAGAAAGCCTGTGTATATTATGGGAGCTGAGCGTTGCAGATGGAAGTTCACAGAATTCCACAAATCGTTGAGAGAACGGGGAGTTGTTAGGCCTTTTACAGGGTCTGAGGATGTAAGTTGGAATTCTACCTACTCGTAAAATATGTGTATTAAAATTAATATGTGGAAGGACATTTGTCTTGAAATGTTATATCTTCCGGTGTCAAATATCCATGTTTTAATGGGTACACGTTTCCTTAAATTGTCAGATATCAGAAAATTGGAGCTACCCACCCCTTAATGACACTGCCGATGCAGCAAAACGGGTTCATGAAGCGCTTGCTGCCCGAGGATGGAAACTGAAGATATAGAACTTAAGTCTTGGTTCACATAATGCTCAATTTTTGTTTATATATTTCCTAAAGGCCGTAACCATTTGTTGTTTAGAAGACAGTTGCCCAAGTATCATATTTCTTTGATTGCATAGCACGAATAGGAAACACAGATTATATGTTTATCATTCTTTCTACCATAGCAATTTTCAAAGATGAAGTGTAATATAAGGTTAGCTGTAAACTGGGAAGAGAGTTTTGGCATTTTTGCGCCGAATGGCACATTTAAATAAATGAGATGAAAAAATGTTTCTGCTATAAACAAAATGCACTGTTTTTTTTATCCTTCTGCTTGTCATCTGCTGCTCCTTTCTTTTACGATCCTTTTATCTTGGAGACGTCCGTTTAATGATACAATACGATACAAATACAATTTGTATTAACTTACATTTTCATTTTGAATTACGCTATGCTAAAACTTGTAGTGTCTTGCACATGAAAATATAATATATTTATGATAAGAGGAATTATAAAAATCTATCTTATGATAAGGGGAATTATAAAAATCTATCATAGTGCTGATAACTAACTAATAACTCAATTTGCGTTTTATCAATCCCTTCAGACGTACTTAATTTTATAGTATTTGTTTTTGTCTGAATCCTGCTCATATTATTTAATCCGTATTGCGCTAATTATCCACCCCCTGCGCCAAATTGAAATGTATGATATGCAATTAAATAAATAATTCATAACCATCGTTCCTCAGTTTAGTTGGAGATTTTGGTACACTTGGGGTAGGAAGGAACCTAACAGAATCAAGAGAAAATGTTTTTGGTACGATGTGGAGCAAGTGAATTCTTAACAACTCCTTCATTACAAAACTTATCTGAAATAAACTTGGCAGAAATATAGAGCATCTTCACTTACCAACCCCTTTAACTGAATGGCTCAACCTTCTTAATGCATCTATATATTGGCAAGTGAGAGCTTCAACTTTACATACGACCAAAAAGCTTTCTCCATATCCTTCAAAAGAGCACCTGCAATATCAGATTCAGATGGACTCAGTGAAAGAGGGTGTGGTATTAGCAGCAACTAGCCCAGAATCCAAGAGGACCAGGAGCAATGGCAAAGGAAAAGCCACTGCTGATGCTGCTCCACCTTCTGCAACTGTAGTTTCCACAAAAGCTACCCCACTACCAAGAGGTGGTTGGAAAAAGGGTGTTGCAATCCTAGATTTCATCTTGAGGCTTGGTGCTATTGGTTCTACTCTAGGTGCTGCTGCCATCATGGGAAACAATGAACAGATACTTCCATTCTTCACACAGTTTCTTCAGTTTCATGCTCAATGGGATGATTTTCCAATGTTCAAGTAAGTTTATGTTCCATAAAGATGATGCCAATTTTGGATATCAGAAAACATTTTCTCTTCCTTAGTTTAAGTGCAAATCCTGTCGCTCTATATTTCCTAATGGGAATCATGACTTGTGGTCAATTTCATTAATTCAATACTAACACACACATAAACGAGCTCACAAACTGTTAGATTACTCAATAGATTCAAATATCATCTTTTTACATGCAGGTTTTTTGTGATAGCAAATGGAGCTGCATGTGGATTCCTGATCCTATCCTTGCCATTCTCAATTGTCTGCATTGTCAGGCCTTTTGCAGTGGGGCCAAGGCTTCTACTTGTGATCTTAGACATAGTAAGCTTGAACTCAATAAGTAAAAACAAAGCAATGATCAATATATTTTGTTCAGTAATTGACTACAATTATTTTGCAGGTGATGATGGCTTTAGTAATGGCAGCTGCTTCATCTGCTGCTGCTGTTGTGTACTTAGCTCATAATGGAAGCCAAGATGCAAATTGGGTTGCCATTTGTCAGCAGTTCAGTAACTTCTGTCAGGTTACAAGCGAGGCTGTGGTGTTTTCTTTTGTTGCAGCGGTTTTCTTAATTTGCATGATAGTGGTGTCCTCTGTGGCTCTCAAAAGGAGTTGAATGGCAATGGTGGTGATTTATAGAAGTTCCTTGCTCTCATATAATTGTTGTAAACTTGTTTGAGTTTGAGGTGTAACTGATGTTTATTACATTGAAATGAAATATCATGTCAAAGGTTTGTGGTTTTAACAAACTCTACATTGCAAAAAAGACAATCTTTTTTTACCACAAATTCATTTCTCCTTTTATTTTGGAGAGGCTGCTTTAGATTTTCATTATTCAACATGGGCCTTGGCAATCCCCGCCAAAAATATTTTACAAAAGAGTTGGGCTTCTTCGGGAGATTCATTATTTGGATTTGTAGAAGCCAACGTAGCAGCTTCATATTTCGAATTGGAGAGAGTAGTTTAATTTTTTATTAGAATTTTAAAATCGTGGTTAGATAAACTAAAATAACAAGATGTTAAATAAAAAAACCCGTAATATTTAATAAAAAATAAATGAAAGAGACTATTTTATAAAAAATATTTTTTATATATATAATTTTAAAAAGATTAAAAACTAAGAGATGAAAATACGCAAAGCTTTTACGGAAATTTTTTTTCAATTAAAGGTAGAATATTAGGGACAATACTTACTAGGTAGACAAGACACGTGTCAAAAACAAGACATGCGAGGTGGAATGCATCTTGTTGAAGCGGTTAGTTGAGTTCTACCGTTTTCTTATCGCCCACGGAATCAAAATCTTCACGGATTCAGCTTTTAGCTATTTTGCTCCTATTTTTCATTTCTTTTTATCAAATTTAATAATTAATTCCACAAAAATTTCTCTTTTTTATTATAAAAAAATTGTACGATGTATTTTACACATACAATTATTATTTTTTAATTATATTGTCTCGTTTGGTTTCTTATTTTTCTTTCGTTATGTTATATTATCATGTTATTAATGAACACGATGATAGGATTATTTTTTTAAATAATAAATTTTTCTCCTATCTGTCCGAAGTAATTCTTTAATTTAGACTTGTTACATTTTATTAATATTTATTAATCAAAGAAATTACAAATATAACAACTACAGAGCGATAGTTGTTTTTGTTTTCTTAAAGTGATCAAAGCCTAGAAATTAAAAAAATCACTGATATTTTTCCTGTATATAATTTTTTTAAGATCATAATAAAAGTTGGGATCATTTTTTTTTCTTTCAGGTAAATTATTATATGTCACGTTTGTAATATTTCTAAGTAAGAATCGTGACAATTAAAGCAACATTGTTACAAAAGTAAGGTAAATTTAAATGTTTTTAAAAATAAATTATAATAAGAGACAATATTTTAATTTTTTGTGTGTGTATTACTATTTAATTTTTAGATAAAGAAAAGTGATTGAAATTGATATAATATTTCTCGATAAAACTATTTTTTATACAGAAGATGAGAAATTGCACCGAAATGGGGAATTAAAAGACTTAGCTAATTCCTAATTTTGTTGGGCTTTATTGTTTCTTAAAACCCTAATTAGTTAATGATAAATTGATGATAATAATAATAGATGTTAATGGATTAGTTATAAGGTTGTTTGGGTCATTTGGTAAGGTTTACCTTTGGGAGGAAGCTGTGTCCGATCGACTCAACCTCGTTCACCTGCATTCGTTGCGTTAATCTCTGTATCCTCAAATTCAGGTTTGATAGAAAGAGACCCTAACCCCCAAATTTCTAGGGTTCCATAACGCAATTATGTCTCAGAACGGGAAGCTGATGCCGAATCTGGACCAACACACCACTAAGCTTCTCAACCTCACTGTTCTCCAACGAATCGACCCTTTCGTTGAGGAAATTCTCATCACTGCCGCACACGTCACCTTCTACGAGTTCAACATCGACCTCAGTCAATGGGTTTGCTCTTTCTTCCTTTTTCTTTTTCTTCTTTTCATTCTCCCACTCTCTCTCTCTCTCTCTCTCAACGCTTTATCTTTGCAGAGCCGCAAGGACGTTGAAGGATCTCTCTTCGTCGTTAAGAGGTATTTTGCTTCTTCTTTCCTATTAGATGGTTATTCTCAACTGAGGTTAATTCTGGTTTTCGTTTAATTTCAGGAACACACAACCGCGATTTCAGTTTATTGTGATGAACCGTCGCAATACTGGTTAGTGACCCTGTCTACTTATGTTTGTTGTAATCGTTTAAGTTGAAATTTGGAAAATTTATGCTGTTTACTGTAAAATTTGGTGTGAAAACCAATTGATTTCCAATAATAGTATGAATCTATGTGTAGTCCATTAGACTCTGTTTGTAAACTAGTCTATGGGCAGTTAGAAGGAAACTCTTTTGACGAGCTGGCTACACAGAGTTGGACGCTATGACTTGATTTAATATCGCTATCTCCCATTTACTTGAAAGTGCTCAAATTTTTGTGTTGATTGTTGTAAATTTACTAGTCTGAAAACTGGTTTTTGAATCAGATTCTTGTTTTGTACTATGTAAAATATGTTAGCTATTCCTCTATATTTGCTTGTGCCTTGTATGTGGTAATAATACGGTTTTAGTTAGTAGGTTTCCTTTTATCTTAAAGTTATAGGTTTGGGGCTTGTTATCAGCATTCCACGGTAAGCATCTTGAACTCAATATTGTGAGTATTGGTAATTAGTAAATGTGTGAACTGTAAATGCCTTTAAGCCCTGTAGATATTGTATTGCTACTTGATGTGATGGTGAAGTGCCTAATGTTCATGCGTGTAACTTGCATTTTGCTGCTTTGCATGTTGGTATAAGCAGAAAATTTGGTGGAAAATCTCTTGGGGGATTTTGAGTATGAAGTTCAGGTTCCATATCTACTATATAGAAATGCTGCTCAAGAAGTGAATGGAATCTGGTTCTATAATGCACGTGAATGTGAAGAGGTTGCTAATCTTTTTAGCAGGTATTGTTCTATCTATGTTTGAATTATGGATAATGGAATTGCTATTTGTCTCACATGAATAGAGTTTTATTTTTTATTTTTTTCATAATGCTAAATTATTAAATTTTGGAGAAAAATTTTGTCATTAGTAGTGTCTCTGAATAATTAAGGGAGCATTGTGCATGTTTGGATTAGTTTAATTGGTGGTTAAGACAGCTTATAATCATTATCTTCATGAGAGTTTTTGAAAAAGGGAAAAAGTTTTTTGTAAAGTTTAAGCAAATCCAAATTCCAAACATGCTTTCTAGTTTGTTCTTTTGAGACTTGATGGGTTTAAAATTTATGGTTTTGAAATTACTGGATAAAAGTTGATCTGGGAAAAACTACCTTGAGGTAAAGAGTAATTTACCTATCCTTTTGAAGGTGAAGCAGTCATGTACCGATTAGGTTTTGAATGAGTCAGCTCTCCCCTTGTCTGTTCCTGATGGATGTTTAGTGCAAATTAAGTGTTCCTGACCAAAGTATGGTGTGCGCTTTGGATGATGATCAAATTCAAATTTTGAGCATTAGTTGAAGGAATCATGAAATTAGCTGATGATATACCATAGATAACATATAAGCTGTGTGCAATAATTAGCTTTAGTTTGTTTCATAATTTGCTTTGCGTGTCAAATCTTTTCCATATTACCATGAATTGTAGTTGTATTTAAATTATAGTCTTTTAACATGTTCCTATGTACTGAGACTTAGTGTCCCCCACAAGAAAATGGAAAAACACGCATTAAATGATATTGATACCTCATTATGTAGATGTGTATGAGAAACAGTAGATGTTACCTGTAACCTGTGGATAAAAAAGGTAGTAGAGAAAGAAAGATAAAAAATATTTTGAAAAGTATATGTTTCTCTTCTATTATTTTTATTGTAGAAAAGTTATACAAGTTTGTTGTTGATAGCTTTAGTTTTTTATGTTGTCATTCAAATCTAGACTTGTTTTGAAATTGTGAATGAAAAAAAAAAAAACCTTTAATGTCTCCATATCATGGATGTATATTTGGCTAATTTTCAGGATCCTTAATGCATATGCCAAAGTGCCTCCAAAATCAAAGGTTTCTTCTACAAAAAGGTAACAATATTTACCTGGTTAATTGAATTTGTGCCAGCATCTACTTGCTCCTCCATGAATGGTGAAACTGCTTTAATCAATGATATCCTTTTTTTAAAAAAATAAATTCTAATCTGTTCAACTTCTTTTACATACTCATATCCATGCTCCTTATGAAGGCCAGGGATTTGATATGATCTTGATGGATGGGTTTTCTATTTGTCTCTAGCATTTCTGTTGCATGCTCTATCTTTATCTTGTGTGCTTCTGCTTCCATGTGCTCCCACCTTTCTTTCCAAAATACTATCATGGATGTTTCCTTCCCTTTTTTAATTGAGATCACCACTTTTAGCTATTTGGAACCCAGATTTTGCTGAGAGCAACTCCTGTATTACTAGTTTACTGTTTGAATTTATGTCCGGGAATGATATGTATCTCTTTACTTTCATGTGGATATATAATGACTATGCAGCTTACAACTGGTTCATATAATTATACAATTATATTATTGTTTTGGTTGGGATTTAAGAAAAGGGGATAAATTTTTCGATTTGCCTATTCTTGTTTCATTTGTATAAATTGTTGTTGAACAGGATTATGTTTTTGCCTTCTCTCTGATATTCTAGCGATGCCTATTTCAAGGGCATTCTCATCTTTGATGCAGAATATGGGTAGCCTTGCTGCTTTCTTAGTTCTATTCTTTTTCTTTTTTTCTTTTTTAGGATTTGAAGAATGTTTTACCATCCTCATTGTACTATTCTCGTTTTCTCTCTAGAAAGAGTTATTTTTTCTTCGATGTCAACAAGTGATTATTATATACTTGCAGCTTAGCTAGCATAACTTAGACATTACTCATTTATTTTTGCACATTGTTTACTTTGAATTTGAGTAACAGTTCTGCTCACATTTATTGCAGTGAGTTTGAGGAACTAGAAGCAGTACCAACTATGGCAGTTATGGATGGTCCTCTTGAGCCATCATCATCTGCTACTTCCAATGTGGCTGATGTTCCTGATGATCCATCCTTTGTAAATTTCTTCAGTGTATGTTCCATAGTGAATAACTTTATTTTCTTATATCTTGTTATTGCAATCATTTTATACATTCTTGCACAAATAATATGATGTGATCACACTTGCACAGTGGAGAGGGATAATTTCTTGTATGCTTAGCTTTGTTGTGTCTTTTGGTTACTGGTACTTGGGTGCTTTTCCTTTTTTAATTATGTAACACTTTGATATAGAATAGTTTGAGCTATATCCTAGTAGTCTTTTCTGCTGATTTCTAGTGGAGAACACAGGAACTGAATTTTATTTCCAGGGGCATACTGGATAAAACTATAATAGGACTTATTCCGTCTAATATTTTGAATTCTTCTTCCACTGCATGTTCCAATTTTAGTAATTCAGACACTACTAGAGACACCCATTTTTTTCATCTATCTATTGAATTCAAACTTCATTTGGTTGTCCATTTTTCCAGCATTTTCTTTGCTAGGCTAGTTTAGACAAAATTTCTAACCTGTAGGACCCATCATAGGATGTCTGGCGCTCCATTTGTGATCATTTATATCTAATATTAAACACATTGATATTACAAAGATCAATTTTCATGAGAAGTTAAATGTTTGACCCTTTGTAAGTTCTGAGGAGGTTGATTTTTCCTGATACTAATTATTGCAGTCAGCTGTGGCCATCGGGAGTACTTCAAATGCTCCAATTACTGGACAACCATATCAGTCTTCTGCTACAAATTCTTCATCTTCTGTGCCAACTCATGCTGCTACACCCACTGTGCCAACATTACAGATACCCTCTCTTTCAGCCTCTACTCCTCTAATACCCCCGTACGATGCTCCTGAATCCATCAGCAGCAGCAACCGAGCCGCAAAACTTGTGAAGCCTTCCTCTTTTTTTGTCCCTTCCCCTTCTTCAGCAATGATGATACCCCCCGTGTCTTCTTCATCTACACCTACTGCCCCTCCACTTCATCCTACTGTTAATGTGCAACGCCCTTATGGTACTCCACTGCTGCAGCCATTTCCCCCTCCAACTCCACCACCATCACTTACTCCTGCTCCTTCTCCCCTTCCAAACCATGGTTTAGTTATTTCAAGAGAAAAGGTCCGAGATGCTCTTCTGGTGCTAGTTCAGGTTGGTTTACTTGCTTACTACTTGTATATGATTTCTGAGTGTTGAATTCAATAATCCTAAATGACTGTTAGGGAATGGAAAATTTTGCTAGATCTTGTCATATTCTATTCCCTTTAGGAAACATACCATCATTATCATTGCTGTGGTTATTGTTATTATTACTACTTTTTGTCCTCTCATTTTCTATTATTGTCTTTGTTTTTTGGCTGTCTTGTAGGACAATCAATTCATTGATATGGTCTATAGAGTGCTGCTGAATACTCATCAATCATGACTTCCCACAGGTGTTTAATTATCAACTCGCAGGATGAATTGTTTTTTTGGGATGAATACGTTTGCTATAATTTTTAGGCCAGGCTTTAATCATGTCAGCAACTTTAAAATGTTTCAGTCAATTTCAATTTGTAAAATTGGTTGTGCTTTGTGATGACCATTTTGATCTAGCTAGTTTCCTGTATGTCACTGGTTTTTAAAACAAGACATTGTGATTTAAATGCCATATCAACTGTATTAGTGGCATGACATGGCAGGAAATGATGAGAGGTCTGGATGAATGGTTAGAGCAACTCGGAACTGATATTACAAATTATGGCGATCGATTGAAACAAATCTCCAAATTATAAGGAGTGGAAAGGTTGTTATTGAGCCTTGTTTATTGTGTATTTTATTATATTGTTATATTTCAAGAAGACTCTGTATAGCACCATTGGTCAGTGTTTCAAAGAAAATGGACTGTGCTACATAATGCAAGTATATAATCAGCCCTATTTTTTGACGAATTACACAGTAGGTAAAAATCATTCTTTTGATGAAAAATCGGTACCTGTTTCCACACTCTGATATTGCAATAATTGTACCTCTATCTACCAGATAGTACTCAGTCACTTGAAAATGAATTTACTTTATCACTTTCATTCGTTTAGGTAGAAAAATTTTAACTCGTGTTTTTCATATGATTTAATACTGCAAGCTTAAGCAGTTCGCAATGTGTGTTATATAATACAGTGCACCAAACGAATTTGTACTTCAAATATCTGGAATGTAGGGTCGACTACATTGTTCAGACAGGTATTTTTGGGTTAGTCACCACATCGCAACTTCTATCGACTTGCAGCAGTATTATTTGCTCTCTCACCAAACATGCAAGCATGTATAGTCTGTTGTGGATCAAACTGTAATCCAAACAGGGCCTGGCTCACTTGAGCCATCCCCGTTTCTGTAAATACAAGCTTCAAACACTTCATTGTCTCTATAAACTTGTACTAGAACGGCAGCCTTGTAGACAAACATCCCAGATATGGCCCGCACAATCTGGAGTGAACAAGAGACGGTAACAAAAAACGAGCAGTGTGTTTCATTGGAGCTGAATAATAAAGCTGTGGTTCAAGCAAAATAATTATAATGCACATGCTGCTTCCAAGTGTTACCTGAAAATCAAAGAAACTGTTGGTGAAATGCTGATGAGACAGAATCCGTAGTCCAAAAATAGTTGATGGATTCACAAGCCTAGGAGATGTAAGTGACATGCTGCAACCCATGATCGACAGCGCCAATAAATCTTGAAGGTCCTCACTTCTTGTACCAATTCTGGTTAAGAAAAATTGTTTATTAATTAAAACAAAGGGTAAACAAATACCAACAACAGAATTGGCTTGCAAAGCAGAAGATTTCAATTGTACTCCTTTTAGTTTTTTCTGGTGAGTATTTGAGGAACGGTTTCACTGGATAGGTTGTCTGCATGCTGATACAAGAGCTGAAGGTACAAACAGCTACATAGGAAAATGATATCTTAATTAAATTTAAAACAAGATTATTAAAGCAAAATAAATAAATTCTTTTCATTATTGAAGAAGGGGTGGAGAAGTAGACTTAATTCCAAGAGGCAATATAGGAGCATCTATTATTAGGGTTTGGATTCTTTCTCGGATGGGATATAGTAGGAGAGAGAAAGACGTATCATTTTGTGATCTTTCTCTTATTTACTGCACCATCTAGTAATTGGAAAAGAGTTTTATATATAAATATATAAATAAATAAATAAATAAATAAATATATATATATATATATTTTAAGATAATTTTATTAATCTCAATATTTAAGCCTGAGTTTAAGTATCCATAAATAAAAAAAATTTATAAAAAAAATACATAATTATTATATTAAAATTATAAAAATATAATACATAATTATTATATTAAATTATAAAAATATAATAAATATTTCTCTTTCTCTTAAAATTTTATTATTATTAGCCGCTTATTTTCCGTAGAAGTTAACATTAAGGAAACTCATATACATATATTTTTATACTCTTTGCTTCTCAGAAAACATATAACATATCTTAAAATTTCGGATAAAAACAATCTAACTCCTTGCAAGTGATATTTGCAAAGTTTAATTATGATGAACCAAATTCAAATCCAGTGAATCAGTAAGGTCAGTAGCGACCATGTAAGCTTATCAACCATTAGCAAATCATTTGCAAGTCAAACCTGAAAATGACTCCAATCGCGTAACTTTTAACAGCCTGCACATTCAAAAGACAGGTAATTAAGCACACACCGTAGGACTCAAGAGGGATCATAACGGAATTAGTTTGATAATTAATTAGGATAGCTAGATAATTTAGACCACTTTGGATCAGCTTCACCCTATAAAAGCTTTTCAATTGAAATAAGCATTTGATTCCTAGCTTACAAAAAAAGTTCCTATAAGTTTATAGATGCTTACCAAGAAATTACGTAAGAGATATAAGTTGATTTTAACTTTAGCAAAAAGTTAGATTTTTTTTTTATATTCTTCTCTTAAAAATGCTTGTTGAGAATTTTATCCAAACAAACTTCGTTAGACTTTGTTTTTCGAACAGGAAAGTGTGCAAAGCAAGAAAGGAAAAGTGCACTGTACCTGCATAAAGCATTGACAACGTTATCAAACAATATCAACTACAAGCCACTCCAATACCCACAGATACGAGCAGTATTTCCCTCTTGAACTACAATAATAATAATAATAAACAATGAAAAAAAAAAAACAGCAACTAAACAACAACTGAACAACCATAATAGGTTCCTGAGCTAACAACGAACCTACTGAGTTTCAAGATTTACACATTCATACTTGAGAATGTTCAGTGTCTTCTGTCTTGCACTGCTATCCTGCAACACCTGTTAATATATGAAAGCAAGCATCAAATAGTATTATGATTTGCAAGAGATCCTCGTCTACATCACTCACTAATAATAAGAGTTTCAAACAGTCTTTTGTAGCAAGAAGGATATAGAATAACATACAAAAGAGGTTTGCTGATGGAAATAAACAATGGTAACAAAACAATTACTTAAATAAATTATTAAACTTGAGCTTTTTAACACCTTGAATATATTATAAGGTAAGGCCCTTATATCTCATTGAAACCAAACAAGGGAGAATGAAGAGAGGTGGTAACCTGAAGGGGAAGAAGGAGCTACTCTTGAGACATTAACGGGTAAAGGAGATAATAATGTAGAAGGTGAAGGTTGTAAGAAGCATGGAGGAATCTAATCCTTGAAAGGGTATCCATAATATGGAACTGTATAAGCTCCTTTGTCCAATTGTTCATCACAGTGCCAGCAAAGATTCAGTTTAGTTTTGCAAGGGAAGCCAAAGTATCTGACTGAGCAAAACACTTTAGCAGATTAGTGTGTCAACTTATTTGTCACTTGTCAATTAGGAAACCAACGTTACCTGGACAAGTTCTTTTAAAACATTCTCAGCCTTTGACTGATTGTAATTACTAAAAAAGATTTTGAATAAAACTTTATGACATTAAAAATATAGAAGTTTAATAAATACATATTTTGATAAAAATATTTTTTATTTATTTAAAAATAACTATGAAATTATATATAAAAAATTAACTTTGATATCAAGATTTTAATCTTTTTTATTACATAGATATTTTTTTATATCACATGTATTTTTTTATTAAAAATAATCATATTTAAGTTGTTAATATTAATATAGATTTTATTTAAATAATTTAATATGAATATGTTTATTAAAACCCAAATTAAATATCAGATATTAAATTGAAATAACTTTCTACTCATTAATCTACATGTTCGATAATTTTGTAATGACTATTTTTTTAAAAAAGAAAACATAATTTTAATTATAAGGCATTTTAAATATAAAATAAGTTAATTCAGTAAATTATTTTATTTTTAAATTCAATTTTATATAATAATACTTCTATTTGAGAATAATTTAACTTTTTTATTATGTTAAAATAATATATTTCCCTAATCATTTATTTTAAAACTATTTTAATGTGTTTTTAGTTGAAAATTTGGACTGACATATAACACATGTTTAGTAATATTTTGTAACCGATATAGTATTTTAAAACAATAAAATAATGCTAGTTTTAAATATTTTTTTATTTTTAATTGCAAATAAAAGATGATGATATAAGAAATTAGGGTTTATTGTTTTTTCTTTTTAAATATAATTTTAAAAAATAATTTTCAATTTTAATTTTTAAAATTGAAAAACAAAATTACTATTAAAGTGTTGTTTTTCTTAAAATTAATGAAAATTCAATTAAAAACATTTTTAAAAACTAAATTATTTAACAAATTTTATTTTTGTTTTTTTTTCCTAAGAATAATTTTGTAAAATTATTTTAAAATATAATTTTTAAAAAGTAACAATCAAAATTGAATCAACCAAGTTCTATTAATTTAACACTCATCTTTCTCATCGTTTTCAACATAAAGAAAAGTGAGAACGAGTTGGGATTAAATTATTAATCGAAAACGATTTAAATAACAATTTTTTTTGTGAAATTATTCAATAAAGAATAAAAGATTAAAATTCAGTTTTTTTTTTTTTTAAAGATAAACAAAAAGAGTAGAAAAGGTAGGGTTTTTTTATGCTTCAGAAGAAATATATAGGTTAGAAGTAACCATAGGAATTGATGGTTGAAGGAGTGAGGTGAGAAGACAAAGACAATGACTCGGCTGAGCTCAGAGCAGGTTTTGAAAGAACACAGTAACGGCGATTCGAGTACCGTTATCAGTCTTCAACTCACTCACAAAGCCCTTTCTGATGTGGGTTTCAATGTTTCATACCCTTTTGTTTTCTCTACCCAATACAAGTTCTAATCACCAAAAATATTAACTTTGGAAATAACCCAGGTATCATGCTTGGCCAGCTTCAAAAATTTGGAAAAGCTTGATCTTAAGCTCAACAATCTCACTTCGCTTCAGGTACCTTTTTTTTTTCTTTTTTTTTTTTTGTAGACAAAAGAAGATTATTGGTGTTTCTGATTGATTTGTTGTAATGTTACACTAGGGGTTGAGCTCATGTGTTAATCTGAAGTGGTTATCTGTTGTTGAAAACAAATTAGAAAGCTTGGAAGGAGTTCAAGGACTTACTAAGCTCACTGTAAGTTGTTGCTTGCTTTGTCTATATAGGTTAAGTACTGGGTTTTGTTTTGTTATGTTTTAGTTTAGCTGTTAATCCTATGTATATGAAGTTTATTTTTTAGTGGATTAGTTTGTAGTAAATTTTATTGGCAGCTTGAACTGTGTATCTGTTGTTAGATATCTTGATTCTCTGTAGAACTAGGTTGTTCAAATTGTATTGGGTAAACAATGCTCTATGATTAAGGAGCTCTTCTTATCTTGAGATAGATATGATTATAACCCCAACTACCGCTCCATGGTATTTGTTCATTGATCATCACCCCCCTCCGCATTACTTGGTTTTAGTTCATGTTTTTCTTATATATTTGTTACATTTTCACTGTAAATATAGAGGATTTCCAAAGCTCAACTCAAATATCTAATTTTTTTAGATTAAATTTGCAAGAAATCTTTTATTTCACTGGGAATGCCAATTGTTTAATCATGTATATTATTCTTAGAATCTGATTGCTATCATTAAAGCTTTTAGAATGAGTGGCATTTTGCTGAGTGAAATAAGGATTCTTCTGTCTTTTTTTTAATGTACTTTTTTGTTTGCCCATGCATATCTTCAGAACTATGAACTTATTTCTTGTCAAATAATCTGCCTTAGTTTAATCCTTCTGACACAATTCAATGATTTGCATGAGGAATTAGGACTCACTTTTATATGTATATGTGAACCAGGTGCTAAATGCAGGCAAAAATAAGCTTAAATCTATTGATCAGGTTGGATCACTTGTAAGCCTCCGAGCTCTGATTTTAAATGGTGAGACTTCTTACATGATTGATCACCCGCTAACCATTTATATTTTGTAGAATTGAAAGAACAATGTGAAAAGTATTGGCACTGGATCTTTCTATTTATTTATATCTTCCTCTTTTCTACACCCTTACTTTTCTTTCGGGTTTTAGCAGAGAATGAGATTTCCTCCATTTGCAAACTTGACCAGATCAAAGACTTGAACACTCTTGGTATGACTAATTATAGCTTGTATTTTATTTATATCTTGTATTTTATTGTTCATTTAATATCTTGACTGTCAAGAATAGATTAGTTCACTGCTCCTCACACGCTCCTTCTCAATTTGTATTTATAGACACCAATACTTTTCTACTTATTGTTGTTTTACTCTATGTACAAAAAGAAGTGTACACAAATGTTCCAGAAAACTTGAATTATCTCCAAATACTTTAATTTTCTGCAGTTCTATCCAAAAATCCTATCCGTAAAATTGGTGAGGCCCTAAAGAAGGTGAAATCTATCACTAAGGTAATTGATGTACCAAGATGTTGAGCTCCTATGGTGCTTATTTTAATATTTTATTCCTATTGCTCATTAAATACCTCTCCTTGTTCCAGCTTTCCCTCTCTTATTGCCAACTTCAGGGTATTGACACTTCCCTCAAGTCTTGTGTGGAGTTGAATGAGCTCCGCCTTGCTCACAATGAGATTAAGGTGTGATTTAAAGATGTGGTTTTCCTTTTTGATTCCACATCTGCTGACAATTTTTCATTGGATCCATATGCTGCATTCATATTTGTTTCATGACTTTATGGCTTAAGAATTTTTTCTTTTATATTGCTTACTACATCTTACTAACTTTTGGATTTCAGTCTCTCCCAGATGAATTAATGCACAATTCAAAGCTTCGAAATTTGGATTTGGGTAATAATGTGATCACAAGGTGGTCAGAACTAAAGGTTTGGCATTCATACCTGTAGTTCACTTTTCCCAACATTTAATAATTCTGTATAACTCTCTTTACCATGTATTTTTAAAATTTTATCATGTTTTGCAACTGTAGGTGCTCAAATTGCTCACAAATCTGAGAAATCTTAATCTACAGGGAAATCCTGTTGCCACCGTTGATAAAATTACTAGAAAGGTGATCCCACCCCCTTGTGTTTTTGTTTCATATGTTAGTTCACACCTAATTCTTAAATTCCATCCTTATACTACCATGGGTGCAATGTTACAGATTAAGAAAGCACTGCCAAAACTACAGATATTTAATGCTAGACCAGTAGATAAAGATACCGAGGCTAGGAAAGGCAGCATAGTTGCTGGTGGTCGTGATTCTTCATTATATCAGGCAGGTCAAAATTTGAAAGATAGCACCAAAGAAAAGAAGAATGCAGGATTTCATACAGCAGATCAAAATGGGGACGATCATCTTGATGATCTTGACTCAAGTAGAAAATCAAGTAAGAAAAGGAAGAAAACTGTTGATGAATCCGAGAAGGAAGTTAGGGTCCTTGATGAGGAAAATAAAGGTAATAAAGGTCATAAAAAAGATAGGGCAGGTAGAAAGAAAGACAGTCATATAGTTACTGTTGATCCTGACATGGAGAATAGATCAACTATAAAAAAGCTAAAAAAGGAGAAGCCCTTGGACAAGGGTTTTGCTCTTGAAGAGAATGTTACAGTTGAGAAGAAACTGAAGAAGCAACAGAAGAATGAGGAGGAACAAAGTGAGCTCGATGTTATTGATGATGCAGAAGCTTCATTTATGGAGCTTTTTAAAATCAATGATGCAGAAAATGTGAATCATGATGGTGAAATGAAAGTACAGGAAAAAGTGCCTAAGAGTAGCACAGCAACATCATTTGCCAGGCGCAAGAATGCTAAAATGCAGAATATAGAGTCTCTATTCCCAGTAGAAGACATTGGAATGGGAGGGCCATCAACATGGGGTGATGAGTGATAATATCTGGAGACATGCTAATGTTTCAAACCTTAACTAATGTAAAATGCGGTTAGTAATTGTTTTACCTTTCAAAGGGATCTCCATTGATTTGCTTTGTTGCATTCCAGTTTGATTTTGATGCTTTCAGATTTTAGAAATTTGTCATGTTTCGCGTAGTAATTATTTTACTACGAACAGAAAAATCTAGTTAGTGTCTTTGTGAGACATAATTAGCAAAAAAAGAGAAATTTAGTATTCCCCTCTTCGTCCAAAACAGTTAGTGGTTAATCCTGGAAAATGTAACATGGTACCGGCTTATGAACAGGGATGGCATTTATGAAAGTATGATCTATTGTATAGTTAAAACAGATAATTAAAAGATTTATCTGTTTACCCAATGTTTTAAATTTATTGATAATAAAAATAATAATAATAAATTTTTATGAGAAACTATTAGGATAATCTAAAAATTAGAATGGAAGTGATTGATATTTTAAATAAAAAAAGTTTTATTCTTTAATCAATATCTCCCTTCTTGCATTTGCCTTAAATATATTTTTGGTACATTAAGGTTGTAAAGTATCATTTAATGCATGTCTGGAAGTTTGTTTAAATGAAGAAACGTGCGATGAAATTCTCAACACTTGAGCTAATGCAAGTGCCACACGTCAAATTGTAAGAAGCCATGTCATTGCCAACAACACTCTTGAATTCCATACACGTATTCATCTTCTTCTGCAGGTCCTGCGTGTCGGCTTCTTAATTTCTTTCTTTTTATGCTTCATTCCGTGTTCCTTGTCCTTGTTAGTTAATGCAAAGGTCTCTAATAATGAAAATTTTTAAATTATAAGTGAGATTTGTGTAATTTTAATAATTTCTTTTCCTTCTGTTCAAACTTGTTTCCTAAGGCAAAAGTTAATTTGGTTTGAGGCAACCAAACATTATGTTTCACGTTAAAATGGCTTCCATTGTGAGTTTTCTTGCTTCCACTACCTATCCAAATATAAGTTAATTATTTTCAAGAAAATATTAATATAAATCTTTAAAAAATTTAAGTAGCTTAAGAGGATAAATTTTTATTAAAAAATTACTAATATCTAAATTCAGTCTTAAAAATAATATTAGTAAAGATTGATATTTATAAAATTAAAATAATTTAATGAATAGGTCATGTTACTTGGGGGCATGTCTCATTCATGTTTTAGCCTCTTTGAATTTTGTGATATTTATTTATTCAACGTTATTAAAAAATGTATAATTGTACCGGTTAATCATTGAATATTGAATATTGAATATTGAATATTGAATATTATTTAGCATGTCTTTCCGTTTAACTTTTGATAAACTTCAACAGAAACGCTACAAGACAATTTTTGAATTGTAATCTTTATCTACCAACTAAAACAAATTAGAGTTAGTTTAGTTCACTTAATATTGTCATTATCAACAAACATTCTTGCACAAGCATGTGCTTTCTAATAAGCCCCATTAGGCCACTGCAATTTTGTTTTAGGCTTACGTCCCTTCTTTTAACTAAAGATCAGTATATTTTATGGTAAAAAATTACCAAAATGAATGCAATTTCTTTATTTTTTTTCAACAGTAAGAAATCATTTTCTTTTAAGGTGAAATAATCATCCAAGTGTGTGCAATTCTTTTAATAAAGTATTTTTCATATATATGACCAGAAATCAAACTTCTGTCAATATGAACTCTCTTATTTATTAATTGTGTCCAACTTTATTAGTAAACATAATATCTTTAAAATAAATTAAGTATTTTTGGGTACGTAGACAAGCAAACTTTTATAAATTTCTTTTCAATAAACATCAATTTGTGGGGTTGCCGTATATAAACAATGTGTCGTCCTTTTTTATTGGTTAAATTTGTGTTTATATTATATACTAACTAACAATCAAGAATCCAGATGGGAATTGCGAGTCACACATATATCCATTTTAATAGCTAAAACAAGTACTTGACCACGCTGGAGCCAATTGGTTAAGACGTGTTTTCTTATTATATCACTTGCTTTCTCACTTGTCATGACAGCTACAGCTGGTGGCAACAAATTTATTGTAAAAAATTATCGTAGAAATCATTAAAAATTCTAACCTTCTTTCGGATGCAATGAATTGATGGAAAAAAATTGAAAAAGAAAATGTTATCTGTTTTAAGAGATAATTGTGATAAGAATAAATTAGTCACTTTAAGTAAAAAGTTTTCCATAGGTCTTCCTCATCTTTATTCTTTCCTCTTGTTCTTTTCATGTCATCCCAATTAGTGAAAATGCCTTTATTTACAGTGCTCTTTATCCTAATGTTATCTTTTTTTTAACACAAAATTTAACTTTAAAACATAATTTTTTTACATTATCAACTAATTGCAGATTGACATGTTACTAAAAGTTATCAATTTTATAATAATTGTATTTAAAACATCTAACAATAAAAAAAATTTATACTAAATTATTATAACAGTATATCAAAATTTAACTCTTGAACTAACTTCATACAAAATAATTTTTATAATTTTTTTAAACTGGATACATTTTCCACGATATGCGAGACTTCACTTAAATTAAATATGTATTATTTAACCAACTTTAATTGATAAGAAAAATTTATATGGCTGTTTTTAATTTATTAGAGTCAAAGACATAATAGATAAAATATTTATAATTTTTTTAATGTATCAAATAATACTTCAGATGCACTTTTGGTGCAACTTGCTTTGACGTCGCTATAAAGGTTGGAAGACGTTAGAACACAATACACCAAAGCAATTTGCTCGTAGCAGTTAATTACTAGTTGGATACTTTTCTTCTTGCTGGCTGATCGGGTTCATACCCGTTCGTCAACTGTTTGCAATTTGCACCCAATTTTGATTGTTGATTGTTCTTATCTAAACATGCCAAAATTTTCAATCCTTGATGAATATATACTCATTTCATGTCTTTCGGATAAACCATTTGTAGCAAGTGGTTCAAGTTGAGCGTACAAATTCACGGTTGCCTTGCCTTTTCTCGTGTATTCATACCCATCACTTTTCAAATTTAATGCTGCAAAAGAGACTTGGAACTAAACTGTTTAATTTGACTTACAAGCATTGACATTGTCTCAAAGGCGGCTTCTAATATCCTCTTCTTTTTTTTTTTAAAGTAAAGAAAAAAATCTTTTGTAAAAGTTATAATATATTATGAACCGTTAATTTTAATCGAATAGGTAAGAATGAATTATAGGATACCGATTATTTAAGTTAGATTTTTAAAAGGATACATTGGTAATTTCATACTTTTATTATTTTTTCTTGTTGTGTAGGTCTTCTTCTTCTTGCTCATGTTGTTATTTTAATTTTTCGCATCGCAACATAATTATGGAACTGGGGTGGAACTGGGTCGCATTATGTACCATTTAATTTTCTGATAAACGTGGAACTGTATCAGAATTATCTCTTCAGGCTTATATTTAACAATGATATGTTTTATTATAGTTGCACTTTTATCCTTCATCTGTGAAAGACATATATAATATTTGATAGTGTTTGTGGTAAAACGCAGACACATTATCTGCTATATCAACCTTTAAGATACAGATTGTAAATGGAATGATGGAAGTTATAAAATAATTCAATTTGAAATTGTAGGCAATATTACAGAAAGTTAAACATGAACATCAGTTTGTGCAATAACCCACATATAGAAGAATTGATATTTATTAGTCTGATATAAAGAATCTGTTTACCATTTTTGTTGTGAAAATGAAAGGGTAGAATATATACGTGAAAGAAATAGGAGTGAGATTTGCATCTGTTGTTATAAAACTAATATTATTAGGTGACGATCGTAATCAATTTGCATCAGTTTTGTGGTAACTACGTTTTAGATTATGTTGATGGACTGTATTTGCATCAGTTATATGAGCAAACTCATCTAGATATACGTGAAAGACTCCTTTTGCATCGGTTTTCTGGCAAGTCTGATGTCATCTGGCAACCATTTGTGTTGGCTGATGTGGCCACTTTTTACATCTGTTATATGACAGAACCCATATAAAAGGAATATTGCATCGGTCATCCAATTCAACCGATGTAGAAGTCACAACACTTGTGTTGGCTTGATGTGGCCACTTTTTACATTTGTTATATGACAGAACCCATATAGATAAGGAATATTACATCGGTCATCCAATTCAACCGATGTAGAAGTGATAACCCATTTTCAAATTTGAAATAATGGCATAACAGATGTCATTATCCAACCACCTTATACTTTACCCATATTTCAATGGCTTCCTTATAGATTTTCCCATCCACTTCCGCTGTGTTTAAATCATTCTCAGGTACACAGTAACTCGGGATGGGAAAGTTGTCTTATAGTTGCCTGTTCTGATTCTCGATTATAAGTAAGGCCGATTTCGCTACTTCATATGGCGCTGTTCACACGTCTTGGTGAAGAAGCTGTGATTGGTGCGGTTTTTGCTTCTTTCCATTCTCTTTTGTTTCAGAAAGAACTCTGAGTGAACAAGACACTATCTTTTCTCAAACTTAATTCGCAATAGCTATCAGTTCAAGCAGGCCGCATATTTTTATTCTAATGTCCATTGTCTCTTTTCTTCATGCTATCTGGCTATTCTATTTATACGTCTGTTGTCATGTCTCTTATTGACAATTACTTCTTTACTGTGTCGTGTTAACCATATCTACATCGACTGTATGTGGCGTATCATGTTAATCAAATTTTATGTACACAACTTGTCACATTTACGTTATTAACCCTCTTCATTCTGCTCACTATTCATTCATATCCGCATTTGTTTACCTTTTCAATATTTAATCTTAGCCATCCAATTTTAAAATGCAACAATCAACGGCTCACTTTCAATTATTAATCACTTATGCAAAAGTTATGCTTTCCAAAAAAATATACTTTTTACAAAAGAAGGGAGGATATTAGAATCCACCTGTCTCAAATATCACATGAATCTTTATTATACTGTGCTAAGCAACTGTGTGAACACTGAATCAAAAGTTATGTTTTGTTCAATAAGTATAACAATCGTGGTTCAATATACTAGTAGAGTTAACTCTTGTTAAAAAATACGTATCCAGTTGTATTCAAAATAGTTTTATGATTTTAATATGTATTCAAAACTTCATAAATGAAAAGAACTGGTATAAAATTGATATATAAAAAATGTATTTACTTACATCTTTTGGAGTAAGTAAATAAATTTGAACAAATTCATTTGTTGTTTGTGGATTTAACCCTATAAATGTTATCCAGTGTTTATTCTATATATTTTGCACAAATTAACTTTGAGAAACAATTTGAAATATAAAACTTATTCAATCATGCTAATGAGGGGTTGGTATACATGACCAAAGATCTAAAAGAAAGGGACAAGTTGAGTAGTTATTTGATAAAAAATACTTCTCCTAATCTCCAATTTGTTATTGGCACCCAATTTGCTAGGATTAGAGCTGTCACCTATTTTCTATTGTTTTTATTTACAAAAGAACATATATTGTCCTGTGCCGAAAAAATAATGCAAAAGTATTTTTTTATGAATAAATTTTCTGTCAACAATACAAGCCGTACTCACTCATATATCATGTCACCCACATCCGTAGAACTTTCTACGTTTAAAAAGAAAACAGTAATACAATAATTATATTTTTATACATTGTGCGTGTTATTGAACAGTATAATTGTTTACGTGGAATTTTTCGTGGACGATGACAGCGTTTGTTGACCTGTTAACTACAGTGATGATGCAAATCCTATGTAATCCTGTTGTTCATTGTTCATAGTTCAATGAACAAAAAGGGGTTGGATGATTTTGGTGTAGACAAACCAAGATTTGTGTCGATCAAATTAGCGAAAGTTAATTGCTGAATTGATACACAGTGGAACAGTGGTTGGTCAATTTGGATTTCTGATCCAAATACCAAACTGGATAAGACTCTTAAGTTGGAAACACGTAATGATACAATATTAAGGGGCGGCTAATTTGTATTGTTCTAAGTCTATTTTATTGCATTAGTTATTGAAAATGGAAAAGCTTCATTAATTGCTACTAATGAAATGAATTAGGCCGACCCAACAAAAGTTTAGTCATCGTATCTTACTTTTCATTGTACCACACCACAACCTCCGGCCTGTGCCGGGCACATTCACCACAACATCTTCAGAATTTACCAAACTTAGCAAATTCTGTGTATTGTGGTCAGATTGCAAACAGATGCATACCGGGCCTTCACAGTTGTAACATGTTTGCTTGTTTATATTTCCTATATTTTATTACATTCAATGTTGCATATACCAATTTTCTTTCTACTTGTCCTTCAAATTTTGGGTTATGTTAGACCGGTGGGGTGGACAACGTGGATTTTGAGTTTTGACCCCTCATTTTTCTTTTCCTGATTAAAATATTCAATCGGGTTAGTTTGTTTTACAAATTCATTCCTTGTGTTTAAATCTGTGGTCTTGATGAAGGTATACTAATGCAAAATCAACGCTCATAATGTGCACATGTTAGTATATATAACACATCACTGTCGTAAAAAGGTGTTAAAACATTGTTGAATAGGTTATTACGTACGCCTTCTCAAATTTTAAGTTTTTTAAAAGGGATGCATGATAAATTATTCCGATAAATGTCTCTCAATAAATGTTTAATAGTATTTTTTTTTTTATGCCTCTATGTCCAAATTAAAATTTAAAATAGATATGTTTATTGATTTTAATTAGTAATATTAGAATAATTAAAATAACCCTTTAAGTTAAATTTAGGTAAAAAAATTATTTTGACTTGGGTTGACATAATTAGTCGAAAAATTATGAAAAATTAAAATCTATAAATTGATTAACCAATTTATTCATTAATTGGCATATATATAATAGAGTAAAAGAACGTGCTTGTATGTGTATATGAATTTATTTATTGTTATTATTATTAGTAGTAGTAATAATTAGTATATAAGCACATTTCATAAGAAAATAAATAAATAAGGATAAACAAATTTCTTCTTGAAAATTAACAACGGCCACATCCTGTTTCTATTAGCTTGCCAGATCAAAACTATCAAGCTGGTAACTTGTTTCGTTTTTTTAAAAAAATCCTAACTGAACACCTACGGTGGTAGCTCATTTTTCGTTAAATAGTTGACTATTTTACAAGCTACCAAATTATCATGTCAAACACGCACTTAAATAATTCTCGTACTGTATATTTGAATTTTTACTCTTTAAATAAAAATATTTTTAAAAGATATTTTTCCTTACCAAGTGCTATGACTTCTAATCCCATTAAAGTAACTGATAAAATCATTTGATTATGGTGTTTGGAAGACGTAATAGTTAATTGAGCACTAAATTCTAGAAATTAAAGAAAAAAAAGCATAAAGGAAGCATCAAGGTTAGTTCCATTCCAAAATAGAATAAAAAGAAAAGGTTTGAATATTATCCACGCTGACCTGACCAACAGCCAGTCTTGACTACACTCCCAATTGGTTTTGCTTTGCTACAAAACACACAAAAGGTCACCACCAAAACACTACTTAAAAACCCACTCTTCACTAAGCCTCAATTGTCAACTAAACCATTCAATATAAAAGCCCATTCCCTCTCACCCTTTGTCACTTCCATTTTCATATACATCTCTTTATGCTTCCAATTTCCAATTAGATAAAACCAACTGATCCAATTCATAGTATTATCCCAAACATGAACCCATCCGACATAACCACCGTCCACCCCGACATCATTCAAACTCACATCCTTAATCGACTCGACGGTCCCACCCTTGCCTCCGCCGCCTCCGCCGCGTCTCATCTCCGCCGTCTCTGCACCGAACCCCACCTCTGGCAAAACATCTGCACCGCCTATTGGCCTTCCCTCAACCACCCCCTCGCCACCGACCTCATCTCCGCCTTCCCCGCCACCCACCGCGCCATCTTCTCCGACTCCTTCCCCTCTCTCCACTATTCCCCTCCCAACCACCGCCCAACATCGCAGCCGCCGGAACAACTCGTCTCCGCCGTCGACCTTTATTACAAGGGAAAGCCCATCTTTTCCCGTGTCATCCAAACCGGAACCCGAAAGGGTTGGTTCCTCTGTTCCCCCCTCTGGGTTGACCTACTCGACCCCAACGAGTTGGTTCCCACACCCCTCAAGTTCCCTCACGGCGACGAAGAACACTTGCTCAACCACCTCCAGGAGAATCTCGCTCTAAGCTGGATCATCATCGACCCGAGCCAAAAGCGCGCCGCGAATTTCTCGAGCCGGGTTCCGGTGGCGGCGCGGCGCCACTGGCTAACCGGGGAGATGGAGGTGGTGTTCGCGATGGCCATGGAAACGGTGCAGTGCGTTATAAAGGTCACGTGCTGCGGGAAAATTGGAGGAGCGATGCACGTGAGGGAGATGAGTCTTACCCTGGAGGACACGGAGGGAAGACACGTGCTAGGGAGGGATAGTTTGGTAATTTTGCAAGGGGCGATGGAGAATGGAGAGAGGAAGAAGGTGGATGCGGCGGAAGTGAAGTTGAGATATGAGAAATTCTGTTGCGTTAAGAGAGAGAGAAGAGAGAGAAAGATGAGGAGAGATAGAGCAACGGACAGGGTTGCTATGCTCGTCGCTTTCACCCTTTTCGCGTTCCTCTTCTGGTGTATGACTTTTTGAAATTAACAGAACCAAAACTATATTCAAAATGTTAATAGTACCCAAAGGCAAAATAGAACCTGATAGTTGAAAAACACACACATAATTGTGTGTATCTTATTCCTCTTTCTTGATTCTTTTTCTCTATTGACCCATACCATGTAACCTCACTACATTATATTCATTTTATGATTTTTTTTCCATGTCCTAGTTTTGTTGCCAGTTTTGATGTTTCCACTTTGAAGTTTATACACTACTTTTTTATGGTGGTTCACAATCGCCGATATATGTTTGTTCACCGCATATATACACTTTGATTATAAACTAATTTGTTTTTCGGGTAAAATTAGCATGAGTAAGTGTGTGCTTTCAATTAAGTTTTCACGTTAATCACTTTTAAATAAACGTAATAAATTGTAACTTATATCAAATTATAAAGTAATATCCAATTTAAGTTTGAAGTTCATTTCGATGCTTATTGCATATTGATGTTAGTCAAGTTGTTGAGATTTTAAGAGTATAAAAGTCGTAAATTCTTTTTGAAAAGTATTGTTTTTTTTATGATATTTTTTGTACTTTTCTTCTTTCTTAGAATGAGTTGTAAAACTCTATAGTCAAGAGAAAGGATTAAGTCTAAAATAAGTATATTGAGATTAAATTTTTTGAATTATTGTTTATCTTTTATTTTTATATGCAAAAATTATGAGTTGTTATTTATTATTAAATTAGGGTTCTTATATAATTTTAAAAATTATGTATAAATTAGCTCAAATAATGAATTACATGAATTTTAAGGTTTAGAAATATTTTTTAAATTTTATGTATTTTGTGGATTGATTTTGCGCTTAATCTATATTTATGTTGAGATATAGTCCATTCACTTAAAATTCTTTTATTAATCTAATTTTTTTAATTTAAGTGTATTAAAAATTTAACTAGAATTAAAAAAATTCAAACCGTCCTAATCTACAATATTTTAAATAATAAGATTACCATTTATTTTTTGAAGTTATTATTTATTTTGTTATAAATTTTTATTATGCTTTAATTATAATTTTAGAGTTTTTTAATTCAAATAATTAATATTATCTAAATAAAAATTTTATTGATGAAATATTATTTGATAAGTTAATATTTATTGATGTGTTGCACTTACTAAGTAGTTATCAAATTTTTAGTACCTATATCAGATATTTACTGTTTTATTTTAATTTTTTTTTTTGTGTTATCAAAAGCTAGAATAAGTAATCTTTAAATATTATCTTTAAAGATGTTCTAAGACCAACTTTAACACTAATTTTTAAGAGTTGTTCGGTGCTGAGAGAGAGAAAAATAGTGTAGGAATGATATTTTATCAAAGAAACATTCATGTATAAAAAGTGAAAGATTTGACATATTTTTTATTTATTTTAGTTGCGGTGAATGATGAGAAAGAGAAAAGAAAAATGTTTAGAAGATAAAGTTGCCCTTGCAGGAAGTGTTAAAATGGTGTGCAAGAAACTTGAATTATGTCAAGATACCTGTAGTTATTATTCTGACTTCGAGGTTCAATTCAAGCTAATCATTTATTAATTCGAGTTTGGCCATGATTCAAAACGGAACGCGATTATCAATGGTTTTTTTTTGCTCTGGATCCATTATAAAGTCTCACTTGCAAACTGCAACTCAAATCTTGACTATAATCAATATACGTATGAGTAAATCCTCTTATTAATGACTATTATAAGTTTAATAGTTTATCATTTTCGGTCTTGATTTCAGAGAACGGATCTTCTACAGTTTATAATTTTTATTTTTTTTTTATTTCCTCTTCATCTTAGCTTTCTCTTCTTTCTTCTCACTTTTTTTCTATCTCCTTCTCCTCCCTTTCACCCAACCTCCCTCTTCTTTCCTATCTTAGTCTTTTTTTTTTCTCTCTTCATTTAACTTTCTTACCTTTTATTACTATTCATTTTCAATCACTTTCTCTTTTTATCAAGCCTTTTTCTTTCCTTTTTTCGCTTTCCCTCACCCTCTCTCTCTTCCACTTTGGACTTTATCTCTTTCTCAGTCTTCCTTTCTCTCTCTCTCTCTCTTTTTTTTTAGTTTTTTATGCCTATTTTTGATTTAGACAAATTTTTTCATTTTTATTTAAGAGAATTTTGTTGGCTTAAAAAAATGCACTACAAGATATAGTTTCCTCTAAAACTGAAGAGGATCTGAATTCTTGATTTCTTCTATCTTAGTTTTCAATAGCATTAAAAACTAAATTAAATAACTTTAAGTATTTGGACCTTTTTTTTTAAGCCAAATTTTGAACATACTGATTATAAAATTTGAATTGAAAAGTTTTTATTAATTTTTTATTAATAATTTATAATACATTTTATCATAATTTATTATTTTAACTATTTAACCCTTACCTTAAAGACACTAAAAACAAATTCAAATAATGTTTTTAGTTACGAAAAAATGAACAACTTTTTTATAAAGTCAAAATCAAAATAAAAAATTAAAATTCGAGGAAATAATTAATACTTACGACTAATTCCCAAAATTTAGTAACTATAAATTGAGTGAACGAGTCATGCTCGCATCGCAGTGGTCACCATAAAATCATCATAGAAGCAACTATAAGGAGGCCATGGCCACACGGATCAAGCCCAGAAACAAAGTGTGGTTTTGTGACCCTCTTTCAACATAGTTATTAGTTAGTTTGAGACGTACAATTTAACTATTTAAGGAACTTCCAGACCAATAAATATGTAGTTGCAAACTTGCAATTTTCATATACGACATTTAAGGTTGCAAGCCCACGAAGATAGTTTGAAGGAACTGAAATGCAGAAATAGTCAAACTATTTGTATGAAGGAATAGTTTCGGTATTTCAAATTATAGTTAGTCTCTTATTTAAGAAGTATGAAAAATTTGCATGAAAATAGATAAAGGTTTGGTCAACATAGGCAATCATTATTAATTTCTTAAGCATTGATGGATTGGTTTGACCGATATCTGGCCATCAATTCTATTCGAATTTGTATCCACTATGACTTGGACTCATTTTCCTTTATTAGTTTTTATAAGTAATATATATTCTTTTTAAAAATTTTATTCCATTTATAAATATAAATTTTGAATTTTAAATTCATTTTAAGTGATGACATTATTTCTTTTACAAATAGATGCCTTCAACTTCAATTTTGTCTTAATTGTTCTTTAAAATTGACATAAATAACATTAAATTTTAATATCATTTAAATCCTTGAATGTATTTTTTGCCAATAGCTTGTAATATTATATTAGAAATAAATCATTATAAAACAATTCCAAACATTTATTTATCTCAAATCTCATTCATTTATTGGTTTTTTTTTATTATATCCATTCTTTTTAAATATTAAGTAATTATTTGGTGGGCATGGTATGATATGAAAGGATGAAATATAAAATGTGTAGGATAAATTTATCATGTCATGTTGATTTAATAAACCAAAATAAATGGATAGCAAAAGAAAAAAAAATTATCAAACTTTGTTATCTTATTTTGTCTATAAAATAATTTCTAAAAATATCAAAACTCTAATTTTAGAAGAAAATATAAAAATAATTGAAAAGTATATTATAATTTTTTTTTGTTTTGGACCTTTATTTAATGTCGGGAAAAGGTTATTTCTGAAAAAAGAAAGTTAATAAATGAGAGAGATTTAGGTAAAACAAAAAGTTGGGGTGTATTTTTCCACAGTAATTTAATTCAAACTTAATAGAGTTGACTTTTTACAAAATAAGTTTAATAATTAAGAATCAATTAAAAAATAATAAATTCATTTTAAAAAGAGTTGACTTTTAAAAACTGAAATAAAAATAGAATTTATTAAAATTATTTATAAATACAATAAAATTTAGGAAGGTTATTTTTTTAAAATAAAATAAGTGAGACTAGACAGAAGTGCACAAGGAACTTAAAAAAAATACGTTTAAAAAATATATATATATATATATTTATTTATTTATTTATTTTCACTCTACGTATAAAAATATATTTAAAAATAAATAATAGAAAGGTTATTTTAAGAAAGAGTATACGGGTCACGTGGCAACTCTTTGCAAATAGTGCATGTTCACGTGCTGTTTTTTTAATTATTATTATTTCTTTATGACACGTTCACGTCATTTTTAATATTTCAATCGTTATTTATCTTAATCAGTATGAATATATATAAAAACAATAATCAACTGAATTTTTAAAGGAAAAATTGTTGCTTCTAAAAGTAACTGAATTTTTCACAATAATCAACTGATTCTCCGTTTAGACTTAACCTCTTGTTCTTTTCAAAAAAAAAAAAACAAAGTTAAGCAACTCTATTTATTTTCTTAATGAATAATTTTTAATGGCACATATTTTAAAATTAGGGTGAAATATCGCATAGATATGGATTATTGCCACTTAAGTTGTTGTTCACAATTAACATGATGTTTATTGATTTTTTCTACGATGACTCATACATGTAACATAATTTGTTGGTGAACTTGTGTTTTATTTACCATGGTAGAAAAATATTTTTAAATATAGAAATTAAATCAACATCATAGTAATATTTATAAATAATAACAATCATTTTATAATATATATATATATATATATATGTATATAAATAAAATTAAATAAAAAAAGTAAATTTTGTATTTCTTCTATCTGATTCATCTCTCATTCAAATAAAATATTAAGTTTAAAGTTTATTAGGGGTCCTCACAATCAAGATGCAGCATACTGCACACCGGCCTTGAATATTGTCCAACCACATCCAAACCAAACCTTGGCATTGCTATTTTTCCAAAGATCAGTGCCCCAATATCAATATTCAGAGTGGAACATAAATACAAATCATTTTATGTTACAAAAATCCCCTAAAGTGCTTTTGGCATCACACTGAACAATGTGTACTAGCACTTCAAATTTGTTTGTTTTTTGGGTCCAGGAAAAGTATCAAATATCAATAGCAATAGCCATATCAGTGTCAATTTTGGATACGTAATTGAAGGACCTTGGGCTTCTAATGAGTTGAATGACCAAGTTAATTTTTTTATTAGTGCATGTTCGTAATAATTTAATTTTAGAATAATTATCATTATTCATAAAAAATTACTAAGAATTATTAAAAATAAAAAAACACATTTTTAATATAATGTTTTGTAATTTTTAAAAAATTGATATATAAAATAAATGTATTATTTTTAAAAAATCGAATAATTGTAAAAATATAAATTTAAAAGTGTATTAATAGTATTTTTCTTTAACCTATTGTGCAAGAAAAGACTAACCTTTACTTTGTTTAAGGTATTCTTTGTTGGTAAAAGTTTTCTTTAACCTAAAGGTTTGCTTGTGTGCATGAAAAGTTACTTTTCTTTCGTAAAAGTTTGTATCAACACTAAACGACGGAAGGACTTTTTTCTAAAATGGAACTGTGACATGTTCCCAATGCTGAGTTGAGTTAGTAATCAGTAAGTTGTTCTATTAAAAAAAATGAAGCCAATAAGTTTGTACTGTATTGGAGTTAGTGAAAGAAGTTTACACTACATAAATTTTTAAACACAACTCTAATTTTTTAGACTTAGCTTAAGATTAAAACAACTCATTTTGAGTCATCCTATTATTTGAGTTAGTAGATTACATTGTATGAATTCACGAAAAAGAAGGTCTGAAACATGACAGCATTCTTAGCAAACTGCACATGATTATGATTATGATGAGGACAGCATGGATATTATTATTAAAAGTTATTTATTTAAAAAAAGAAGAAATAAGAAAGTGTGAGCAGCATTCCTTGCTAGTCAATGGTGTGAAACGGTGGAAGGGGGTGAGAGAGCATAGCACTTGAGGTGAGGCCACGTCACAAGATGGAAATGGAACCGAACCTTACCTCACCTTCTCAATACCACTTCTTTGCCATTACACATTCTTCGCCGACTCTCTCAAAAGCTCTACGGCCACGCCACTCTATCTTGCGTGCCACACACAACCAAGCAAAGCACAATCACACACACTTCTTCCTCTGCCTCCAAAATAGAGCCACAAAGGAAATAACTCTTCCAACATCAACAGAGGAGACCATGGAAGTGGTTTCCAAGGAAGCCCAGATGTCGATTGCTGCTTCTTCCATGTTTCCTGGGTTTAGGTTCTGTCCCACCGACGAGGAGTTGATTTCTTATTACCTCAGGAAGAAGCTCGATGGCCATGAAGAAAGTGTTCAAGTCATTTCCGAGGTTGAGCTTTGTAAATATGAACCTTGGGATTTACCAGGTTCAAATACTATCCCTCTCTCTCTCTCTCTCTTCCTTTTTTCGTGTAACCCTTTTCTTCAAATTGTTGATTAGTCATAGTTGTTGTTGCTGCCTGCCACATAGAACTTCAGGGGATGAGCTTTGCTTGTGTCTGTCAACTGTTTGTTTCCACTAGCTGATGTGATGTGATATCTCTCTGTTTATTACATGTCATTTGGAAGATGGTGTATGGAGTATAGGTTGGAGGTTCTTACTTGTGTGTGGAAGTGGGTCAGTGGCAACTAAATCAAAATTTGGCAACTTATATACAAATACAAATATTATTTGAATAATGATATGTTTACACGTATATTTTGGGTCTAGAATGGGTAGAACAATGAGAGATAAAATAGAACAGAGAGAAAATAAGGAATGTGATTAAAAAAAAAATACAAAGAAAGAAAAATGAAAAATAATATAAGAGAAAGTTAGTATAAAAATATAAACGTTGTTTTATGTTTTTTTAGTAAGAATTTTTCAAAGATTTTTGTTTGTTCTTAATATAATAAGACTATCCTATTTTGTTAAAATTTTTAACCTCTTAACAATTAATGTAATAATTGAATGTACTTCAATTAGAGATAAATTTAGAATGCTATGTAATTTATATTTGAAAAATCAATACATAAATTATTTTTAACATGTGTGATTTAATTAAAATATTTTTTAAAAGTATGGAAGAGAGTATTTATTTATTCTCGTGGAGAACTTCCTTCGTGAGGCAAGGCTCAAGGTGGTCATTATATGCCAATGCCACTAGTCATGTTGTAATGTTAGACCCCTATGCAAAATTCTAGAAAACAAATTGCAATTTGAAATTGGTATGCACGTTTAGATATGACACAATACTGAAAAGTGACTCACTAGAACTGGTTTTTTGAAAGCAGCAAAATCGTTCATTCAATCAGATAACGAATGGTTCTTCTTCTCTCCCCGTGGAAGAAAGTATCCAAACGGTTCACAGAGTAAAAGGGCAACTGAATGTGGGTATTGGAAGGCCACTGGAAAAGAGCGTAATGTAAAGTCAGGTTCCAATGTTATAGGTACCAAGCGAACTTTGGTTTTCCACTTAGGACGTGCTCCTAAAGGGGAAAGAACTGAATGGATTATGCATGAGTACTGCATCAATGACAAGTCTCAAGTGAGTATTTTCAAGGAAAATTTATATTCTCTCATTCGATTTCTCTAAAATTTGGAAAGATATAATACTTATATGAGAGAAATGAGTGATTAGTGGATTCTAATTAAATAAATTCTCTGTTTGCTGTAATTAATGTATGTTTTAGGATTCTTTGGTCATTTGTCGGCTCAAGAGGAACATGGAGTTCCGTTTGAGTGATGCTCCAAATAGAGCTTCTTCAAGTCAAAGGCACCCCGTGAATTCACATGAAAGTGATTATGCAATCTCAGAAGGTGGTATTGATCCAAGGGGTGTCTGCGAGCAAGACAAAGAGGTTGGATGTAGCTCCAAGCGGAGTAGTAGCAGTTATGGTTCTCCTTCAATGGAACAAATTGATTCTGTCTCTGAATCCAATCAGCGACAACCTAATGAGCCCACTTTGACTGAATCTTCAGGTCAACCAAAGGTATATTATTCTAGATTTAATGCTATAATATTTCTTAAAATTGCTATCTAATTAGTACTGCATTTGATAAAATTCAACAATTTTCTTGCTTTAGGCTTGTTTGTTTAAAAGTTAAAAAATTACTGGTCGCAATTTTTAATAGAAAACATATTTAGTTCAGATTAATTTATGCATGTATATAAAAATCATTCAACAACTTGAAATCAAATTTATCAAAATCAATTCCACTCATTTGTAAGACTAAGGGGCACTTCATTTATTACTATAACAGTACTGTATTGCAGGTGGATGAAGAGGATTGTTATGCTGAGATACTAAAGGATGATATCATCAAATTGGATGAATCATCAATTTCAAGAGAGGGTCAAACAAGATCACAGGATCCTGCACAGATGCATCCTAGCCAAGGCACAGCACAACGAAGAATAAGATTGAGGATTGGGAATCCCAAGCATTCTCCTGCAAAAGTTCGTTTCCCAAGCACAATGCAATCCTCAAAGAGCACCTTTTTCACCACAATGACCAACCGTTTGGTGCTATTTGCTTTCTTCGCTTTCACTTTGATAGCCCTTTATTTTTTGTCCTTATTAAGTGGACTCAAACGATTTAATTATTATGGGAATGTTTGGGGTGTAAATTATGATTAGTGCTACGCAAGTATGGGCAATGTTAAACCGCTTCCTTTCAAATATGTTGCATTATTAGCCTCTGAGATTTCGGGCTTTAAGAGGACTGTTTGTCATGTAGATTTGGGAAGGATGTTATCATGATGGTAAGGATAATATAGATTTTACATTTCATAGAGGATTTTGATTCTTTGCACGTGAATTCACATTCATTCAATCTAAGCATAAAAGTTAAAATCATGTCTAGGCTTAATGTTAAATTGTCAAACTAAAAACTTGTGTTGCCATATAAGATAAAGCGCGTTTGATTGGGGTGTGGAAATCGGGCATACTCATAAGATAGAGTGATTAGCATTAATTCAGTATGTATTTGAAGTTACCTTCAATCTAATTCATGTTTATTTTAATAGAACAAGTTATAAATTTTGTATTAACATATACAACTAGTTATAATTTTTGTATGAACATGTTTAAAGCTGGGTCAAAAGTGATTCCAAATACTTTATTAGTGGCTTTATGGGAATCAAGTTGAGGAGGGTGAACTTTTTGGCATCTGGGTAGATTATGTGTATGATCACTATACAGGATTCCTGCAGCTAGAAGTTTCCTTTAAGCTTGATGGTGACGGAATGGCTGGGCTTTTGTTTCAATCTTACATTTCATGGTAGGGCACAATCTTGCGGTAGATGCGGTGCTTCTTATTCATTGTTCTGCCATTCTTTTTAAGAGTTTTTAGCAGTGGTTTTGTCAATTTTATTATTATTATTTCCCTTTCCCCTCAAAATTTGATCACAGCCATAAATTTTCCAGTTATAATGTATGTCAAGGTGTAAAGAGTTAAATATAATTCAAATACATGTCCAAAATAATCTCAATAACAAATTTATTTTATACTATACAAATAATTTTATTTTACTAACTAACCAAACTGTATATTTCTCAATTTTTTAAAAATTTATATTTAAATATAAAACTAATTCTATCGAAATTTAAAATAAAAAACTTGCTAACGTTTAGGCAAGTACGCATGTGTTTAAATTTAATTATTTTTAGAGTAAAAATAGAATCGGTTATTGTCATGATTTATTATATGAAATTAATTTTATATTTAAATATATTAAATTATTTATAGTCTTTGATTTTCTATTTAAAATAATAAATTGTTGGAAATAAAATTAAAAACTAACGTTTTAATTTTTAAGTGTATAGCCTCCAAATTTTATAAAACTAAAATTATAATTTAATTTTTTATCACTATTAATAAATAAAAAATGTTATATGCACTAAGTTTATAAATTTATCAAATTGTTATGTGTAAATACATAAAAAGAAAAACATAAAACTGGATAAATTAATCGGAAATGGCGGCACAGAATTGCGTCGTAGGATAGCGTTGGGTGTTCCCAACCGTAACGAATCACAGCCTTCATCTTCCACCAGTTTACTACTGTTGACAAATGCAAGAAAAGTCGAAAGTTGAAAAAGAGAAAAACACGGAGTTACGGTGCGGTGCAGTTTTTGTTCATACTACTCATACTCGTTGCCATCGCCGGTAAACAATTTCTAAGCTTCCGAAATCGTTTTGCGCAGTGCATCACTCACACTGTTCCCAATCCATTCCACAAATCACTTCTTCAATTTCCCTTAACCTCGCGTTCGAAACTCGTTACCCATCGATAATGAATTTAGGTTTTTCTCGCCCACATCCATCTGTAAGGCTTCTCCTTTTTAGTGCAATCTCAATTGATATCCCCTTTTCCCTCGCGATTCGACGATCCAACATATTCAATCGAGTAACCCTAATTTCAATTACTAATTTTAGGACTCAGCATTTAAGTGTGCTTTTTTTGTGATTTTTTATGGTGAATGTTATGCAGGTTTTCACCCTGTAATTTGGAACCATGTCGAGGCCCATGTTGCTTGTTTTCCTGCTACTCGTACTTATAATCACATCACAGTTCGAGTGGAAGCAACAGCTTGTGGCCGATGTTGACTCAAATCCCAGCTTGTCTCAGAAGCAGCATCAGATTTCAAAGCCTGAAGAAACCGTCAAGGAGAAGGTCTAGTGCTTTTCTTACCCTTTGTTTTGTTTGATTCTTCTTAAATATCTCTGTTGATGTAATTAGTAGCTTGGGCTATGTGTTATATAGTATCTCTTTCATGTAGTGTTGTTATTGAGTCATCTGCCTACAGTTTGATTCATGCTGCTTTACAATCATATCCTGCACCTTGCATGAGGTTGCATTTCAATTATGATGTGTTGAGATCATAACAGAGATAAGAGAGGGAGGTGTTGAGATTATAACAGAGATGACTACAAGTTTCTGCATTAGCTGTCCTAGGTATCATATATTTGTTTCGATATGGGTGTATATATGCCTGTTTGGATGTTAACTTTTGGATCCATTCATTTCATTTTACTGTACATAAACGTTACAGTATCAGTAGGCGAACACTGCACTAACATGTTCCTTTTGTTCACTCATTCTTGATTATCAAGTCTTTTTTTTATGTGATCTTTTGGAGGATGAAGGGGAGTTTGATGAACACTTTTCAAGAATGGTTTTTTTATGTCTTTTGTTGACGATAAAATTTCTTGTAATCATGACAAGTGAGTAGGTTTAGTAGTGTAAGGAACCTACAATTAAAATTACACATATATAAAATGCTTCTTTGTACTTTTGTTATTAAGTATAGATGGGTGAGAAAAAAAATGAGGAGGATATCCAGCTATCTGGAAGGTAAGTACAGAGTATAAGTATGAAGACAAATGCAGAAAGGAAGAGTATGGAGGAAAAGAGGTACAACAGAATACATTCCACAAACGCTCCCCACACTTCCAATCATTTGGTGCTATAACTGCTCCGCTCAAAATCCCTTGGTTTGGTGTTACCTTCTTTCCCTTGTGAGCTTCTTCTCAATCCCTGAATTCTTGAATCTGCAGCCATCAGTCTTTCCTTGCTAAATATCTCTGTTTCCACACTTGCCTTTGTGTGGCTTCCTTCATCTAGTTTGGCTGAGTCACCATGTTGGCATTTCCACTGGACAGCACCATGGCATTTCCACACTTTCCTTGAGAGGACAATCTTTTGATTACATAGCTTTGGCATCTCATTGTCTCGGACAATCAATATTTAGATTTTTCATCGTTTGAGGGAATTTTGGCTGTATAGAGCAATTATATGAATTAAAAAGTTGTCTTACTGTGGGAAGTATGGGCTTAGATTTGAATGTCTCATTTTCAAAACTAATGCACACATGTAGCAGATTTGTTCATGGGTAACGCAGCATCATATTCATTGGAAAATTGCAATGTGTCTGTTGAATGGTCAAATGTTGATTAATCGTTTGGTGAGAAAGATTATTATTAAGTAAATTTGAGAACCGTAACAATTCCTGCAGAATGCTAACTACTAAAGACATTTAATGTCGCACCACTAATGAGATAGTTTTTGTGGTGACTTATCTACAATGTACAATACTAGGGTTATATTTACATGCTGTTCACAATTTTTGTGTACCATGTTATAATTGTTCTACCCCCATATATGTACTGAAATTTTCTTGAAATGGATGTTTCTTGCCATAGATTATCTTAGTGCAAGAGAAGACTATTCGAAGACTGAATGAGCTAGTGCGGCATCTCCAGGAACAACTGCAGCAGTGTAGAGGAAGCAATGGAACTACAAATGGCACTTTAAGTCCTCTAGCTGAGCGAATTCTTGAGCTTGAACGACAGCAAATTTTAGAGGATTAAGCAAACACAGCAAGTACGGCAATGGAGTTCATCTTTATGTTCAAGTTGTAAAGTTGTTCCTTAATTCGTTGAGAGGGAACATTGTTGAAGATTTACTCCCAGTCTGAATTACGATTTTGAACTCTATCGCAATGAAAAGTGCAGTGTGTTTTGAATCATCTGTTAACCCCATGAATAACAAAACGGGCTTGCCATTATTATGCCTCAGTATCTTACATTAGCCGGATAGACATTAAGATCCAATGGTGTGATTCCAGGCAGTTATTGTCTGCCACTACCCAGTAGCTTTAACACAAGTATAAATGTCTAATCATTAGGCTTAAAAGAAAATCACTACACCAACAGGCCCTCCTAATGGTTAAAATCTCAGTACTCATCTGTAACCGACGGATAGCAGGCGCCTTCATATCCATCAGAAATTTCATATCATTCATTTCCATCTTCGCAGGGAAAAAAATATATTGATTGGCATATTGCTCGCCAATATCCAAGTAAAAATGACTTTGATTTACATTAGTATCAAACGATCCTAAGCTTTACTGTAAACACGCACAAATTCAGCCTAATTAAACCGTTGCTGTATAAATGGACGAGGGCCCGGCCTCTGAAATTAAACACTGTATATATATAAAATATAAGTAATTTATTATACATTGTCAATACAAACTTGTACACACAGGTATTTAATCAATATTGCTATCTCATTTTTTTTCCACATCAAATATTAAATAAAGTAATTTGACTCCATTAAAACTTAAATAAATAAAGCTAATTTCTTTTGTGCCTTCTCTAAGTGGCAACAGCCATCACGAGACCAACCCTGGCCTAATGAATAGATTTTGTTGTAGTTCTTCTCATTCGTTTGATTTCGTTGTTATATTTTTTATCTCTTTTTTCGCCATTTTCTTTCAATAAGAAATGGCCATATAAGAAGCATGTAAGAAATTTTAGATTAGCACAATATTTTTGTTGATCAAATTTTGCATCATAAATCTTTATGATTAACATTATTGTGATTGCTTCAACAAAAAATGAAGCATTTGATATCGATTCAATGATTAAAACCACTCCATTTTCCTAATTAATGAAATTAATTGACTAATGTTGTCATGGTTGTGAGTGTGTTTTTAAACACGTTGAAAATTTTTGTAAAAACAGATCACATATAAAAATCAAAACCATAAATTTTGAAGTAAATATGAGTTCATGATTATTTGAATGTGAATCTAAACATATTGTTAATAATAATAAAAAAAAAATCAAATCATCAAAATCAAGCACTGGAGAAGTGGGCGAAATGAAATCCTTCATGTACCTGTGCCTCAGCCAGCCACCCCAAGCCCATCACTAACCAAGTTGATAAATTTTGTTGCAGTTCTTCTGATTCATTTCATTTGGCTGTTCTGTTTTTAATCTCTCTCTCTCTCTCTCTCTTTTTGTCATTTTCTTTCAATAATAATGATCATAGAAGAAGCATGTAAGAAATTTTAGATTAGCACAATACTTTTTTTTTTTTTTATCAAAATCCTTATTATAAATATTTATGATTACCATTACTGTAATTGTTTCGATAAAAAAATAAAATTGATGAAGCAATTGTTATCGATTCAATGAAAAAAAAGATTAAAACCGCTGCGTTTTCCTAGTTAAATAAATTAGTTGATTAAAACTGTAATGGTTGTTATCAATTCAATAAAAGAAAAATCAAATTAGCAAAGGCAAGGGAAGGAGAAGTGAGCGGTAGTAGAGGGATTGAGATTTGGAAGAAACAAAAACATTGGCAAAGGGACAAGTTCTACTATGAGACCCTATTTGAAAAACTTATAAATTATTTATCTTTCTCATTAATTAGTTTAAATTTATTATATGATTTATCTTACTTATTTCAATAAATTTATTATTAAATTTATAGTATAAATTATTATTCAAAAAACTTATTACAAAATCACTTAAATAAATCATTTTTGTAACAGAGGAATTTGAGTCAATCTAGTTTACTTAGTAATTTAAATGTAAAAAAAATGAGGCGACAATATTTAATTTAGATATTTATGTAAAAGTGATTTTTATTATTACTATTATAATAAAGTTTAATTAAATATTTAGTCTGTACAAAAATTATATAAATCATCCTTAGTTTTTATAATTTTTTATTAAAATATTATTTTTAGCCTATTTAAATAAAGTAATTCATTAAAATATGGCTAAGTGGTAGATTATAGTTAAACTACGTGAACTAAAAAAACTAATAACAACAGTTTTATATCCTAACAAAATATTTTATAAACATTAAATTTAAATTATATAGCTTTTGTAAAGATTAAACACTTAATTAAGCTTAATAATAATATTGATATAACCCGTGATCATTAATGTACAAAATTGCAAATACGAAAAAGTAAAATTGTGAAATTTATCAGAGGGGTAACTGGAAATGACAATTTTTTGGTGCAATCCATAGAAGAAAAGAAAAAAGAATGATATGGATGCATTGATTATTTAACTACTAACAGTACAACGTTCTTTAACGCATTCATTTCTCAATGTGAATAAGCTGTCTAACACTGTAACAGATGCAAACTAATATCCACTCATTATTCCAAATAATTATTTGTCAGAAATTTTATTCAAATTAAATGTATGGCGCCGCGAAGCCATGTTCGAAGTATCCCATGTCCTATAAAACTAAAAAATAAAAAAGGATCAAGTCAAATGAAGGAAAACAAATTAGACCCATGACATTTTTAAAATATTCAAGGAAAACAAGTTTAGGTAATAAAAATGACAAGACTCAATTTTAAAGTACTAGCCTAGACTAAAATTAAACTTTGAGGAAATATAAATCTATGAGTTTACTAACAAATTAAAGAATATATACATAAAAAAAATTATAAATTTAAATAGTTAATTTTTTAAAAATAAACAAGTCATCAATATTAAAGCTAACTTTCTCTTCAAACTATGTATCAAACTTACACTTGAATTCTAATATTTTGTATATTATTTTATTTTATTGACTAAATTATATATCAGTTTAAAAATTGGGGTGAGGGATGGAAGAACTAATAGTCCATATAACATATTTGTTAGAGAATATTCATGTATCAAAACACGAACAAATAAATTACAAAGTGAATTGAATATTATTTTTAATTTAAAATATTAAAACATTAATATTTTTTGATTAATATGTTATTCAGTTTGAAATTTTTAGATATTCATGTGAGACTTTTTTTAATTTATGCTTGTTATTTCAGTATTTAAACACAATTTACCAATTGAAATATAACAGATAATAAGTATATGCACTGCTTGACATTGCTCTTCTTTCCAAATACGAATTCGCATCTGAAGAGGGACAAGCCTTTTTTACAGTTGCTTAGGACCTTTAGCAGAATTTGAATTCCGTATATAATCGATTAAGAGGGAGCAACTCAAAGGTAGTTTTTGAATATGAGATAATTTTATGTCTAAGTTTACAATCGGAATGCTTAGAACATAAGACTTCTCAAACATAAAATATATTACTTCAAACTCAATTTTAACTAATATTATTTTTGTAAAATGAAGATTATCATCTAAATCAAGTTTGTAAATACTCATCAAATACACATTAATCAAACTAAATTGTAAGTTATGATAAATATTTGGTAGAACACCGTACATGACCATATATATATATATATATATATATATATATATATATGAATATCTAACTGCCTTGGTGATTTGGAAGGAAGGATCGTTAGTATAAACTGGCAACAGCAGCACAAAAATGTGGACTAAAAGCTAAAGGATCAATAATTTAATATGAAAAGGGACTTGAAGGCTGTTTATATGATAACTATTCAAACAATGAAGAAACAAATTTAAACATTGTTTAGCTTTAAATTGTGACGACAATTCATAGCTTCTCCAACTGTTCAATAAGGGAATGGTCAAATTTGACAATTCAATTATCGATCTCATTGGCTTCATCAAACCAAAATATATTGCGTATATAGTTTGGATTGATCGAGTTGCAATATTTCCGTGTCAACATGCCTAAGTCGATCGATCAATATTTCTGCATCATTCAATGAAATGAATAAATACGGAGACTTTTTGGTCGATTCTCAATTTAATTAACAAGCACGAAGGGATCGATGTGATTTGAAACAAACCATTTTTACCCCGTGTGTTAGAACAAAGAAAACGAATAGTGTCTAATTGGATCAACATGCAACTTTTGCAATTAATGAAATGGTAGTTGGCGCAGCAAAATTCCATCGCATTCACATATCTGAGCTGTTCTTGCAAGCCTCAATCGTTGGTACAATGTTTTCTCTTTTATGTGTAGGCTACTAAATAACAACAAATAAATTTGACATTAATTTAAAGTCAATCAAACACATCCTCCTTGTATGACAAGATCACTTTTCCTCTCTGCTTCCTTGCTCTTCAAATCCACTATATAACCATGGTTTTCGCTTAACATAACAAAAACGAAATAACCATAGGTTGGAATTCGAAAAATCCTGTTACTTGTTTCTTCTGGCTCCTCCTCCTAGTTTTTCTCCAATTATATACAAAGGTGTTGTTAACTCTCACTAATCAAGTTATTGTAATTATCTTATTGTAAGTAAATCACGAACTTTTATTTCTTCCTCCCCGCCTCCCTCCCACAAACACAGACATAAACTCGTCCTATGTTGGAGTTTCGGGCAAACATGTTCCCACCGCAGGCTGCAAACTCGTCGGAGTGTTCGACATCATCGGAGGTGTCATGCGTGTCTTGGGAGGGTGATGAAGAGATAAAGGGTATGTTTCTCGTGGGTTGTCTTCGATGCCTGATGTATGTTTTGTTATGGAAGGCTGATCGCACTCCCAGATGCCCCAAATGCAAGAGTACGGTGTTGCTTCACTTCCTTAATAACAAGCAAAGCACCAACGAAACAACCAGCCATGAGATGCAAACTATATTTGATCAGAAAGATTAACTGCGTCTATTTATGCTATATTCTAATTCTATTAGTGTTGTTTAGGGAGGTAACATTTATTTTTTTGCTCTCTACATCTTCAAGAGAATACAAAAGTGAATTTTGAAATCACTCTCAAATTACTTTTTTATTTATAATGCTGAAAAAAGTAGTCATTACAGATTAAAGTAGTACCCTATGATTAAG